AGATGAGCTCCCTCTGTCAGCTCCAGCTCCCCATGCGGGGACATGATAGAAGCCTCCCACAAGGATGGTAAAACATCAAAACATTTGGGTGTCCCCTGAGCAACATCTTTGCAGACAGCCAATTCTCTCACACCAGAAGCAACTTGTGGTTTCTCAAGTTGCTCCTGAAATGAAAAAAAGCATTGTGATGATTTCTGTTATTATCAGTTTTTATCACCACCATTGTAAAACAAAGCTGCAATGATGATGAAACTTCCTGCCTATCAGTTAAATATCGTGCTCTTTAAATTAAATATAATATGTAAAGATCCCTAAACTACACCATTTATTGTTGACATACAAATTGATTTTGTTGCCATCATATTTCCAAGGGTAACAAGAGTGAATCACAGCAGATACTTGAATAGCCATGTTTATATTCAGAGAAATGGTAATGTCTTCTGATTTTGGCATTTTGTTCTCTACCTGTAGTCATTCTTCTGGTTCCTAATTTTTGTTTTCCTATTTAGATGCTTGGCAGAGAGAGCAGTATTTACGAACTATTGATAGATAAGGCATGCTGTTTTCATCTTACTTTAAATACAAGCTGGCAGACAATTTTTCTTTATCTTAAAGAAAACAGCAAAGAAAGTATTTACTGCTACTTCAAAAAGCAGCTAGGCTGCTTTGGCAATTTTCAGGGGATAGAGATTTCTTGGAAATTATGCTGTAGCTTGATGTAGATCTGTTCTTGCGGCACTCGAAATACAGAAAGACTAGCAAACTTTTGTTGCTGCCAACAGACTATTAGCCAACACATTAAATACATATTAGAAAAAAATGATAAAAACATTTGCATTAATTTTTTTTTCATGTCAGGAGTGACTTGAGAAATTGCAAGTCATTTCTGGTGTGAGAGAATTGGCCATCTGCAAGGACGTTGCCCAGGGGACATTGCCCAGATGTTTTAATGTTTTACCATCCTTATGGGAGGCTTCTCTCATGTCCCCACATGAGGAGCTGGAGCTAACAGAGGGAGCTCAACTCGCTCTCCCTGGATTCAAACCAATAACTTATCGGTGAGCAGTCCTGCTGGCAAAAGGGTTTAACCCATTGCACCTCTGGGGGCTCCATTTGCATTAAATGTAAAAACATTAGAACAACATAAAAAGCTGTATGCTATTTCTGGCATCACCTGTTGTGGTTCGGGCATTCTACCTCAGAGATGCTGGTGCAAGTGTGGAGCCCATAGAGTAACGAATAAATTGTGCTGTTTTTGTTGTTTTTATTGCAATCTTTAGTGTGCACTTTTACCTCCATCACCCAGATGGATTTGCAATCCCTGGGATCGATGCTATGACCCAACATTTAACTATTATTGGCAGAAGCCCTTCTCTGGTTTGAAGCAGAGAGAGCTCTCTTCTATCTCTCTGATTTTGGGACTGTCTACATGTAGTGCAAAATGTACTTGCAATATTTACTGTATTATGTATTTACTTTGTCATGTGCTCAGTATGTACTTGCTATAGGTAAAGGTAAAGGTTTTCCCTGACATTAAGTAGAGTTGTGTCTGACTCGGGGGTTGGTGCTCATTCTCATTTCTAAGCCGAAGAGCCAGCATTGTCCGTAAGCACCTCCAAGGTCATGTGGCTGACATGACTGCATGGAGCACCATTACCTTCCCATAGGAGGGGTATCTATTGATCTATTCACATTTGCATGTTTTCGAACTGCTAGGTTGGCAGAAGTTGGGGCTGACAGTGGGAGCTCACGCCGCTCCCCAGATTCGTACCTGCGACCTGTTGGATAGCACATCTAACTTGCTGATCATTGTAGTGTTTTGTTCTCTTTGTATCTTATGAGGATGCAAAGAATATCTGCAGATGTTAATATCCTTGGCAAGAAAGGTTGCCTCAATATGTGAAGACTCCCTCTTGAGAAAACACGCTGCCACAATACAATTTTCTGCATATGTTTGTATCACAATACATGGAATAATTTTCTCACATATCTGCACAAAAAGAATGCAAATCCCCAAAGTTTTAGCATGTACAACATTTTCACAAAACGGACCCTGCATTGTAAAAAAAAATATAATCACAATGTTGCACTCTTGTGATCTGGTACAGTAGCAGGAAGATTTATTTAAGTAGTTATTTTTGCACCTAGAATAAAGTAAAGATTCACAAACCTGATGCAGCGTTAGATAGAGATAGAGATACTTAATTATAAGTATACTGTACAACCATTGTTCAGTTGCCTTAGCTGGAAGGCTGAGTCATATGTTGCATACAGTACAATATATTCTGTCCTAATAAGCTTTGTTTTAAACAAAGCAAGCTACAACATGTGCTTTCTGTTGTATATGGTGTTTGGTTTTATGGAGGGATTGTCTTGTGAACATATCTTAAGGCATATCTATGAACTTTCCTTCCTCCTTCGACATTGCTATTCACTTTTTTTTTCACATACGCTCTCTGAAAGACTTTACTTTCTTGCACTACCAGATATTTTATTCAGCAGCATGCATTTAATATTTCTCTATTCTTTCCACCACACAGTCGTTCAGCCTAAGCACTGGAAATAAGCAAATGTTTTCTTAGAACCTCAGAACAAAGCAAAGATAGCTTTCAGTGACAGAGTTTTGCCTAATGGAACATAGAAAGGAAGCCACCTTCCTCTATGGATGCGATACATTGAAGAATTAATGCACCATTGAACTGCCATGGCACAATACTGTAGAATCCTGGGAGCTGTAGTTTTACCACATCTTTGGCCTTTTCTGCCAAGAGTGTTGATGCCTCACCAATATATAAATGGGCAAACAGGGCCCAAGATCTGCAAATAATTATACATTATGGAAAGATGAACAAAGCCTGGCTTCTGTGGAGCAGAACTTTGATATAAACATACGAGGGTTGAATGAAAAGTAATGCCTCCATCTTCGTAACTCTTCAACAGATGGCAGTATTGGTATGTGGCAGGTACTGGCTTGTTCAGTAGATTCTCCTCTACAGTTCCATTTTGGCAGAAAGCCTTAGCATTGAATGGTTGTGGTGTTAAAGTGCAAAGTATGGAACCCTGCATAGATGGTCAGTCAGTGCGACTTAAGCAACGTGGAGTCATTGAATTCCTGACAGCAGAAGGTGTCACCCCAAAAGAGATTCATCAGAGAATGCAAGCTGTTTATGGTGATTGTGTTGATGTGAAAGCCCTAAGTCAAATGATTCCTAAATTTTTTTCAGAGAATTATTTTCTTTGCTATTTTAGCTTGAGTAAAATAAACAAGCAAAACTGCAATATTTTTTGTAGGTCTTTGTTCAAGGCATTTAAAAAAATTCCTAAATCACTTTAATTTTAATTGAATTTTAACCTTTAATTAGTTGGCTTATTGTGCTGAGTACTAGTTGATTTCAAATGGGAAATTGGCATGTAAATGTTTTCAGGAAGCAATTAGGACCAGTTTGTCTTTCCAGTAATGTGAGTGCTATATGCCTTGAACTAGATCCAGAAACATATGCAATGACCTTCATCTGCATAGGTATCATTGTGAAGGATTCTTCACAAAGCTTGGAACCATCAATACAAACATCAGTATAAAAGATTTATGCCTCAAGTCTTTATATCTCTTGATACTGCATCAAAAAAGTGGATTTAGATCTGCTTCAGTCTGACCTCACCTGGAATACTGTGTCCAAATCTGGACATTGTGGTTCAGGAAGGATATTAACAGGCTGGAAGGTGTTCAGAGAAGGGCAACCAAAATGGTCAAAGGTCTGGAAACCATCCTATATGATAAGCAGCTTAACTGCAAATATTTAGAAGAAAGGTTAAGAGGTAACTTGATGGCCATGTCATATTGAGGAAAGAGCAAACTTGTTTTTTGTTGCTCCAGAGTAGGCATCCTCAAACTGCAGCCCTCCAGATGTTTGGGCCTCCAACTCCCAGAGACTTGTGCTTGTTCAGTTGTAGGAATTCTGGGAGTTGAAGGCCCAAACAGCTGGAGAGCTGCATTTTGAGGATGCCTTCTCCAGAAATTAGGACATGGAGCAATGGATTCAAACTATAAAAAAAGAGATCCCACCTAAACATTAGGAAGAACATCTTGGTGGTTAAAGTTCTTTGACAGTGGAATATCGGAATCTGGCAGAGTCTTCTTCTCTGGAGATTTTCAGGCACAGGCTGGATTCCCATCTATCTGACTGTGTATTCATGTGTGGCAGAATGGTTTGGATTGGATCGCCCTTGAGGCCTCTTCCAACCCTATGATTCTGTGAAAGTTTGTGTGGAAATAAAAATGACTTGGTTCTAAAGGTGTTGCCATGTTTCTTGTTTTTCTCCTTCCTTCCTCTTAAAAATATAGGTTTGCTCTAAATTGAAGATGTTAATACAAATATTCAAAACTTTGGGTTGTTGTAGGTTTTTTCGGGCTATATGGCCATGTTCTAGAGGCATTCTCTCCTGACGTTTCGCCTGCATCTATGGCAGGCATCCTCAGAGGTAGTGAGGTCCGTTGGAACTAGGCAAAAGGATTTATATATCTGTGGAATGACCAGGGTGAGACAAAGGACTCTTGTCTGCTGGAGCTAGGTGTGAATGTTTCAACTGACCACCTTGATTAGCATTTGATGGCCTGGCAGTGCCTGGGGCAGTCTTTTGTTGAGAGGTAATTAGATGTCCCAGATAGTTTCCTCTCTGTTGTTTTGCTGTTGTGATTTTAGAGTTTTTAAATACTGGTAGCCAGATTTTGTTCATTTTCATGGTTTCCTCCTTTTTGTTGAAATTGTCCACATGCTTGGGGATTGCAATGGCTTCTCTGTGTAGTCTGACATGGTGGTTGTTAGAGTGGTCCAGCATTTCTGTGTTCTCAAATAATATGTTGTGTCCAGGTTTGTTCATCAGGTGCTCTAATTCAAAACTTTGTTTAGTACGTTTGTGTTCCAGCGTGTAAAGAACAGGAATTCTGTTTTGTCCCTACTACACTTGGCTGAATTTGATTTCTCTTCCTCTCTTCTCTTCAGGAGCTGCTAACAGGATGAATTCAGAAAGGGATTCAGAAACCACCTTTGATGAGGATTCCTCCCAGCCCAACGATGAAGAGGTGCCATACAGTGACGATGAAACGGAGGACGAATTGGACATCCAGCCTGCTGTTGAGCCAGAACAGAATCGCATCAACAGAGAAGTGGAAGCTACTCGAGAGACACTTAGAAAAGGTGAGGAGGACAGGAAAAAAGTTTGCAGGAAGCAATTGCTATAAATGCTAAATTTATACACCCCTTTTGCAAAAGCATCACAAAAATGTTTCTGGATTTGGAACTAGTAGAATACTAAGCATTGTGGGCAAGATGGCTTATGATGGTCCAGGATAAAGTTCTTTAATTATTTCCTCTGAATGACTGACTGAAAACACAGTTATGCTGTGTGATATTAAATAGGAATTTGTAAGTTGTTGCAAAGCAATACTGAATTATTCTTTTTTTTTTTTGCCTTATGTGTTCTAGCATTCCAAACAACGCCCCTACAATAAGTTATATTTCCAGTACTTTTAGAAATAAAAGTTTACCAAATAATTGTCCACCAATGAACTAAGGAGTCTTCTAAAATGTATCTGGAGAGTTGCTAAGGATCTCAAATCTTAGAGTATTTAATAAGGAAGAAATTTCTGTTACAAATAAATTAATTCATGTTTTGGGAAGGGAGCTTTTCATAGGACATGTTCAGATGCCACACAAGTCTGTGTTGAAAGGTATTATGCATGAAGCAGTTATGCCACATGTATATCGAAAAAATAGTTGGATGATGGTGGTAGTGATGGTTTTATTCCCTCCAAATTTGGTATATAGCCATGTTGCATGTATATATTTGGTATATAGCCCTACATGGTTCAGGTCCTACTTATCTTTCTGACCTCATCTCCTCATACCGATCTGCCTGAATGTTAAGATATTCTAGCAAGACCCTCCTCTCATTGCTGCCACCATTGCAAATGCAGTTAGCAGCAATGAGAGAGAGGGCCTTCTCGGTGGTTGCTCCAATGCTTTGTAACTCCCTCCCCAAGGAGGTTAAAACAACCCTCTCCCTGACACCTTTTTAAAAGCAGCTAAAGACCTTCCTGTTTGCACAAGCTTTAGATTGCATTACACTTAGCTGTAATGACAGGAAGGCTATCTTTTATTGAGTCTTGCTAACTTTACTATCTGTCTTGTTGAGTTGCCTGTAATAACTGTATTAGATAAATGTTTTAAAATTTGTATATTTATTTATTACTGAAAATTTGTTTTTATAAGCCAATGTTTTACATATTATTTTGTATTGTCTTTTACATAATGTTGTGTTGGGTCCCGTTTAGAGAAAAAGCAGGTTACAAAGAAAGATTGTTGTTGTTATCTGTGAGTATCGATCTATAATGTGGAATTAATGCAGTTTGGCACCACTTTAAATACTATGGCTCAGTGTTATGGAATTGTTTTACAGAGTCTTTAGAATTCTCTGTTAAAAAGTGCTGGTACCTTTCCAGAGTGCTCTTCCAGCAGTCACCAGCCAATCCCTCTGCAGTGCCAGAAATACAGCTTAATGGTGTAACATTAGAAAATGTTGATCATTTCTGCTACCTTGGCAGCCACCTCTCCACTAAAGTCAACATTGACACTGAAATACAACACTGCCTGAGCTCTGCGAGTGCAGCTTTTTTCCGAATTAAGCAGAGAGTGTTTGAGGACCAGGGCATCCGTAGGGATATCAAGGTGCTTGTTTATAAAGCTATTGTCCTCCCAACCTTACTATATGCCTGTGAGACGTGGACTGTCTATAGACGTCACATGCAATTCGTGGAATTATTCCATCAGCGCTACCTCCGGAAAATCCTGCAAATCTCCTGGGAAGACAAGAGGACAAATGTCAGCGTGCTGGAAGAAGCAAAGACCACCAGCATTGAAGCGATGGTTCGCCATCAACTTTGCTGGACCAGTGACTTTGTCCAGATGCCCGACCACTGTCTCCCAAAGCAGTTGCTCTACTCCGAATTCAAGAATGGAAAATGGAATGTTGGAGGGCAGGAAAAGAGATTTAAAGATGGGCTCAAAGCCAACCTTAAAACTCTGGCATAGACACTGAGAACTGGGAAGCCCTGGCCCTTAAGCACTCCAGCTAGAGGTCAGCTGTGACCAGCAGTGCTGAAGAATTTGAAGAGGCATGAACAGAGGGCTGTAGTATTTGAAGAGGCATGAACAGAGGGCAAAACAGAGAAACGTGCCAAGAGGAAGGTGCTTCAAGCCAATTCTAACCGAGACCACCTTCCACCTGGAAACCAATGCCCTCACTGCAAGAGAACATGCAGATCAAGAATAGGGCTCCACAGTCACCTACGGACCCACTAGTACAGTGACCTTGGAAGACTATCCTACTCGGACAATGAGGGATCGCCTAAGTAAGTAGCTGGTGCCTTACCAAACTACAAATTTCATGATTCCATAGCATTGAGCCATGGCAGTTAAAGTAGTGTTAAACTGTATTGATTCTACCATGTAGATGCACCCTATGTGTCACAAAGATCATCTGAAAGCAAGCTTGTTTAACTGTTTTAATTTTTTAAATAAATCCTCATTTTCAACAAGAGAAGCAGTTGATACAAGTGTGCACTGCTTGGTATTTGCCTTTGGTGGTTTGTTTTTCCTTTCAGGTATGTATTTTACCATCCTACAACCTGTTCTCCTGCTTTTGGCATTTCTTTGTCAAAACTGGTTCATTAATAGAGTAGTACAGCTGGATCGTCTTCATGAAAACAAAAGTGAACAGGACGTAGATACTAATATATCTTTAAGGAAGTTGTGTGCAGTTTTGTTGTGTTGATTACTTTTTAATCCCATCATATCTAAGAAAGAGACTAATGTAAAAATAACTATTCACTATTTACTCAGCTGTTAAACTTGTTATTGCATTTTAGTTCCCTTGTCTGTTTGATCTTCAAAACCTGTGTGTGTGCGCGCATGAGAACAGCCAAATGTTAAAAAGACGTCCCTAGATAATATACACTTCATATACAAGAAGGAAAGAATCACTTCAACACTTGAACATTCATTTTGACACTGAGTTTTGTCTTGTGCTTTCAGATTGCAATTGGCAAGTTAAAGCAAACGACAGAGCCTTCCACGAGCAGCCTCACTTTATGAAAACAGAATATCTGTGCCTTAAGAAAAGTAAATATTCAGTAAGTGGATTTCTATTTACATATCAGGATAATAAAGGCTGGTAATTTATTAACCACGTTACCCAATGAAAGAATTAATTTATTAGTCGCCTGAGATTTAGTAGATTGATTGATTTTTCCACGTACATGTATATGTATACATGTATATGTGATTCACAAAGCTTGTAGCTTTGTGAATCACATAGTAATGACTGAGGGATTGTAGAATTAATGCAAGTTTGATATCACTTTAACTGCCATGGCTCAATGGTATCGAATCCTGGGATTTGTGGTTTGGTGAGGCAGCAGCAGTCTTCAGCAGAGAAGACTAAAGATCTAATAAAACTACAACTTCCACATTTCCATAGCATGGAGCTATGGCAGCCAAAGTGGTTTCAAACTGCATTAATTTTACAGTGTGGATGCACCCTCAATGTGCATGAATGTTTCATTCATATTTGTCAGGTGTCCCAAACCTTTCAGGAGGAAAAATCAAGTTCATCACCTCGACTAATTCCTTTAAAGTTCGGACTGCAAACCAGAAGAGTTTCTTCACCCCCTGCCATGGAAGCCCCACTTGACTCCTGTTCTTTCTCAAAAAAGAGTGAAATACTTTTCTAAGAAAGCACATTACACATTTTTTTAAATTTCCTTTATTATTTTCAGTGCCTTATTTTTGCTTTTGAGAAATCAATAGACCCAAACCTTCCATGCTTTAAAGAATATTAAGACTTCCTTTAAAACATTAAAATCCCCAGGTCTGTTTCATCCAAGTTATTTCAAGCCAGTGACCTGTAGAAAGATTTCCATAGCAGATTTGCCTAATTGAAGCAGTTTGGAGGATCATTTATATGAACGAAATGTTTTGCATGAAATACAAATTGGATTCGTATATTAATACGTTGTCTGGATTGACTTCTTTTTGTTTTCAACAGGGGAATGCAATTAAAACCTACAAGTATAATCCAATCACCTTCTTGCCATTGAATTTATTTGAGCAGTTTAAAAGGGCAGCCAACTTTTACTTCCTGATTCTACTTATTTTACAGGTAAACTACTACTGCAGAATTAATTGTGCAGATTGTTTCTTTTGTTACCTTTCAAAACTGTATAAGTGGCAATAAAAAGAGCTAGAGAAGGAGTGCTTTCAAGCTGCTTGGCAATTTGTTCCTTGTTTGCCTTTTGGAACTATGATTGGTTCGTTGGCCACTGATCCAAATAGAGTTGACCCTCCATATCCAGTTTAAACATCCATGGATTTAAACATCCACAACACACACACACACACATTCCAAAAGCAAACCTTGATTTTTCATTTTATATATAGAACACTGTATCATTGTATATCACGGAACTTGAGTATCCACAGATGTTGATATTTGTCAAGGGAGTGGATATTCTGGAAATAAACTCCAGCAGATACCAAGGGTTCATTTCACACTTACTTTTGGATTATAATCTTGGATTGATGTGACTAAAACTTCACAAAGACCACAATTATACCACACATTCATCTGTGGTGGATGATGACCAAGTGATAACATGTATGGATGAATCTGACTTTGGGGGTGCTCAAGACTTTGTTGGAATTCAGCTCACAGTGTTACAGTAATCTAAAGCCCCTCAAACTTTGTCTAGCTTTTTTTTTAATTTTTTTTGTTTTTTGTTGTTTTTTTTTTTGCAAAACAAGGATTGGACCAACCAGGGCCTTTGGTGACATTGAGATAGATGGACAAAAACTTGGTAGTATGTCTGTAAAGATAAAGGTTTCCCCTTGACATTAAGTCTAGTTGAGTCCAACACTGGGGGTGTTCATCTCCCTTTCCAAGCCAAAGAGTCATCGCTGTCCGTAGATGCCTCCAAGGTCATGTGGCCAGCATGACTGCATGGAGAGCCATTACTTTCCCGCCAATGTGATTGATCTCACATTCACATGTTTTTGAAGTGCTGGGTTGTCAGAATCTGGGGCTAACAACAGGAGCTCACCCATCCTGCGGTTTTGAATCGCTGACCTTCTGGTCAGCATGTTTTGCAGCTTAGCGATTTAACCCGCTGGGCCACAGCAGCTCTTATATGTGTGTATAAGTAGAAATATGACGGATACAGTGTTTCATCAACCCCACTGTTTCATCCTGGCTTAAAAATAGAGTTCTTTAGCTTCATAAATGATCCTTAAGTTCTAGTCCTGTCATATGATTTCAGTTCTATATATCTTGTGTGGTCAGCTATGATGCTTGAATTATTTTTGAGTTTAAAACAGTATCCTTGTTTTGTGAACTAGTTTCTGTTGAGAGCATGTTGTATTATCAGTGTATTCTGTTTTCCCATTATAGCTGTCTGTTATTTGCTGACACAGCTATCCTGCTCCCCTATCAAATTCATATGAAGCACACTTTAAATGTTACTTGTTTCACATTCACACCCTTGTAGTTAAAAGCTGTGCACTGTGTTGGATAAACATTAGTGCTATATACTTTTGTGCAGTTGCTATATTTGCTGACACTGTTCATTTAACACTCCCCTAGATAGTATCTTTTCTATGTTGATTGGGTGTTTACCATGCCTTGGTAAACAAACCCTGCAGAACTCTGTCTGATTTTCAGATCTCCCCAATTTCTGAAACAACAAGGGGTTGCTGGGTCCAATCTGGGATCTTCTGCATTCCCTGTTGAGGATATAATGGCAAGATACTTATGTAAAGCACGTGGTTTCACAATTAGGCTATAAAGGCAAGGTATTGATATCTTAAACAAAATAAGTAAATAAATAAATGTTTCACTCTGTTTTTGTTTGCAGACAATTCCTCAGATAACTACCCTCGCATGGTACACAACTCTGATCCCTTTGCTGTTGGTTCTGGGCATCACTGCAATCAAAGATCTAGTAGATGATGTTGTAAGAACTGCTTTTTCATTGTGCCTGACTCTCCTCATTTTCAAGTCTTAAACTAGGATAGTTAAAAATATCATAAAAGTCTTTTAAAGCCACATCATTTTTCCTCAAATATAATTGGATAAATTAGCAAGCAAGCAAATGAAATACAAAGACTAATTGGTGTCCTGCTATAAAGCAGGTGAAAGGTAGAAGTAAAGCAATTTAGAAGCATTATGATAATTCATTACAGTCAAATTTGAAGATGTTACTCGTTTGGATTGCAGTATCTAGAATAATAAAAATGGAGTCTTCAAACTTGTCCCTCAGATGAAAATAGATTATGTAGCAAAATGGATTGTGGTATATACTGGTAGTTATACAAATAAAAATATAGTCCATCAACTTCATCATTACCATCATCCATGCATTCATTGTAAATAATAAGTATTAATGATGATGATACAGCCTACTTACACTTTCTTTCTTTCCTGTCTCCGTTTCAGGCTCGACATCGGATGGATACTGAAATCAACAACCGGAACTGTGATGTAATTAGGGAGGAGAGGTATATATTAAGTAGATCTTTGATTATAGAGGGAGGGGGGAGTCTTGGTTTCCAGAAAGAAGTTGGAAGAAGCTTCTTCTCTGGTTGGCTATGATGGCTGAGGGATTTTGCTACACAGATTGCAACACAATTAGTTTTAATGTTTCTTCCATGGGTAGTTGTATTCAACAATATAGAACATGCGTTCTTTTCTGTTTTATATATAGTTTGCATCTGCTTTCTCCAGACTATTGGTTTGCATCATCTCCAGTTACACTGATTTCAATATAAAATCTCTGGTTGGAATCCTTTGGTTGTAATTCAGCAGTTTCATTTCTGCAGCCTTTAGTGTATTTAGATGTTTTACAATGTTTTCTCATTATTTACTTGGTGGGTGGGGAGCTATTCACCACTGCCCAACAAGTGAACTCGAGGCCTCGGTGTGTGTTGTGCATATTATTGCACAACTCTGGGATCCAGAGTATTAGTTCTAGTATATATTTACTCTGCACTCAGTGTGTAGGATCTTGTCCTTTGGGTTGTTGTAGGTTTTTTGGGCTGAATGACCATGTTCTAGAAGCATTCTCTCCTGATGTTTTGCCTTCATCTATTTTGCCTTCATCTGAGGATGCCTGCCATAGACGTAGGCAAAATGTCAGGAGATAATGCTTCTAGAACATGGCCATATAGCCATTGATTTGGCCTTTGAAGAATTGAACAGCAACCAGCACCTGCTGGATTTAATCCCTTTCACTACTTCCATTCCTTTCCTCTTAAGTGTAATGCCTTATTTATTTATAGTAAGTAAACAGAACTACATGTGTACAAGTTCAGAACATCATAGAGAGCCTTTTGGGAGTTCCACCTGTGGATCAGGATAGGGGATGAAGAACCCGCTGTCCCTTCACAAACTGCTGGAAATTGCTTTATGTGTCATTCATATTCCTAGTTTGAGGACGCACAAGGGGAAATCCAGTAGTTCTCTTCCATCAGTAATATAACTTGATTTCCTAAGATTTTTTTGTAGCTGTGATGTAATATGTTCAAATAAGTATCTCTATCAAACAACTTTAATTCTATTGTTGAAGGCTTTCATGGCTGGAATCACTGGGTTGTTGTAGGTTTTTCGGGCTGTATGGCCATGTTCTAGAAGCATTCTCTCCTGACGTTTCACCTGCATCTATGGCAGACATCCTCAGAAGAACCTCACAACCTCTGAGGATGCTTGCCATAGATGCAGGCAAAACGTCAGGAGAGAATGCTTCTAGAACATGGCCATATAGCCCAAAAAATCTACAACAACCCAATTCTCATTCTAGTATCTATACAACATGTTTTTAAAAGATTTTGTATAGAACAATAACATGGTTGTTTGAATGTAGTGGCTTGATATTGTCCATAAGCAAGTTTTTAGAAACATATGTTTTCTCAGACCATTCAACTTTTTAAAAAATGCTGGTCGGTTCATTTTTTGATATCCACTATCATGCTGATTTTTCTTTTCAGATTCATTAATGCAAAATGGAAAGACATTAAAGTTGGAGATGTTATTCGTCTGGGGAAAAATGCCTTTGTCCCAGTAAGTTAAATGATATGCTTAAAAAATTGCACTGAAATACCAGTTATCATTTTTTGTGTGTATTGAATTCTTATCCTCTTTTTATTTTATTTTATCAGGCTGATATTCTGCTGCTGTCCAGTTCAGAACCTAATAGCCTTTGTTATGTAGAGACTGCCGAATTAGATGGGTAAGCCTTTCCTCATTTCCCTAAAATGCAAAAAATGGGTTAAATTGTCCTAATTTCATGTTTTGTGCCATTTGAAATCCGCTGAACAAACTGGAAACACATCAATTGATGGATGTTTTATTGATCAAAACGCCATGCATTTCAAACTATATAGATTTCTCAAGACATTCTTCTCATAACTTATTTGGAAACACATTTCAGGAGTTACTGGGACAGAAACTTTCAAACTATATACTGGACAAACAAAAGGCTTTTGAATAAGACCTTTGGGATAAATACAGACTGGCACACATTAAAATTTGTGGCAATCAACCTTTGGTCATTTCAGGACCTGGAGATGTGTCTCCAGTTTCTTCTGTGGAATCAGAAAAGCAAGAGTGTGTCCACCCATGAATAATCAAATCCACAGACGTTAAACCTGCAAATACACAGGGTCGATTGTTCAGTTATGTAACATGAACATTTAACACTTCTTAAGCGTTGTAACATGTGTTCTCTCATTTTGCACACATTTTTAAAGCCAAGCAGTAATGTTTGTTAGAATTATAAGTGTTGCTTTGATTGAGGATGACAACTGCATCCTATGAGCAAGGCTGGTACCTATATTGTCCTCTATTTGAATTTTTGTTATTCTTATAGACAGGATATCCTGAATCCCCACAATCATTTGCCTTATTTTCTCAATATTTTAATTACCGAATATACTTGAGAATAACCGACCCGAATATAAGCCAAAGCATATAATTTTACCACAAAAAACTAGGAAAACGTGTTGACTCAAGTATAAGCTGAGGGTGGGAAATGCAGCAGCTAATGGTAAATTTTGAGATAAAAATATATACCAATAAATTACATTAATTGAGGCATCAGTAGGTTAATAGTTTTGAATATTTACATAAAACTGTAATTTAAGAGAAGACTTTCCAACTCTGATTAAACCATTGGTCTAACCTTCTTCGATGTAAAAGTACTTACGTATCCTTCAATAATAATAAAGAGAGTAAAATAATAAATGTAATAATAATAATAATAATAGAGTAAAATAATGGAAACATAATAATAATAACAGTAATAATAAAAATAAATGAAACAATAATAATCAAGTAAAATAATAAATGTAAAATAACAATAATAAATAGAGTAAAATAATAAATGTAATAATAAAATTAGAGTAAAATAATATATGTAATAATAATATAGTAAATAATAAATGTAATAATAATAATAAATATAGTAAAATAATAAATATAATAATAATAGAATAACAATAATTAATAGAGTAAAATAATAATTGTAATAATAACAATAACAAATAGATAAAAAGAATCAATGTAATAAAATAATAACACAGTAAAATAATGCAAATGTAATAATAGTAAATAGATTAAAATAATAAATGTAGCAACAACAACAACAACAGAGTAAATAATAAATAACTTTCACTCGAGTATAAACCGAGGGGGGCTTTTTTAGCCTTAAAAAAGGGCTGAAAAACTCGGCTTATACTCGAGTATATATGGTACAATTTTTTTTTACAATAAAAACACACAAAAAACAAAAACAGCAATAGTTCCCTCTGATATATATTGATAAAATTATTGTCATTCTTCTGTGTATGTGTTCAATGATCATTAGCTTTAACATTGATGGTAGCAGAGAAAAAGTGATAAAGGATAACAGTAGCCATTTTTCTGGTCATGATTATATATATATATATATAGAGAGAGAGAGAGAGAGAGAGACGTACACACACACACATACACACACACACATACATATACACAAACAAGCAACATTTTATTATGGTTCAAAGACCCTTATTGCTCCATAAGTATACAAAATATGCAAGGTTAATAAGGATATATACATACATACATATCTATCTATCTATCTATCTATCTATCTATCTATCTATATATATATATATGCATGCATGCATGGTGGTGATCAGTGAATTAAAAAGATGGCCGTTTTCATATGTAAACTACTTCTATATAGCTTCCTGCAAGCCAAGTTTAATCCAGTCTATAAGCAACAAGTTCATTAGGAAAGTCTGCCTGGTTATTACTCATTTTATCTCAACATGCTGTGTCTTATTGCATTCTTCCTCTGAAGCTTATTACATTCATACCTCATTCCCAGAAGGAAGGAATCTTGCGTTATGAAATCTTGCTCGTACTCACTGAGAACTTTTTGTTTGACATTTTAGATCTCTTCTCTTTAGATGACAGGGATTATTGTCATTGTTGTTTGTCACTGATGTGTATTGTGACTTAGTTTTTGTATCTGAAAAGCAGACAATAGTTTCTAAAGAGCAAAAAGGACTTAACAAAAGTGCCAGTCTGGGCAAGCAGAGGTTTCTCTTGAGAATTGCTTCTAAAGAACTGGAAGAGTCAACTGAACATCAAGCATAACATTCCCTGCATTTTGTCCTACTTTTAGTGAAACCAACTTAAAGTTCAAAATGTCACTGGAAGTGACAGACAGATTTCTTCAAGAAGAAAGTGCCTTGGCAGCCTTTGATGGTTTGTAGAAATTTCCTTTTATTTTTATTCTGTACATAAATGTGTGAACATATAGAGCTGGCTTGTACAAAGTCATATACCATTGTTCCATCTAGTTCAGTGTTATCTGCTCAGGCAAGAAATATTTATTTAATGTATTGTTGAAGGCTTTCATGGCTAGATTCACTGGGTTGTTGTAGGTTTTTTGGGCAATAAGGCCATGTTCTAGAAGCATTCTCTCCTGACATTTTGCCTGCATCTATGGCAAGTATCCTCAGAGGCTGTGAGGTCTGACCAGCTGTTAGGTATTGTGAGAGCTGAAGTCCAAAACGCCCAGAGGGAAGGCCACAGTTTGCCCATACCTGGTTTAGATACTGGGCCAACCACATACTTTTGGGAAGCCAAACAGTAGAACACAAGTTCAGCAGGAAAGAAATCCCATTGTTAGAGAACATTATAGTGAAATGTTTTGTGGTTTTCCCTGCTTTGGAAACTATCCAGACTTCTGAGTACAATCCATTCAGATAAAAACATACTGATTCTGTCTTTTCACTTAATGTGTGCATCCTAATTCTATTGTCAAAGGCTTTTTCGGCCAGAATCATTGGGTTGTTGTGTGTTTTCTGGGCTGTATGGCCATGTTCCTGATGCATTCTCTCCTTACATTTCGCCCACATCTATGGTAGGCATCCTCAAAGGTTGTGAGGTCTGCTGGAAACTAGGAAAATGGGGATTATATATCTGTGGAATGTTCTTGGTGGGAGAAAGAACGCTTGTCTGTTTGAGGTGGGTGTGAATGTAGCAAAGGATTCCCCCAAGCAGTAAGAAGCCAACCTTGAAAACTGCTAGGCCATTAAATGCTAATCAAGGTGGCCAATTGCTACCTCAAACAGACAAAAGTTCTTTCTCCCACCCTGGACATGCCACAGATATGTAAACCCCATTTTCCTAGTTTCCAACAGACCTCACAACCTCTGAGGATGCCTGCCATAGATGCAGGCGAAACATCAGAAGAGAATGCTTCTGGAACATGGCGATGCAGCCCAGAAAACACACAACAACCCATCCTAATTCTGTCAATGAACTTTTCTTCAGACTGTTTTTATTATATATGTGTGTGTGTGTGTGTGTGTCTCAAATGGTCCTATGTTACTATGAAGAATGGAATCATTGAGTTTCTTCTTTTCTGCAATTAGTAATTGTTCTGCATTCTTAAGTTTAGCATTTTAAATAGAGAGCTTTGCCATGAAACTAGTTTCAATTCAGTTTTGTAACCCATGTTTTTCTTTCCTCCCCTTGTGACTCTAAAATATCACATCAGGCTTAGTTGAATGTGAAGAACCCAACAACCGACTGGATAAGTTCACAGGGACGTTGATATGGAAAGGAAGGAGCTATGGACTGGATGCTGACAAAATCTTGTTACGTGGCTGTAAAATCCGGAACACTGATGTGTGTCATGGACTTGTCATATTTGCAGGTACCTGTGTAATGAATGAATTATTGCCGATAGCTGCTTCTTAGGCAACAGGAGGTGCTTTTTACAAATTTGCATTAGATAAGATTTCCAGTGTAATAAATCTATGCTACATTGTCAAATGTATAATGCATATTGCTAAAAAGTAACAGTATATATATAGATGTGTTCAATTTCTAAGAAAACGTATTTAGAGCTTTCTTAATAAGATCTGTTTAAAAATGTGCACACATTAACACTGTGATTTTCATGTAATTTTAGGAGCAGACACAAAAATAATGAAAAACAGCGGAAAAACACGCTTTAAAAGGACTAAAATTGACTCCCTTATGAATTACATGGTTTATACAGTAAGCTGTTCCAGTTTATTTACTCTTCCTTTTTAAGATGCTGTAATGTTTGTTAGTTTACACTCCTGTACAATTTACTGTTCTTTGACCATGTTTGAATTCTCTGTTGTTCATATCAAAGCTCAGACTTTGTGGTGTTATCTCTTGTTTGTTTCCTTATTGAAGTCAGTGAAGATTTGTATGGCTGGATAGCTATGATACAGGCCAAGAAATGTGCTGTGCTGTTGTTATTTTCCCTTCAGTATTTCTCACATTTGCGTAGAGTTAATTTACTTAGTAGAGCAGCAGCTCATCTCTGGATCCCCCGGTTGTGCAGCGGGTTAAACTGCTGAGCTGCTGAACTTGCTGACTGAAAGGTTGGTGGTTCAAATCTGGGGAGTGGGGTGAGCTCCCGCTGATAGGCCCAGCTTCTGCCAACCTAGAAGTTCAAAAACATACAAATGTGAGTAGATCAATAGATACCACTTCTGCAGGAAGGTAACGGCGCTCAATGCAGTAATCCTGGCCACATGATCTTGGAGGTGTCTATGGGCAATGCCAGCTCTTCAACTTAGAAATGGAGATGAGCACCACCACGCTGAGTCAGGCACGACTAGACTTAATGTTAGGGGAAAACCTTTACCTTTACCTTTTAGCTTGTCTCTTCAGCAGGAAGAACTGCTAGAAGAAAAGCAATACATCTTTGGTTAGCCAAAGAACCTACCTCCAAAAAATAAAAACAGCAAAAACACTTAGTGATAATTAATTATAACAGGTAATATCTACCAGTAGGCATGTCTGAGGAATAGTGATCTGTAATAGATATTGTGTCCACTTCCTCTTTCATCATAGGGTATAGGAATCCCTCTTATACTATTGGTTCTGGGTCTCACTGGTTTCAGATGGGGTCTTTCTGGAGAATCCAGAAGTTCCATTTGCCATCTTGACCACCCTGGATTCATTTTGTAAAATGTAAATAGTTCCCCTCATTAAGGTAAAATAAAGGGCTGCAGTGGCGCAATTGGATAAACCCTTGTGCCGGCTGAACTGCTGATCTGAAGGTTGGCAGTTTGAATCCACGAGATGGGGTGAGCTCCTGTCTGTCAGCTCCAGCTTCCCATGTGGGGACCTGAGAGAAGCCTCCTACAGGATAGTAAAAGATCCCTGCGTCCCCGGTGCAGTGTCTCTGCAAATGGCCAATTCTCTAACACCAGGAGCAACTTGCAGTTTCTCAAGTCACGTCTGACACGATAAAAAAAAATTAAGGTAAAATGAATACTTTTAACTGGTAGATCATGTGAGGACACCATACAGATGGTAGAACTAAAAGATATTTTGGGTTGCATTTGTTGTCTAGAATTCAAGCTCTTCTAAACTGTTCCTTCTTGGATTCACAGCAGTAGAAGAAGAAGGAAGTGGGAACATGTTTGTTTTGTGTATTTGTTTTTGTCTATGGTTTTAGTAGTGAGTGATTCCCTTTTATATTCTTTTTTCCCCAAGAAGTTGGTCATTTGAGGGGATTGAGGAAGCAATGAATGTCTGCAAATTTGTAAAGCTTTGTTGTGTTGTGTTTTACAACCCAGATCTTCGTTTTGCTCATCTTGTCTTCTGCTGGCTTGGCTATTGGACACACATACTGGGAACAGCAGATTGGCAATGCCTCTTGGTATCTCTATGATGGAAAAGATTATACACCTTCATACCGTGGCTTCCTTAACTTTTGGGGCTACATCATTGTCCTCAACACCATGGTTCCCATATCCCTCTATGTGAGGTAACTGACACCATATATTTTTGAATTTATAAAGTTGTACTGCACTTAATATGAATAAAATATGTTAAGCGGTTATCATAGAAAATACCAAAAAGACATTTAAACACATTTTTAATATAACTGGAAATAGTAAGTTCTTGTAAATGGTTTGAGACTGTTAAAGTTTGCTTCCACCAGGTTTTCTTCATTTCTATACATCATGAACTTAACTATAGAATAATTTTCTCTTCAGTGTAGATTATCAAAACTCTTTCCCCTACTAATAATTGTGGTACTTTTAAGGGATTTTTTAACAAGCAGTTCTGTCAAATAGGTCTATTTAGTGATATTTGAATCTGTCAGACTTGTCTGTACAAGAAAATGACAATGGTATGCAATGAAATGCCTTAAATATCACTGTGCTTCTCAGGTCTGCATTTAAATGCAAATGCTTGGAAAAAAGGTTGTCTAATGTGCCCTGTCCTTTAAGGACAACCGTGTTAAAGAAACAGATTCAGGATATATAATTGTTTTCTCTTTCCTTGCATTTTCTCTCTTGCTGTGTTAAGATAATCTGTAAATCTTAACCATGATTAGTTGCTTTTCAGACAGTCCACTATTGTTTTAGCTGTTTGGAAATAGCTGTGGCAAACTTATTTCCACTTGATCCCTTCTCCTCTGCATGTGAGAAGGGAAAAAGGAAGACTGTCATTTTGTTGTCATCCCCTCACACACACCTCTGTCCCTGCCCACTGTTTTAAAATTAAGTGTAAGAGAAATACAATTAGAGCCAGTGTAGCATTAGCACTCAACTATGACTTTGGAGACCAGGAATTGAATTCCCCACTCAGCCATGGACATGTAGTGAATGACAAATTACAGTACACTCTTTTGGCCTCAGAGAAAGGCAAAGGCAAATCCCTTCTGAACAAATCTTGTCAAAAAAGTTCTGTGATTGGTTCCTCTTGTGTGTATGTGCCTTCAAGTCAACTATTGACTTATTGATGGAGTTCTCAGAGATGGTTGTGTCAGTACTTCCTCTGAAATATAGCCTATAATAATGGTTATTCATTTGGTTGCTTCCCATTCAAGTACTACATTGGACTGATCCTGATGTTTGTTATTACTCTGTTGTTTATATATTTTGTCTGATGTTTTATTGGTTGTGTTTTACTTGTAATTTTGGGGCTAAATAAGGAGCCCCCGGTGGCGCAGTGGGTTAAATCCCTGTGCCGGCAGGACTGAAGACCGACAGGTTGCAGGTTCGAATCCGGGGAGAGCGTGGATGAGCTCCCTCTATCAGCTCCAGCTCCTCATGCGGGGACATGAGAGAAGCCTCCCACGAGGATGATAAAACATAAAAAAACATCTGGGCATCCCCTGGGCAACGTCCTTGCAGACGGCCAATTCTCACACACCAGAAGTGACTTTCAGTTTCTCAAGTCACTCCTGACACGACAAAAAAATGGGCTTGTCCCTTGTAAGCTGCCCCAAGTTCATTTGGGGAGATGGTTGGCAGGGTATAAAAATAAAATAAAATAAAATAATAATAATAATTATTATTATTATTGCTTCAAAGATCAGACAGTTCTGTTGTTTATAGCGTATTTAGGCCCTAGGCTCCCTTTAGGATAGCCATAGGTAGTAAAGGGCCTGAAGGCACACCACAACAACAATAACTAACCTAAATTACAAGTTATAAATGCCCTTCATCAGATAATCTAATGTAAATCGTTGTTTTAATTCATTTTGAATTAGTCTGCTGAAATACCCCAAAGGCACAAGATTCCATCTGATATGGAAGCTAAGCAAGGTCAACACTGGTTAGAACTTGAATGGGAGACTGCCAGTGAACATCAGGTGCTGTAGGCTCTATTTCAGTGGAGGGGATTGGCAGAACCAATGGTGTTGCAATAAGTTGACAGATGACATTTTTATTCTTCTGAAATGATTTGTATCAATATATCAATTACAAATATAGGAAGCCAAAACTGATTACTTGAGATCTTTTTACCTTGTAGTTCCACATAATGTACTGTTCTTGACAAGCCCTCTGAATTCAGAAATTCAGAATTTGCCTGGCATTCCACTGATCTGTTAGATATTTTGTTTTTGCGTGTTTCAGATTTCAAAATGATGATAAACATTGTTATCTCTTACTCAGTGTTGAGGTGATCCGTTTAGGACAAAGCTACTTTATCAACTGGGATTTGCAGATGTATTATCCACCAAAAGACACACCTGCTAAAGCAAGAACCACCACTTTGAATGAACAGCTTGGACAGATCCACTATATCTTCTCAGACAAGACAGGCACACTGACCCAGAATGTTATGACATTCAAAAAATGTTTCATCAGTGGAGAAACATATGGTAAGTCATAGCTTTGCTGGTGTTTCCCAGAGACCAACTGTCCACATGTTTTTAATGACATACAAAAGAAGTTGTTTCCATGCTTTCTAAAATAATAATAATAATAATAATAATAATAATAATAATAGACACGATATGAGGATTTAAAGACCAAACTGCAAAGACTCTGACACAAGCCAGTAAAGGTGGTCCCAGTAATGATCGGCACACTGGGTGCAGTGCCTAAAGACCTTGGCCTGCACTTAAACTCAATCAGTGCTGACAAAATTACAATTTGCCAGGTGCAAAAGGCCACATTACTGGGATCTGCACACATTATTCGCCAATACATCACACAGTCCTAGACACTTGGGAAGTGTCCGACATATGATCCAGTACAACAGCCAGCGGAGTGATCTTGTTTGTTGTGGACTCATCTTGTTGTGTTTCAATTATTAATAATAACAACAACTTTATTTTTATACCTTGCTTCCATCTCCCCGAAGGGACTCGAGGTGGCTTACAAAAGGAAAAGCCCAATAAAACATGTTAAAATAAGCATTGAAAAACAAGCACTATCAAACATCAATAAACATAAAATTAGACATTATATAAACAATTAAAAGCAATATCATGGCTGAGCAAATAAAGTGCTATTCTATGATAATTAACCTGTAAAATTAACCTCACAGAAGTTATGGCAATTACGATTATCTTAGATGCCTTTAGCGAAAGGATTAAATAAATTCATGAGCTGATATCCATTGCTACATGAAGAGATAGCAGTTTCTGCAATGGATATTGTCCATCTTCTGAAGTTTTCAGTACAATCCATAATCTGGGTTGAGTTTGGAAGGGACCTGGCAAGCCTTGTGGGATGTATTTTAAAAGGAGAACTAGCCTAAATTTGGAAAGGAAGGTTGTGAAAAGAATGCAAAATTCTGCCAATTGATTTAGCAAGATTGTATCTTTACATGTAGCCAGCCACATAAAACATGACGCATGGTATTTGTTAGGCCCTTCCCAACAATTTACCAGAGAATTCAGAAATGGAGGTTAAAAGGTTAAAACTTGCATTCTGCTCATGCAAATGCAGATGCCACCCAAGGGGAGTGAATCTGTTACTGCTATTAACTGCAATAGTTCATATATTACTCCATATTCAGAGGTAGTATATAACTGAGTAGGGAGTCTGCATGACATATTACTGGGCTAAATGCCCAGTCCCTAGCTCGTCAGATAGTACTCTGCTTTCTGCACTTTTTCCATTGCCCCAGTCCTATACTACGCTGTTTTGCACTATCCCAGGCCCGTCCTCTTTATACCGTGATCATGCCCATCTTAGTATTCTAGCTATTGGTTTTTATTGTGTATTGTTTGAGTGAGTTTTAATGCTGCTGTTTTATACCCCTATGTTTTATTTAATTGTGTTTTATTTCATTGTTATGCTTTACTATATTTTATTTTAATCGTGTTTTTTGTTTTTAATTGATTGTTTGTTTTGATGTCCTGTGGACATGTTGTCCCATGTGTAAGCCACTCAGAGTCCCTTCAGGAAGGTGGAGCCAGGGTATAAAAATGTTGTTGTTGTTGTTGTTACCCTGTGTAAGCCATACACTCTCGGCCCCAGAAAGCCCTGTGATGGCTTTGCATTAAGATCACCATAAGTCTGGAACAACTTGAAGGCGCCAATATAACTGAGGACCAAATGATGTAAGCAGACAAGATACAGACGTGGCTTCTGTCCCTGGCTGACTTTTGTTGGAAACAGAAGTTGGACTCATGGTGTGATCCAGTAAGCCAGTTCTTCTGTCACACTTGATACTATTTTTATTTTTTATTTTCCAGGAGACTACAGAGATAAAACAGGGGAAATACAGCATCGTCCTGTGGTAAGCAATTACAAAACAGTATACCTGAAAGAGGCAGAGTTCTAGAAGATGTTAGTCTCCTCCAAATCCTAAACTTTTCCTTCATCAATTCCAAAAAACAATCACTTTACCAGCGAGTCAGTTTGTGATATGAGTTTCCATAAGTGGCATGGGAAGCTGGAATTTGTGAAATATTTGGGCAGCAGAGTAAGGACACATAGTCCTAAGCGTAGGAGTTATTTTTATTGATATCCAATAATATAAAGTGCTTTTACAGCAGAATTGGAGAACTGGTTCACCTTCAAATGCTGTTGGATTGCAACTACCACCGTCACCCTGATGCAGACTCCATGATTGGGCATGATGGAAGTTGTAGCCCAACAATCTTTAGATAATTACATCTTAACTTACCCATAGAGATTCAAGAGATCCATATCATATTTACTTGACTAGGATTGATTTACTTTCTCTGTGGGAATATACTAAGTAAGGCCAAGACCAAATTTGGAGTTGTATGTCAGAGCTAGGACTATACCAGCTTTGTCAATGTGAATGTGCCCCAGCTTATTAGACAAAAGGCAAAATTGTATTGGCACTAGTTGTACATTAGCAACAAGAAGAGCCATAAGCTGACACTCTCATGTTCTTTCCATGTTTAGCAAGTTGATTTCAGCTGGAATATGTATGCTGATGGAAAGTTAACATTTCATGACCAGTATCTGATTGAGAAGATTAAGTTGGGGAAGGAACCTGAAATTCGGCAGTTCTTCTTCCTGCTTGCACTCTGTCACACTGTGATGGTGGACAATACTGATGGTACGTAGTTTGTTTCTTCTGATCAAATCCACGACAAGTCAGGATATCTGAGATACTTGTGCATTTTCATAGGAATGCATATACTTCAACATATTAGGAATTACGTTCAGACTGGAGAATCTTTGCAGATGTTACCTTTATTTTGGAAAATGTGGGAGAATCCTCTCATAAACATACTAACATAGTATGGAGTTTGGAATTGGTCTGTTGTCCCTGTGTTTGCTGGCAAATATGTGTTCTAAGCACTTGGTTTAGAAATGCTTTTGCCTCCATTGCTATTCAGAGCATCCTTCTATCTTCAGTACCACAATCCCGCCTCCTATAAACTCTGGTTTGCTTTTGATTATTATACTTTGCATTTTTTTTTCAAATCCAGGTGAGCTCAACTATCAGGCTGCTTCACCTGATGAAGGGGCATTGGTAACTGCTGCCAGAAACTTTGGTTTTGTATTTCTTTCACGGACACAAAATACTATTACAATAAGTGAAATGGGAACTGTAAAAACGTATGATGTTCTTGCCATTCTGGACTTCAACAGTGACAGAAAACGGATGTCAGTCATAAGTAAGTCAAGCAGTTGTTTTTTATTGTTTAACAGTGTTTCTTTCGTAAAGAGATACATTCACCATTTGTTTTCTTCTTTTAAAAAATCAGCTTGGTCTTAAAGATGCATAAGGAGAAAAATAGTTTACATTGTTCCAGTGTAATAAGTAGAAAGAGCTGCGGTGGTGCAATGGATTAAACCCTTGTGCCGGTTGAACTGCTGACCTGAAAGTCGGTGGTTCGAATCCGTGAAATGGGGTGAGCTCCTTTCTGTCAGCCCCAGCTTCCCATGCAGGGACATGGGAGAAGCCTCCCATGGGATGATAACACAACTGGGCATCCACTGGGCAATGTTTCTGCAGATGGCCAATTCTCTCACATCAGAAGCGACTTACAGTTATCTCAAGTCGCTTCTGACATGATAAAAATACTGTAATAAGTACTGGCAGCTTCTAAATCTGTGGAACTGGGAATCAGCTCTGTGTTTTAGTCCATGGGTTAAATGAGCCATCCATGTTGCTGATCTTTCTCCCCCAAATAATTTCAGCATCTTGGATGGCTTCTTCAAAGTTTAGAGTAATAACTGAAGCAGATTCACCCTTCTGGTTGACATGTGAATCACCAACTATTGTAATGCTTGTTGGTTAAAGCACATCAGTAAGTAGTGTAAGCAATATGTATTTATTTAATTTAAATGCCACCTTCCTCCCAGAGAGGGACTGATTAACACAGATGTCCTCCCTATTAATGTTTTTTGTAATGCTTGTTGATCACTCATAGAATACATATTTCTCCATTCTGGGAAACATGCAGATCTAATAGTCAAAGTGTTAATTTAGTCTAAAAATGTTTAGATTTTAATATTTTATTATTATTTAGTTGTTTTTTTTTCAGGAACAAGTATGTTTGTGTGAGAGAAAGGAAATTGTGTTTTTTTATATATTTTTTCTCATTATGCCTTATGTCGTTTAAATAGTTGATATAGAAGTACAATCAGTCCTGATGTTAGGGGCACAGGACCACTGTGAAAGTAAAAAAAAACCCACTACTTTTCTACATTTTTCGACATGACTCTATGGTCAACTCCTACTGGGTACTGACTAAAGAATCACAATGGAGGAGCTAGAAATTCCTAGAGAGAACCTTTTCATCAAATCTGTGAATAATCAAAACTGCAAAAGCCAAACCTGCAAATGGGGAGGGTCAACTGTAGTTCATAAACACAAAGATATATGTATTTCCAATGTTCATATTTTCAACATTCCTGATTGTGTCTTGTTTTTTATAGCAAGAGAACCAAATGGAGCAATCAGGCTGTATTGTAAAGGGGCTGATACAGTGATTTATGAACGGCTACATCGGAATGATCCCCAAAAGCAGACTACAGAACGTGCACTGGATGTAAGTTGACTCTTGGGGCTGAGGATCTTATGCAGTGTTTGCCAGTATGGATGTGGTAGCGCTAAAGCAGCCATCTCCATCTTGGTACCCTCCAGATTGTAGTTTTATTGGGGGATGGTGGACATTGTGGTGCCATGTTTCAGTAGGGCTGGGATAGTCTGCTCTAGAGTTAGCTTTAGCACATTGTATGTAACCTTCATCTCCTGCTTGCCATGCTGTGAGATGGATGGATGGATGGATGGATGGATGGATGGATGGATGGATGGATAGATAGATAGATAGATAGATAGATAGATAGATTATAGATAGATAGATAATGCTCCATTTGGGGGATAGAAATGACTTTGGGAACACATTTACTTTTTAAAGTGGGGTATATATAATAAGAGAGAACATGTGTTGTATTTTTTTAGATTTATTTATTGTGTCAGAAGTGAACTGAGAATACAGTTATAATGTATAAAAAAACACAAAGTTAAAAACTTATTATTATTCTAAATTTCCTTTGACCATAAGCTGGCCACTTTGAATGCCTCTGATGTTGCTGTAAGAAGGTTCTCCATTGCGCATGTGGCAGGGATAATACTTGATCGTAGCAGGTTGTCTGGTTTGCTCTTCTCCACACTCACATCACGTGGATTCCACTTTGAATCCCCATTTTTTAAGGTTAGCTCTGCATCATGTGGTGCCAGAGCACATTCTTTTCAGTGCCTTCCAAGTTACCCAGTCTTCTGTGTGCCCAAGAAGGAGTCTCTCATTTGGTATCAGCCACTGATTGAGGTTCTGGGTTTTAATCTGCCACTTTTGGACTCCTGCTTGCTGAGGTATTCCTGCAAGTATCTCTACCGATCTTACAAAACTATTTCTTGATTTAGAGCCTAGGGGCCAGATACGGCCCTCCAAGGTCATTTACCCGGCCCTCACTCAGGGTCAACCTAAGTCTGAAATGACTTGAAAGCACACAACAACAACAACAACAACAACAATCCTATCTCATCAGCCAAAAGCAGGCCCACACTTCCCATTGAAATATTAAATATTTTATATTTGTTAAAATTGTTCTTCGTTTACATTATTGCATTGTTTTAAAGTGGGATTTTTGCACTACAAAATAAGATATGTGCAGTGTGCATAGAAATTCATTCATGTTTTTTTTTTCAAATTATAATCCGGCCCTCCAACAGTTTGAAGGACTGTAACCTGGCCCTCTGTTTAAAAAGTTTGAGGACCCTGATTTAGAGCATTGGCTTGCTGGCTGATATATGAACAGAGAATGGGCCAGAGATATCAATGCTTTGGTCCTTTTACTACAGGGTGATACTTCCTGACACATGTCAGCTGTTGCAACAAGTGTGGTGTACTGGTTTTAGTATTGTAATAGGATGCTAGAAGACCATGGTTCAAATTCCTTCTCTTTTACCCTTCTGTGTTTAATATTGCACTTTCTATTGACTAAATCTCTCCAAGAAAATTCCAGAAGGCACAGAACAACAATTCATAACAAAAAAATAAAATAAACCTCTTACGTACTTTTGAATGCGTACAAAGCCATTTACAACAAATAACATGCTAAAGTCCATGTTTGTAAGTTATTAGGATATAACGTCTCCAGGCTTACAAATCGTGTCTTTGGACATTAGAACTCAGTTGGTTGCCTTTGGACATAAAATCATAGAGATGGAAGGGGCTTTCTGGGCCAGAGAGATCGACCTGCTTGACTTATTGACTGGAGTAGTCCAAGTAGATGGCTTTTCTGAGACTCTGTAGTGATGGAGTGTTTACAACCTTTATATGTAATTGGTTCCATTTGTCAAACTGCTCTTGCTGCCAATGGAAATCTACCTGTGACTCTTATAAGGAGCTGAAATCCTTTCCTTTGAGAGAGCAGAGAAACAAGTCTTTGCCCTCTTCCATATGTCATTTCTTCACACATTTGAATAGTGTTGTTCTCTTTCCCTTTAGTCTTTTCTTCTCCGAGATAAACGTGCTCATATTGGCATTTTAATATACTCTTCTGTGCCTTCAAGTTGTTTCTGATGTATGGAGATTCTAAGACAAACAAATCACAACTCTTGGCAAGAGTTGTTCATAAAATGCTTGCCATTGCCTTCCTCCAAGGTTACCCATTAGATTTTATGGCTGGGCAAAGATTCAAACCCTCAAGTTGTAATCTAGCTCTCAAATCACTACTGGCTCTTTGGTCGTGTCAATACCTCAAAGGTACAGATCCCATTTGATCTTGGAAGATAAGCAACACCATATCTGGTTAGTTCTTGGATTGGGGACAATCAATGAATACCAGGTGCTGCCAGCCACATTTTCATGGAAGAAATCAGCAAAACCACTTGCCATTAAAAAACTTTATGAAAAACTCAAGTTGACAGGTGACTTAAAGGCACATACTTGAGAAACAGCAAGTCGCTTCTGGTGTGAGAGCATTGGTAGTCTCCAAGGACATTGCCCAGGGGATGCCTGGATGTTTTTACCATCCTGTGGGAGGCTTCTCTCATGTTCCTGCATGAGAAGCTAGAGCTGACAGATGGGAGCTCACCCCGCTCCCCAGATTCGAACTACCGATCTTTCGGTCAGCAGTCCTGCTGGCCCATTGCACCAGAAGGGGCTATTTCATACTGATAGATTAGAATTCAAAAATGTAAATTGTTTTTATTCATTGCTAAATGAAATTAGAGCCAATTTCACTCAAGGCCAAAATACCTTATGATAGTTTACATTTTTTTCCAGCAAGGTATTTTGACACGTCAAAACAACCTTTCTTGTCAAAGACTGGAGAATCTGTCAATCTTATTTACCTTCCTATCTTAGGATGGATCTTAGGATGAGTTTTACTGTTCTTATTTATCAGAATAGGAAACATAGGAATTAGATTTCATGCAAATATACAAGGTTCTCTGCAAACTGAATTTCTGACAAATTTCAGAATTTGTTTTTTTGTTGGATGTCCAATTAACTGGTAAATGTCCAAAGACCGTACACCTTTCATTTGAGACTGAGAATCTCTGGTATTTCAGCTGCAGTACCTTTCACATTTTACTGAAAGGAGTTTCCATTGAGGGAAGGTATGCCTAGTAAGGCTTGCTTTTGAGTATACATGTATAGAATTGCATAATTGGAAAAATGCCTTGCTTCTGTCTTCTTTTCATTGCAGTGTCACAAAAATTTAATGTGCAGATTTTATAAATGTGAATTTAATATGATGTGTGGGAAAGAATGGAAGGATGCATGGATGGACCTAATAATTTTGGAGACACCAGTATAATATTAAGGCCTGCAATGACTAACTACTTGCTTGCTGGACTGCAATTAAAAGTTGCTAATGAGAAATGAAGAGAAAACTCTGATAAGAGTTGGGACAGTGATAACAGAAATGTTTACAATGTTAAGAAGGAAGTCAGCATAAGGTCAACACCAATCAAGAAGATCAACATCTGACCAGGAAACTGAGATGGATCCAGGATGGAAGACATCTATCATTAATGTACAACTTTGGGACGACTTCAGCAGAATATTCCTATAAAAGACTCAGTCTAATAATGCTCAAAGTGTGGCAGACCTGAGGAGTCTATTCCACCTGCTAGGCTCTGCTCCATGGGAAGGAGAGAGATAGTGTACCATGGAGTGGCAGATTTGCAAGGGAGCAGTCTGGTCACTTTGGCCTTCTTTCTCAAGGGAAGAGGAAGAAGTGTGCTTTGGAGTCTTGGATTTGGTGCAGGGAGTCAGGTTCTGCTGTATGGAAAACAGAGATCTGGTCCGTGGCATTGTTCTTAGGGAAGAAGTTTTGGCATTTTGGCATTTTGAAGTTATGGCATTATGGAAGTTATGGAACTATTCATTGGCAGGCTGCAGGAAAGCAGCATCTGGCCTAACAGGTGCTTCTCCAAGGAGGGAGAAAATGATATGGTAATATTTGAATGCCTATGGATGAATGTGTGTACATGTGGTGTGAATGTTGAGTGAAAATGTAATTCTCCTTTGTTTGTTTTGTTAACCAATGTAATTGTAAATCCAATGTAGTTGCATAGAATCTGTATGTCTGTATGTCTAAATATTTTTCTGTAATCGGATATACCCTCTCACACTGGAAATTGCAATAAAAAGGAACTATGCTTTAAAGTTACTGAAAAGTCTTTCATGACAGCAGTATTATTATATCACAAGTCTGATTAAGGAGCAATTGGTCCAGTTCTGGGATTCATGTCACTTTGGTTTTTTGCTTATTCTGAAACAGACCCAGCAACCTTCATTCTCACATGACAATTTATCCCTGTCAGTTTGATCTGTTAAGGAGATGCTTTTTCAAATGATATTTGAATATGGCCCTGAGATATTCTTTTTGCTTTCCTTGAATAGATCTTTGCAAGTGAAACCCTTAGGACATTGTGTCTTTGCTACAAGGACATCAGCAACGAGGAGTTTGAGGCATGGAATAAAAAATTCATGGCTGCTAGTGTTGCTTTGAGAAACCGTGATGAAGCTCTAGACAAAGTGTATGAAGAAATTGAACAAAATTTAATTGTAAGTGTAATGGGAAGCCAGGGGTGGGCATTTGAATTTGCTGCAGTTCTATCACAGAGTACCTGTTAAAACTAAAGACACACGGGTTTTCCTATGTCTTCTTTTTTCCATCACTCTTATACTTATACTCTTCTTTTTTCCATCACTCTTATACTTACACTCTTCATATTGGTAGCTGTTTTAAGTGTACATCGAGGAATCTTCAGTGTACACATAATACAGCTACCAATATGAAGGCAAATTGTAGGGGTGATAAGGAAATATGATGTATATACTCATTTTTATAATATTTATTTACTGTATTGTTATAAGGACTGCAATCAAGTCTTACCAAGGCTTGTTGTTTGGTTTGGTATTGTGATATGTCCTAAGGGCTAGCCAATAAAATTATTGCATTATGTTGTATTGTGTACACTGAGGAGAATAAACATTTCTTCCTATCTTTATAAATATATCTTTATTTGGGGAACTTGCAATGTACAAACTGTGCCCTGGGATCACCAGTTTTTGTGAGTACAGCATAGAATGAAAGAGGAAATGAGACTTCTTCCATCTTTTGACATTGTGACTTTCTTAGGGCCAAGTAATCATTTCAATTAGTCAACAGAAGAAAATGAACTGAAGCCCAGGGTCAACTTCTTTGGGTTGGGAAGACTCAAGTTAAAACCCTGATCAGGCAACAAATTGACTAGGCCGTTCATGTTCCCTCTCAATGTTATTGATGAATAAATAGTTGCTAACACTGATACCTTGACTTGGATGAAAATCAAAGTATGCAATAATACATCAATAATACCATCTATTACCTCTAGTAAAGGTAACGGTTGTTCCCTGACATTAAGTTCAGTCGTGTCCAACTCTAATTACAGCTGGGGGGTTGGTGCTCATCTCCGTTTCTAAGCCGAAGAGCCGCCATTGTCCATAGACGCCTCCAAGGTCATGTGACCTGCATGACTGCATGGAGCACTGTTATGTTGAGTGCTTGTGAGAGCTTCATGACAGCTTTATTAACCTTGGGTGTTTGTGTGTGTGTGTGAGGAGCTACTTGAGAAACTGCAAGTTGCTTCTGGTGTGAAAGAATTGGCCGTCTGCAGGGACGTTGCCTAGAGGATGCCCGGATGTTTTGATGTTTTACCATACTTGTGGGAGGCTTCTCTCATGTCCCCGCATGGGGAGCTGCAGCTGACATTGGGAGCTCCGGCTTCTTTCCCCTGGATTTGAACCGCTGACCTGTTGGTCAGCAGTCCTGCTGGCGCAAGGGTTTAACCCATTGCACCAATGGGATCTCCATTAACCTTAGTGGGGTAGATGGAGAGTGCAATCCAACAAGTGTGTCAGTCATGTGACTGCAGTTCACATTCCTGTTCTTTGAATATCTACAGCTCTTGGGTGCCACAGCAATTGAAGACAAGCTACAAGATGGAGTTCCAGAAACGATATCCAAACTGTCAAAGGCAGACATAAAGATCTGGGTGTTGACTGGTGACAAAAAAGGTAATGTGTGTATTAATAGCTGCTTCTTATTTACCCAAGGTGTATGTCTGTGCAGATAATTGTGAAAGGATTTTCCTCCTTTTTTCACCTGATTGTTCTCTAAGTATAGTGTTTGCATTGTATATGTATGTGAGAGAGACTGACAATGGGAGGAGGCGGCCAACTGACGGAACATTCTCTTCTGTTTGCAGAAACTGCAGAAAACATTGGGTTTTCATGTGAACTTTTGACAGATGAAACTACTATCTACTATGGAGAAAACATCAGGTAAAAAGAAAACATGTTTCTGCATGCAAAGAACTGCAATGCATGAAACTATATTAATGTTGCTGCTTTTCCTATGGATCCTGTTGTTATTCTTTCTGCTGAAATATTTCCATTATACCTTGTATTGAAAATAATGCAAGGGAAATCAGGTGGATTATCTTTTAGAATTGAGTGCATGTTAAAACTAAACTGGCACTGTGCCATAGAGCAGAGATGTGGATCAGAGACTCATGCAAATGTCATTGAGCTGCTACTACCATGGTTCAACTCCTATCAGCCTTGTCAGACTAAGTCATGATGACACTGCAGAGTAACCGTATATGATGGGCCACATGTTCTTAATACCTGACATGGAGACCCATATTTAAATCTACCATTAGTAGTAGTACCTAGAGATTAAGTGTGGGCCAGCTGTTCTCTCAGGACTGCTGGTAGCACAATGGGTTGTGCCTGTTGAACTGCTGACCTGAAGGTTGGCAGTTCAAATCCTTGAGATAGGGTGAGCTCCCATCTGTCAGCTCCAGCTTCCCAAGTGGGGACATGAGAGAAGCCTCCCATAGGATGGTAAAACATCTGGGCATTCCCTGGGCAGTGTCATTGCATATGGCCAATTCTCTCACATCAGAAGCAAGTTGAAGTTTCTCGTAACTTCTGACACGAAAAAAAGCTGTTCCCTCTAAGCCTTATCACTATGTTGCTGGGAAGACAGTGAATACCATTTTTTGTGTGCAGAAAATTACAATTTATCATTTTTGCTGGGAATACATGCAGGGAACTTAGCTTTTATAGAGGAAATGTAATCTTCTGCATACAAAAATGCCCAGTGGATACAAGTGTGGTTTGATTCCAGGACTCCCAGTTGAGACCAAAATCTCTGGTTGCTCAAGACTCATTATACACAATGGTGTAGTAAAATGGTGTCCCCTATTTATAATGAAAAAAATCAAGGTTTTCTTGTCTAAATTTTTCAAAAATATTTTCAAGCCATCGATAGTTGAATCTGTGGATGCAAAATCTGTGGATATAGAGGATCGACTGCAGAGTGACAATTGTCTTGTCATAGATTCCTCTTCAGATTTTCCTGACATTTGGGAAACCTATACTTCACCTGTATTTTCCAAGCATTATTTTCATCCCTATCTAGAGGTGAAGGGATGTAATGTTTCTTACATTTCATTGCCAGCTGGCATGGGAATATCCATTGTTCTATGTGGGTTTTGTCTAGTGAGTGCTACCAAGTGCCAAAGTATGGAGAGAAGCATGGAATGATGATTGATGATGTTGATGTTGATGATGATAATGATTTTATAGAAGGGCTGTAGCTTCTGTTCAATTCTCATACTCAAAACCAAAACCAGATGAACCTCACATAGCTTGAAAAGCTTAGTTTCAGAATTATTTAATTCTACTTGTTTATGTCTTTGCCCACCCATTGGAAATATAACACCGGATAATAAAATTGTAATTTTTTTTAAAAAAAACAACAACTTTATGGAAATAATAGAGGATCAGTAATGAGGTAGCATGCTAGAGCAGTGATTCTCAACCTGTAGTCCGTGGACCGCCAGTGGTCCACAAGAATGAAAATATGGTCTGTGGCCTCACCATTACTATACTGTTTCCTCAAAACCACATGGCAGTGAGAGCGACTGGTCTCACAAAACCCTTTTATAATGGCGAGGCAGTGGGGATGTTGGGAGGGGAGAGGCTGACTACCCACAAAAGATTATTACTACCACATCAGCTCTAGATCATTAAATACGTTTTTCTTTGCACAGTGGCAGTATCATAGCCAATGAGGTTAATCTGAGGCATGATTATTGCTATTTGAAAACTTTGCCCAATACCCCGCCAAGATGACTTGAAATATAGACGGCACAATTTAATGGGCCAGATGTTTAGCACAGCTGGTAAATCACCAGCAAGTAAGATCTATCAGCTGAAAGGTTGCAGGTTCAAAGACCCAGGTCGGCATGAGCGGCTGACTGTCAGCCCTGCTCACAGTTTACCTAAGCAGTTCAAAAACAGCTTTAGTGTAATTAGAGAAATTAGGTATCGCTAAAAGTGGGGGAGATGTTTTACAACACCATAAAGAAAGAAGATCAGAAAATGCTGGGCGACCAAAAGGAAAGAGGAAGTCCTGATGGCTCTTCGTCATAGAGGATGGAGCGACAGCACCCCCTGTAGCTGGACTTGAGCCCAACCTTCCATGGCATCAAAACAACACACCTCCTTCCTGTTCTGTCTGCCTGTGTACTGTCTGTACAAAGTGGCATTGAATGTTTGCCGTGTATGTGTACTGTGATCCACCCTGAGTCCCCTTCGGGATGAGAAGGGTGGAATAAAAATAAAGTGTTGTTGTTGTTGTTGTTGTTGTTGTTATTCTGTGGACGAGCAGATGGCGACTACTGTGTGGCATAGGTCCTGTATCAGAAACTAGAGCTGATGTGGTCTATCCAATGCAATTTTCTGAATCAGCACCGCAAATAACCAAACAGAATCTAAAGTTGACCAAAAATAGATTCATAACCCTTTTGATACTAATGTTGGAGAGCGGTCCCTGGTCAAAGTGGTCCTTGTTCAAGTGCTCCTTGGTCAAAAAAAGTTTGGGAATGTCTGATATAAGAAAATTCAAGCAGCCAAAGAAAGCAAGGAGACTTTCATCAAGGATCCCTATCCGGCTAAAAACATGATTGTACGAACAAGCATCCTCTCTTCATTTTGGCTGTATGGTTTAGGATGAGCAAAAGTCACTTTGTGGTTGCTGTTATTAAATGATTGAATCTTATATAGCCTTGTTGATTCACTACTAATCAACAAAAAAGATATACCAGTAGATCTATTTTTACTCTTCCCAATTTAACAGCTGCATTTTGCATGATGGATCTTTTGTTTGTCGCCTTCTCCCCAGTGCTCTTCTGCAAACAAGGCTGGAAAACCAGAAGAACCTAACTGGATCTAATGCAAACACGTCTCAAGGGGGTAATGAAAACTTTTTCCCACCGGGTGGGAAAAATGCCCTCATTATCACTGGTTCATGGTTGGTAAGTATAATTTCCTACTTTAAAGTGATAGTGCTGCCCACAGCAGCAATGATAGGCAGACTGAGGCAACTGCCTCAGATGTCAGATGTGTGTGTATATGGGGTGGGGTGGGGGKGAATGCAGAAATTCCCATGCTTGTTTTTATGGAACCACTCTGCCATTTCTCTTCTTTGGCCCATTTTCATGCTTTCAGGTCACACATGTGATTTGTTCAATAGATCTGCATTCTTCTTTTTTATTAAAATATTGCTTACAACAGCTAACACAATGCTGCTTCTACTCCTGATGTATATTTGTTTATATCTTGACATTGCATTGAAGTCTAAAGCATATAGATGGCTTCTACTCTSTCTAAGAATCTAATAGCTTCTGCAAGCAAACTGTACTTACTGAAGACTAAAGCAAACACTGAACTAAAATGGAGTCAGACTCAATTCTAGGTTGTTGTGTGTTTTCCGGGCTGTATGGCCATGTTCCAGAAGCATTCTCTTCTGACGTTTCACCTGCATATATGGCAGGTTCTATCACAACCTCTGAGGATGCTTGCATAGATRCAGGTGAAACGTCAGGAGAGAATGCTTCTGAAACATGGCCATACAGCTCAGAAAACACACAACAACCCAGTGATTCCAGCTGTGAAAGCCTTCGACAATACAATGCCCAATTCTGATCACATGGTCTGGAACCCCCCCCCCCCCAACAACAAAGAGGTCAGGTAAAGTTTCAAACCAATACACATATATCCAATATGGTAAGCAATTATATACATAATCAATAACTAGTGGAGGCTTGAGAAGGTTGCTATTTCCAACAGCTATGCACTGGGGTTTAGTTCCTGGACCCGTCATCAAGGTTCCCATTATATAAAACTACACAGTAAAATGTCCCTTATATAAAATAACAAAATCAAGGTTTGCTTTTGAGATTTTATTGGTGGGGGAGAAATTTTAAGCCATGAATAGTTGAATCCATGGATGCAAAATCCATGGATACTGAGAGCAGACTCCATTCTGCTTTCCCAAGGATTTGCAAACAGAAGGAATTCAGAGTACTGTTATAGTACGTATTCAGAGTGTAAAGAGAGGAACTTTTATTACAGAATGAAATTCTTTTGGAGAAGAAAAAGAAGAAAAGGAAACTCCTGAAACTGAAGTTTCCAAGAACGATGGAAGAAAAACAAAAGCATATGGAGAGTAAAAGAAGATTAGAGCTAAACAAGGAGCAGCAACAGAGGAACTTTGTGGACTTGGCCTGTGAGTGCAGCGCCGTGATCTGCTGCCGCGTGACACCAAAGCAAAAGGCCATGGTGGTGGACCTCGTGAAGAGATACAAGAAAGCCATCACTTTGGCCATTGGAGATGGTGCTAATGATGTAAATATGATCAAAAGTAAGATACCTTAAGCATTACTTCTCTTCCTCTGAGCTTATTTGCATAAATTGGGAGTTTTGACTTTTTCTGCCATAAGGACCCTGTGGATGATCTTAAACCATCCCTCTCAGGACTCTTTTTCTTTGACATAGCTTTATGATCATGGGAAGAGATCTTTTTGAATCTTATATTGTTACATGTGGGGGGAAAATAGTTAATGGACATGGGACCATCTGCAGGCAAAACATGTACAGACTGAGCAACAATTATCTAGAATTCTAAAATAACTCCAAAATCCGAACCCAAGATAGTCGCAACTTTGTTTTCTGATTATTCAATGCACGCAAATGTTGTTTTATGCACAAAATTATTTTAAAATATTGTATAAAAGTACCCCCAGGTTATTTTCGAGGGGAAGTTTACACAGCTTGTGTATTTTTCTTTCTGGTGTTTTTAAACTTCATTTTAGGTTACACAATACATGAAAATCAGAATTTTAATAGTTGGCAAGAGGAAGACATGCATTAAATTTCCTCACTTATACTAAAAAAAAATTTAAGATCTGTATATAGTGGGGGGTAATTCAAAGGAGTGAGCCGGCGCTCCATGCAGTCATGCCGGCCACATGACCTTGGAGGTGTCTACGGACAATGCCGGCTCTTCGGCTTAGAAATGGAGATGGGCACCAGATACAACTGGACTTAATGTCAGGGGAAAACCTTTACCTTACTAATCCAAATGTGATGTACCTATAAAAGAGTCATGGTTCCCATTGTGTAAATGTGATTTTTTTTTCTTACACAGAGTTGCCTGAAAGTAGCTACCTCTTTATGATGTGTCTTTTTTGTCATTGTTCTAGCTGCCCATATTGGTGTTGGAATAAGCGGACAAGAAGGGATGCAAGCAGTCATGTCTAGTGATTATTCTTTTGGCCAGTTCAGATACCTCCAAAGGTTGTTGCTTGTTCATGGACGGTGGTCATATATAAGAATGTGCAAATTCCTTCGGTATTTCTTCTACAAAAACTTTGCATTTACTTTAGTTCACTTCTGGTACTCCTTCTTCAATGGTTATTCAGCTCAGGTAAGAAAAAGAAAAACAAAGCTCATGAGCTTAGCAGTTATGAAATACTGTTTATGAGCGTTTGACAGAAATACTCCAAAATTGTGTTGCAAAACTATTTTGAAACTGTCATTAGATTGATTGTTTTGTCAGACTCTATCTCTGTTGTCTTTTAGACAGGAGATGAAATCGATGAAATTGAAATCAGCTTTTAGCATGCATTCATGTCGTTTTCCTCAATTTATCTTCTGAATTGCTATTCCTATTTTGGCTCTAACATATTTTGTTAGTTTTGCTTTTTTACTATTATTAACTCTCTTGTAAGTCAGTTTTGATGAAATAAAGAAGAATATAAATGTTTTGAATACATAGTTACAGCTTTCCCAATTACATCTGTAACTCAATTATGGCATTTATTACAAATAGTCAAAGTGTGGCCCATAGGCTGTTTAATAAATTTTTTCCCTGGGACTCCCAGAGGTGAAAGATAGAGTTACAAGCTGGATAGATGCAGGGAATGCCATGAATGTAGCATAGCTGGATTTCTGTAAGGCCTTTGACAAGATCCCCCATGACCTTCCGGAAAACAAATTAGTCCAATGTGGGCTAGGCGAAATTACGGGTAGGTGGATCTGTAATTGGTTGAGTGAATGAACCCAGAGGGTGCTCACCAATGCTTCCTCTTCTTCCTGGAAAGAAGGGATGAGCGGAGTGCTGCAGGGTTCCGTCCTGGGCCCGGTCCTGCTCAACATCTCCATTAATGACTTAGATGAAGGGCTAGAAGGCATGATCATCAAGTTTGCAGATGACACCAAATTGGGAGGGATAGCCAATACTCCAGAAGACAAGAGAAGAATTCAAAGCGATCTTAACAGATAAGAGAGATGGGCCAAAACTGACAAAATCAGGTTCAACAGGGACATATACAAGATACTCCACTTAGGCAGAAAAAAATGAAATGCAAAGATACAGAATGGGGGACGCCTGGCTTGAGAGCAGTACGCGTGAAAAAGATCTTGGAGTCCTCGTGGACAACAAGTTAAAGATGAGCCAACAATGTCATGCAGCGGCAAAAAGAAAAAGCCAATGGGATTTTGGCCTGCATCAATAGGAGTCTAGTATCTAGATCTAGGGAAGTCATGTCACCCCTCTATTCTGCCTTGGTTAGACCACACCTGGAATATTGTGTCCAATTTTGGGCACCACAATTGAAGGAAGATGTTGACAAGCTGGAATGTGTCCAGAGGAGGGCGACCAAATGATCAAGGGTCTGGAGAACAAGCCCTATGAGGAGCAGCTTAAAGAGCTGGACATTTTTAGCCTGCAGAAGAGAAGGCTGAGAGGAGACATGATGAAGGCCATGTATCAAGATGTGAGGAGAAGTCATAGGGAGGAGGGAGCAAGCTTGTTTTCTGCTGCCCTGGAGACTAGGACGCAGTGGAACACTGGCTTCAAACTACAGGAAAGGAGATTCCACCTGAACAGTAGGAAGAACTTCCTAACTGTGAGAGCAGTTCAGCAGTGGAACTCTCTGCCTCTGAGTGTGGTGGAGGCTCCTTCTTTGGAAGGTTTTAAACAAAGGCTGGGTGGCCATCTGCCGAGGGTGCTTAGAATGTGATTTTCCTGCTTCTTTGCAGGGAGTTTGACTGGATGGCCCACGAGATATCTTCCAACTCTATGATTTGAAGAAAGAAAGAAAGACCATATTTAAACTCAAGAAGTAAACCAGAAGAGACTTCTTCTTACACTTTATTGTTAGGAAAGGCTTCGTCCTAGACCTAAAGGACTCAAAACAGAGAAAATGTGCTATGTTCCCTAAAGGGCATTTGTGGGCAAAAAAAATTCTTATTTGTTTAGTGATACTGTGGGAAAGTGTAGCTTTCCAAAGTCTCCGAGTCTCATGTACCCCTATAGCCTTCCTCAATTGCCCATTTCTGGTATACATAAAGGGTAAAAGTCATCCTAGGACCCTCCAACAAATGGCCACATATGAATAAGAGAAAGTTAGGTGCACAAGAAGAGCTTTATTTGTTATTCTAAACCATAATTCCTTCTGCTTGAGCAATGCCTATATTTATTATTTTATGCAAACAAACTGCTTCAAACTTTTGTCTGATTTTCCAGTGCTTTGCTGTTCACATAATTGTTTGATAACTGTTATTTCACGCTGCAATGTAAAAGCTGTATGTTCCTCTTTGAAAATTACAGACTGCTTATGAAGATTGGTTTATCACGCTCTACAATGTACTATATTCCAGCCTTCCAGTCATACTCGTGGGGTTGCTTGACCAGGTATGTTCCAAAATATTATATAAATAAAAACGTAATGTTTGTTTGTGGGATTCACATAAGCACTGGATGAATTGACACCAAATTTTGACAGGTCATTCCACAGATATATAAACTTGTTTTCCTAGTTCCAACAGACCTCACTACCTCTGAGGACGCTTGCCATAGATGCAGGCGAAACGTCAGGAGAGAATGCCTCTAGACCATGACCATATAGCCCGAAAAAACCTACAACAGCCCAGTAAATTATGTACCTTTCCAGTGTCACTGTTGTTTAAAGTCTAAGGTTCATTAAACAAATTATGTATTTTCCTATCACTCGTTCCCATTTTGCATTAGTTTCAGACAAAGCCATACACTCACTGTGTGGCAACTCTGGACCAGTTGGCACTAGTTTAGAAAGTACTGGATGACAAGGCATGTTTTATTTGGACATATCTGAACACTATATTATCTTCTTTCGTGTGCCCAGACTTCTCCATCCCTTTGGACTGGGAGATAGCTTGGCATGAACTAGTGTTTAAAGGCCTCCAATAAGAATGCATAACAATCTAATAAATACACCTATTAGGTATCAGTAGTATGAAAATGAACTTAAATGTATGCAAGGTTTAGCCAAACACTTTTCCCCTTGTTAATGCAGCTTGGAAGCTGATGATCCCGCTTTTCCATTTTCATTTCTATTGTTCATGTATGTTACCCACAATATGAAAATCACAACATTAATATACATGTTTTGGGTGTCATTAATTTCATTTCTGTATTTCTAAGTAGTATTGCAGGCTCCATGCTTTATGTGCTAGTGTGATGAGTGCTAGTGTGAAGAGTGCAATAATAGATCAGCCCCATGACCACTTTTGCCCATTAGTTGGCACAGACTTCTACAAAGGGGAAACCTATAAATAAGTATTAGGTAGTATTAAAGATAGTTAAACCTTTTATGATTCCATTGCATAAGTAGGCAAGACTGGAAATAATTCCATGGCTTGTACTAAATAGTATGGAAACAGAGTATAATATCCCTCTGGTCAAGGTAGAAAGGAAAATTATCAGATCATCCTTCTGAAATGACTGCTGATATATTTCACTGAGAATTAGATCCATTCACTGCTTCTCTAGCTGAAATCTGGCTACCTGTTCATTTTGACTGAAATATTTACTGTTTTCCTTGCAACATGACTGTTGTGGAATGTATAATGTTGCAGAACTAAAATGTAGTATAATAATGTAATCTTTCTTTGATTTTAGGATGTGAGTGACAAGCTGAGCATACGGTTTCCTAGCTTATATGTATTAGGACAGAGAGACTTGCTTTTCAACTACAGGAAGTTCTTCATCAGCCTCTTCCATGGAGTTGTAACATCCCTAATTATTTTCTTCATACCTTATGGCGCTTATCTACAAACCATGGGGGAAGATGGAGAGGCTCCCTCTGATTACCAATCATTTGCAGTTACCACAGCTTCTTCTCTCATAATTGCAGTTAATTTTCAGGCAAGTACATTGATTTTTATTATTGCTGAAGTTTGCAAATCAAATACTTGATTTGACTACTACATCTGGATTCACTAGTACTAGGCAAAATCCAACGGGGTCATTCTGCTAATAGAGTTGCTTTTGCTAGTAGAATGAGAACAATTCCTTTCCTTTCCATGTCCCCCTCAAAATCTGTTTCTGACCAAGTTTATAATAAACATGAAATGATACAAGTACCAAGACAATGTCTCCTAGTTATTCAGGTGCATTTGTGCCATTGTGTAGCAGTACAGTATGATCAGACTCCTTTGGAGGAAAAGGAGAAACTAGGAAAAGGTGTGCTAAGTCCTGTATTTCTAGAGAGGGGGATTATCATGGTGCAATAAGACGAGTCAGAATAGTCGAGAGAGAGAGAGCAAAGCTTAGAAAGGATGCTATTTGGAGACTACCTCTCCAGAATTACTCCAGCAAGTATTTGTACATTACCAATGTGCCATGGGCCTTTGGCTTTTGCAGTTGTAGAGCAAGAACAGCTCTCACCTTTCTCGGAAACCACACAAAAAAAAGTCTAAAGTAGGAAAGATAGGAATCTGTTTGTGGATATGAAGAAAGGGGATAGAAACAGAAAGGATAGTAAAGTGCTTCAGGCAGGAGAGCAGAAAAGATGTACCCAGGTCTGTTTTCCCAAAAATAATTTGGATATAAGTATCCAAAGTTAGCAAAAACTTTGCCAATTTTTTCAGCTTTATCTGAAGAGGATTGCAACCTTACCCTTTTGCCTTCTCTTAAGTCTGTGGATCTTTTCACTTGGCACAGCTATAGTATGATTCCACAGCTGCATTCTGCCATTTGTAGGTTGGTGTAGACAGCCAGTGTGATATGTGGGTTGAGCATTAGACTATAACTCTGGAGACCAGGGTTTGAATCCCGACTCAGCTATGGATTGGGACCTTGGGCAAGTCCACTTTCTCAGCCTTGGGGAAAGGCAAAGGCAATACCCTCCCCCAATAAATCATGCCAAGAAAATTTGCTTTGGCGTTGCCATAAAAATCTCTGGCTCAGAGTTCTAAATACTCCTTCCTAAACTACAAATCTCAGGATTCCATAGGGTGAGCCCATAACAATGAAAGTGGTTTTAGTTGCCATTACAAAAGAGTTGAAATTCCAAGGACTGAAACTATTGTCTCCGCTGGATCTCTAACTTTATTTCTGGTTATGTGTTTTATTCACAGATGGGTCTGGATACATCTTACTGGACATTTGTTAATGCATTCTCAATATTTGGGAGTATAGCACTTTACTTTGGCATTACATTTGATCTACACAGTTCTGGGATACATGTCCTTTTCCCTTCTGCTTTTCAGTTTACAGGTCAGTAGAACTTACTCTCTCTTGTAGCAAATGTCAGAATTAACAACAACCCTAGTCAAATTTAATAATTCTCAACAAGATGACCACTGGGAAAACTCAATAACAATAATAACAATTATAATAGCTTTTTTATTTGTATTCCACCCTCTCTCCCCAAGGGGACTCAGGGCAGATTATATACCCTACAGTCCTATGAAAGTCATAGTACATTGGGCATCTGAAAGTATGTTACAAAGTTATTGAGTAAAATAGCCTTGCACATTACTCTCCAAAACATATGCCCTCCCCAAAGATGCTTACTCAGTAATTAGTATAATTACTATTTGTATTCAAAGAATCTGAATGACACTGTGGGTTTTTGTGAACTACAAATCCCTAACTATATACACTTTTCTTTTGTGTCCTTCCAGGTACTGCTCCAAATGCTCTCCGGCAGCCATATATCTGGTTGACAATAATATTGTCTGTTGCAATTTGCTTGCTTCCTGTGGTCGCACTTCGTTTCTTGACCATGACTATTTGGCCTACAGAAAGTGATAAGGTATGTCCATAGAAAGGTTCAGTAAGCTACTCTTATTCTTCTGAAACAGAATAAATCAGCAGAAAACATGTCCAATTAGCTATGTTTGGAGGCCACAATTACCTCTTGTTTATTGTGTTGGAAATAAGCCTAGGTGAGCTTTGAGTTTGTGCATTCTTTTCTTCACCTCTGGTATGGACATAACAAGGAGTTCAAGTGTGTTAGCTTCCATTTTAAAGTAATTTCTGATCATGCCACCCAAACCTATCATGCAGGTTTACAAACCTTGGCTTCATAAATCTTGATGGTTTCAACTGACTATAGTTAATATTGACCGCAGTTTAGCATTTGGCTGTCACACCAACCTGTGGTACATGAGAAGTGGAGACAAGAGCTCCAAATTGCCTCACAGCTTTGTTAGAGAAAAAGAGTTGCCTAAGTTGGCTCTCTTTAATAAACTGATTTATTATAACATTGCAAACAGAAACTCCACAGTGTGAGATTCCATAAATACTTATCCCATGAGTTGTTGCCTTTAAAGGCTCACACTGCAATAACTTGACCACTTTATCCACATGTTATAAGGCTTTGCATATTTGCTTGCTGGTTCATGAAGAATTTTGTGTTAAAACCAATTCCTCTAAGCAGGACTCAAGACATAAATGTTTCTCTTTCTCTGAAAAGAGAATAGGGAAAGCTATGTCCTGAGGTGTCCAGAGAAGGTCCAGTTAGGAAGATATGCAGAAACCCCTGAAGACAAATGAACTAAAGATGACTTTGTGCATAGCATCTATAGAATAAAATCAATGGCAGATCATGAGAGTTGTAATTCAAAAAAGAAACTTTCCCAAGTTCTGGAAGTTGAGATAGCAGATTTTGGTCATCATTGGCAAGAATCCAGATAACAAAAGGCTTTATTGTGAGAAGCCCACGGTGAGGGTTGAGTCTGCTTGATGATACTGTGAGGCTCCTAGAGAAGTGTTTCAGAAGCAATTTTTGATATACGACGTTGTTCTGTTGTTCAAAGAAAACAAGGTTCTTGACAATAGAACCAAATATGGAGGAAAAGGCTGAAAAACAAGAATTGAGGAAGGGGACAATTCCTCAGTCCTAAAACTTCATTTATTTGTTTATTAAATCAATAAATAGATTTTAAGCTTTTTAATACAAACTTTTAAAAACAATAATTTAATAAATAATTAAACACCAGTAAGTTAAACAACTGAACATCAGTAAGTTAAGAGCAAAATGCCTTCCTAAAGTTTGGCAGGCTAAAGAAGGTGCGGCCCTTTTGGTTGTCTGGACTCCAGATCATATAGTGCTTTGAAGGTTATAACCAGCATTCTGAATAGTGTGTGCAATGTTGCTGCAATGTAAGTGTTATGCGTAAAACATGGCAATAAAGGCACATAAGATTCACAATCTACAGTATATTTCAAGGATTCAAAGCTGTTCATATGTCTATGGAAGATGTGTCCCTTGGTCATAAGGGGGGGGGGCACATTTTTCAGTGGGAGAACTGAAAAATGTTTCTAGATAAGGCTGGAGAATAATTGTGCCAGAAAGCTTGGAGAGCTACCACCAGTCAGCATCAATAGTGCTGTGCTAAATGGAATAAGGGTACATCTATAGTTTGACACCAGTTTAACCAGTATATCTCAATGCAGGAACACCAAGCACAAAGTAGCTGCACGCAGTAACATCCTGTGGAAACTTACTGGCAGCGCACGGGGAGCAGACCCAACATTAATAAGAACATCAGCCCTTCCCTTGTTTTACTCAACTGCTGAGTATGGCTGCCCTGTTTAGCATAAGTCTGTTCACGCAAAGCAGGTGAACATAGCACTGAATGAAACATGCAGAATTATCACAGGATGTCTCAAACCTACACCTGTTGATAAACTCTACAAGCTAGCTGGCATGCTAACCGTTAAGAAAAATAAAGCTGAACACTGTGAAAGCTATCTACTGCATGGCTATCAGCCTCTTCCCAGTAGACTCAAATCAATGAAAAGCTTCATGAGAACTACCACTCCTCTTAATGTCCCCCCAGCAACAACAAGAACATCCCTCTGGGCAGCTAAACCAAGAAATCCTAATTGGATGGTTCCCCCACGAAGGTCTACGTTCAGAGGCAACCAAGAAAGGTCAACTTGGAAGTCCCTGAACAGACTTAGAAGTGGAGTGGGCAGATCACAAGACAAGCTGGCAAATGAAACTTCCTAAAAGAATCCTCCACCTTGTGCAACTGTGGAGTAGAACAAACAACTCCACATCTGTATGCTTGTCCAGAATTGTTTGAGGCTACAGACGCAGTCACTGTTGCCCATTTTTGGTCAGAAGATATTTAGCCGCTTGTGCTCCTTCTATTTTTATCAGTTGTATACTTATGTATAGAATGCTTTTGATATGAAATAAATAAATGCTATGGGAATATAAGAGTTGAAGTTTGGTGAGGCACCAGCATTCTTTAGCATAAAAAGAATGCTGGTGAAGTTACAACTCCCAGGACCCCATAATATCGAGCCATAGCAGTTAAAGTGGTGCCAAACTGCCTTAATCCTACAGTGTTGAGGTGCCCCAAGAATGTGGTCCATGATTAGACAGCTTCCATTGTTCCTCCTTTTACCAATCCATTTTAACCTATTTTATGACTTTCTCCTATAAAGATCCAGAAGAACCGCAAGAAGTACAAGGCGGAGGAGGAAACGTGGAGGCGAAGGCCAAGCGTCTTCCGTCGGGGGGTATCGGGGCGCCGTTCAGCATATGCCTTTTCCCACCAGCGTGGTTACGCCGACCTTATTGCTTCTGGGCGGATCATTCGAAGAAGGCGAGCTTCATTAACTGCAGTCCTTGGCAACAGTTTGGCAGAAGTCAGCCGAGCAGAAGAAGCCAGCTGATGACTCTCTGTGTCCCAAAGAAAGAAGGATTTAAAAAAGGAAAAAATCAATTGCACAAATTTTTATTTTTATTTTTAATGAAAGACTCAGGATTATTTTTAAAAGACACATTTATGCAAGGTTATGAAGACAAGCTGGTTACCTTTCCCAAGTGACTTGGTTTGGGATTGTTGAACTGGAAAAACTAAGTGAAATGTTTAAATCCTCTGACCTTTGTATAAATACCTGTTCTGTGTGAAACTGAAGGATACAAAATAATCCACAGACTTTGGAGCCATTCGGTTGAAAGGGCTTTGTTTTTAAACGAGTACTTAAAGATGTTAATTCTTTTTTTAAATTGCAGTGGTGAAATAAAGTTGAATTAAGTTTTCATTCCGAGCTTGAAAAAGTTGCTTTTTAAAAGTACAACTCCCAATGATCACAATAGCCAAGGGATTCTGGGAGTTGTAGTTCAAAAAAGCAATTTTTGAAGCTCTGATTTCATGCCTTGAAACCAAAGATGAACAGCTGAGAGCAAAACAATTTTGTGTGCCACTTTGTGCCTTTAATTTATTCAAACATAATGGCAATTTTTAGGTAACCAAAGACTTATAATTTTTCCTGCTCTTTGTATATTAAGTTAGCTGTCTGATTTTACTTTGTAAGTACCCTGAAAACATGGTCCATCCCAGCATGCTTTCACAATTTTCAGGTTACTTGACTTGGCAAAGGAAAAAAGCCAATATTTTTAAAGCTCATTTTGGTCCCCCAAGCCACTTTAGACCCAGGAGAGAGCTCGTTTTTAACAGGAAGTGACCTAAATATTGAATCACTTTTTGTTGGGAAAAGAGGCCTTTGTGGGTCCTGAAACACACATGCACATACACACACTAAAAACCCCAAATTGGCCCCAAATCCCAACTATGGAAAGTTGGGGGTCTTATGGTACCAAAGAGGAGATCCCCTTCTGGTCATCCACTGGGGCTCCCAAACATTCAACATGTTCTAGAGCAGTGGTTTCCAACCTGTGGGTCCCCAGGTGTTTTGGCCTACAACTCCTAAAAATCCCAGCAAACTGTTTAAACTGTTGGGATTTCTGGGAGTTGAAGGCCAAAACATCTGGGGATCCACAAGTTGAGAACTATTGTCCTAGAGAGATCTAGAAACAGGTTCCAGCTCTCTGTAAATGTTCTAGAGTCATCTAGAAACTTTTACAGAGAGCTAGAATCTGTTTTAGAGAGACCTGGAATCTGTTTTGGAGAGCAACTGTTTTGGAAAGCAACTTGCTTGGCCATATAATCTCATTTGGGGCGTTCTTGATACAAATTCCTATTAAATTAATGGTTGCTACATAATAACAGGACTTGGTGGATTATGGCCTGTTCTTAGTCTTGCATTTTATACCACAGACTTTTTTTATCCTTTCTATCTGGGTAAAGGGAAAGTAATCTGGAATCAGTGGAAAGTTTATTCCTGGCATGCCTTTTTGTGGATATGCAGAGGAATGCCCTACTTTTGATTAGTTTTATTGAGTTGGGTGGCAGCCCAAGACTTGTCTTGTAGCAGTCGTTTTTACATAGTCTTTTCCTAACTTTTTTGCAGCAGCCATGTATGGACACTGTCAGGCTTCTTGAAAGGCACTTACATTGTCTATTTCGCCACATGTGTGGCAAAGTAGCTAGGCATGGTTTCTCGTTATGTGATGACACATCTAACATGAATGAGTGAGGTCCATGTAGAAACTGTTGTATGTGAAGCAGACCAAACTGGTCACTGGGTGATGGTTTTATAAAAGCACAAGTTGCCGCAAGCAAATAGTTCACATTTGGGATGAATCAATGTCACTATGTTTTAATAGTAAAAATAATTTGTCAGGTTTTAACCTTTATGTGTGTGTATCTTGAAGAGTTTGGAAAGCTTACTGTTGTGACTTACAATTTCCAGACTTCATCAAAAATGATGGCCATTGGCCATGCTAGCTAAAGAATTTTGGAAAATTGTGTCGCCCGAAATAACCTTTCCAAACACTGACATCTTCACGGGTTGTATGTTTATGTGTGCCTGTCTGTGTGTATGTTGGAACATCCAAATGGTTTACATTTCAACATTTTCAGCATACACCAATTTATCTTTCTAAATGTTCATAATTTCATGGAAATGAGGGAGATAAATGATGTAATCAGGTGTATTACGTTTATTTTCTGTTATCAGCATGACGTGTACATTTCTTTGTTATTATTATTTATGGAAAAGTTTACAGCTTTTCTTTTCAGTGATAGGAAATTGTGCTTAGCGTTAAATACTTTGCTCGAAACATAAGGAAATTGGTTGGCCACATGTTTTCAGGCATCTGATTTGGGTGCAATATTTGCAATTTTTAATGCGCTGATTGAACTGAATCCTTTGTATACTTGTCTCCAAAACTATGTGTGATTCATTGTCTGTGAAATGATGATAATGTATATAGTTGACATACCTTAATTTTTAAAAACTTTTTGACCGAAGTGGAGAAAATTTGTGTTTTTATTGGTCTTGTATTCGCATTGCCATAAATGTGATTGTCATATGAATGCTACTAGGTGCTAGAAAACCCTTTCACCATCTGCTGTTTTGGATCCATTACACGGGGAAACTCCAATTGACATTCAGAACTGCCCTGTGTACAAATCTTGGAAAAGATATGAGCTGTTGAACTCCAGATCAGAAAAGCCCTCTGACTTTAAACACCACACAGCTGAGTAGAAATGCAATCCATTTATTGAAGTTATTAAAAAAACAGTAGTAGTAAAAAGCACTTTAAAAGTATAGGTAAATCCAATTAGGTAGGAAGATAAGCCGGGACAAATAGTCCAAGAAATTAGTCCATCAAAGTTCATGAAAAACAAAGGCAGAAACTTCTATAGTAAAATCCAAAAACTGGAAACATGAATCAAAGGCACTTAACAGAGTAATCTTTCCAAAGCAAGGCTTCCAAGGAACAGGAACGAGGTCTTAACTTGATTCCAAACGATGCTTCATCTGACTACAGATCCTGTACTTAGGATTTTTATCTCCTAATTATGCTATGTCCCAAGCGGACAGAAATGGGTTTCGTATTAGCCTTGAATCCCTTATCATTCTTTCTTTGAGTCTGGCACTATGCCTAAGAGACTGCTTTTCTATTATGACTAATAACATCCTGTCTATCTACTTGCTCATTAATTGCTGCAGCTGAGCTATTCTCAGGCTCCAAATCATGGGAATTCTCTGGTAGCAATTCAGGGAGCACACCATCATCACCACACCCTTCAGGAACATTCTCATGAGAAAATACAGGGATCTCCTGTTCATTCTCTGCATTAATATCATTGGAAACACCATTATCCACAGGAACCTCATTGTAATCATTCCCCATATCCAAAGTACCCTGATCCTTAAACACAATCACAGGCTGAACTCCAACATGAGTGCACAGTCATAGCTTGTCCTTGAAGATCTTTCTAGAGATCTTTCCCATGCTGAAGCTCACAAAAGGTTCTTAGGCTAAGTGTTTATAGATATTTATTTATATATTTATCATGTCAGAAGCAAATTGAGGGTACAGTTATAATGTGTTTAAAAACACAAACAAAGATAAACTTGACATTATGCTAAATGTCCTTTGACCAGAGACTGGCCACTTGAAGTGCCTCTGGTGTCGCTGTGAGAAGATCCTCCATTGTGCATCTGACAGGGCTCAGACTGCATTGTAGTAAGTGGTCTGTGGTTTGCTCTTCTCTGCACTCACATGTCGTGGACTCCACTTTGTAGCTCCTTTTTTTAAGGTTAGCTCTGCATCTTGTAGTGCCAGAGCTCAGCCTGTTCAGCGCATTCCAAGTCGCCAAGTCTTCAGTGTCCAGGAGAGAGTTTCTCATCCGGTCTCAGCTACTGATTGAGGTTCCGGGTTTTAGCCTGCCACTTTTGTACTCTCGCTTGCTGAGGTGTTCTTGCAAATATCTCTGTTGATCTTAGAAAGCTATTTCTTGATTTAAGGCATTGGCTTACTGGCTGATATCCGAACAGAGATTGGGCTGGAGATGTCAATGCCTTGGTCCTTTCATTACAGGATGCTATTGCCCAGCGGAGGTCAGGTGGTGCAATACTGGCTAAACAGTATCATTTCTCGAGTGGTGTTGGATGTAGACATCCTGTGATTATGTGGCATCTCTCATTAAGAGCCACACCAACTATTTTAACATGGTGAGATGTATTTCGCACCAGGCATGTGTATTCAGCAGCAGAGTAGTAAAGCACAAGGGCAGATGTCTTCACTGTATCTGGTTGTGATCCCCAGGTTTTGCCAGTCAGCTTTTGTACGATGTTATTTCTAGCACCCACTTTTTGCTTGGTATTCGAGCAGTGCTTCTTATAAGTCAGAGCACGGTCCAGAGTAACTCCCAGGTATTTTGGTGTGCTGCAATGCTCCAGTGGTATTCCTTACCATGTAATCCTCAGGCATTAATCCTGGTATATAGACTATGATATATATTTATAGCAACCTACAAGGCAATGCCAGGGAACTGGGCAGAGGCGAGGGGCTAATTTCTCTCTTGCTTCACCTTTATGGGCTGGATGCCTTCCCCAATGTGCACCAAAACACATACATCAGTTGCAATGACTGCCTGTGTTGTATAGTCTGGATGGGTTTCTGCTCCTTTGGTTTTAAAAAACACAAGGCTATGTCCAATTTACAAGAAAACAATTTTATTTCATAATTTATCTGGGATTTGTTCTGAGAATATTTGCTCTATCTTTCCTCAGAGAAATTTTAAACTCTCGCCACTAGATGTCACTATTGGCCTGACTTGATAGCTTTTATTTATTTGTCGTGTCAGGGCAACCAGTCAATTATATTACATTTCAAACAGAACAAAGCAAACAGACAAAATACAAAATTTGTGAGTTTGGTAGTTGATTAAATGTCCTTTGACCAGTATCTGGCCACTTGGAGTGCTTCCGGTGTTGCTGCAAGAAGGTCCTCCCTTGTGCAAGTGGCAGGGCTCAGGGTGCATTGCAGCAGGTGGTCAGTGGTTTGCTCCTCTCCACACTCGCATGTCGAGGATTCCACTTTGTAGCCCCATTTCTGAAGGTTGGCTCTGCATCTCGTGGTGCCAGAGCGCAGTCTGTTCAGCGCCTTCCAAGTCGCCCAGTCTTCTGTGTGCCCAGGGGGGAGTCTCTCATTTGGTATCAGCCATTGGTTGAGGTTCTGGGTTTGAGCCTGCCACTTTTGGACTCTCACTTGCTGAGGTGTTCCAGCGCGTGTCTCTGTAGATCTTAGAAAACTATTTCTAGATTTAAGTCGTTGACGTGCTGGCTGATACCCAAACAGGGGATGAGCTGGAGATGTCTCTGCCTTTGTCCTTTCACTATTGGCTGCTACTTCCCGGCGGATGTCAGGTGGTGCAATACCGGCTAAGCAGTGTAATTTCTCCAGTGGTGTAGGGCGCAGACACCCTGTGATAATTCGGCATGTCTCATTAAGAGCCACATCCACTGTTTTAGTGTGGTGAGATGTGTTCCACACTGGGCATGCATACTCAGCAGCAGAGTAGCACAGCACAAGGGCAAAGATGTCTTCACTGTATCTGGTTGTGATCCCCAGGTTGTGCCAGTCAGCTTTCGTATGATATTGTTTCTAGCACCCACTTTTTGCTTGATGTTCAGGCAGTGCTTCTTGTAGGTAAGAGCACGGTCCAGAGTGACTCCCAGGTATTTGGGTGCACTGCAATGCTCGGATCGAGAAGCTATGCTCCTATTGATGCAGGCCAAAATCCCATTGGCTTTTTTTGCTGCCACATCACATTGTTGGCTCATGTTTAACTTGTTGTCCACGAGGACTCCAAGATCTTTTTCACATGTACTGCTCTTGAGCCAGGCATCGTCCCCCACTCTGTATCTTTGCATTTCCTTTTTTTCTGCCTAAGTGGAGTATCTTGCATTTGTCCCTGTTGAACTTCTTTTTGTGAGTTTTGGCCAATCACCTCTCTAATATTTGTCCATTTGTCTTCCCAAGAGATTTGCAAGATTTTCCGAAGGAATGGAATCATTCTAGGAATTCAATGTGACGTCTGTAGACAGTCCACGTTTCACAGGCATGTAGCAGGATTGGGAGGACAATAGCTTTATAAACAAGCACCTTGGTATCCCAACGGATGTCTCAGTCCTCAAACACTCTCTGAATCCCCCCTGGCAGAAACAGGTTGTCAACAGACCTCACAACCTCTGAGGATGCCTGCTGTGCTGTCGCACGCTGGGCCTGTGCACATGACTGTAGACAGGACATAAATTCTGTGTGCCCAACGGGATGCCGGGGCTGCCTCAGATTAAAGGCCCTTAGATTCCCCCAAACAGAGTATTTAGAATGCTTAAAGTAAATCCAACAAAGTTCTTTATTGATGAAAACAAACAGGTACTTTCAAGCTTTCTTAACAGTCTATTGGCTCTTGCAATCTTGTCCACAGGGAACAGGCACTGTCTTCTTAACTGTAATTAACTAATGGGGAAATCCTAACTTCTAATCTGGGCAGTCTGTACTTGCCTCTGTTGACGTGGAGCCCCTGCACCCGGTACCAACTGCGTCTGGCTTCCGCGAGCGACCCTCACCAAGCAGAGCTTTGTAGACTTCCAGGGAAAAAGAAAGAGTTCAGGTTGCTGTGATGGCCAACTGAAGTCCCTCAGCAAAATGAGCTGTAAGGCTGTATAACTCCAGTCAGGTTGTAGGCTGTATATTTCCCCGGCCAAGCCGTAGAAGACGAAGCTTTCTACAGGAGCTCTTCATTTTATGTCCTGTACGAAAGGCTTCTCTGTGAGAACTGACTCAAAAAGGCTCCTATTCCCTCCAAAACTCAAAAAGGGGCGGGAACATGGAACCTAACGATAATTGACAGGTGGCTTGCCCTATGATTGCAAACTATAACAGGAAGCCATCCTGCTGCAAAATCCCAAGCCTGGGATTGCAAACAGACATTTAATTCAAAGCAAATAAAATTGGAGCTCCTGGTACAGCTGTTCCAGAACACCTGCCATAGATGCAGGTGAAACATCAGGAGAGAATGCTTCTAGAACATGGCCATATAGCCCGAAAAACCCTACAACAACCCACAATATTGTTTCTGAAATCAAGTGTTTTTGGACTCCAACAGCCACAATTCGTAGGCTGTTAGGAATTGTGGGAGTTGGAGTCCAAAACTCAAAAAGGCTCCTATTCCCTCCAAAACTCAAAAAGGGGCGGGACCAGGGAACCTAACGATAATTGACAGGTGGCTTGCCCTATGACTGCAAACTATAACAGGAAGCCACCCTGGCAGGTGGCTTGCCCTATGATTGCAAACTATAACAGGAGGCCACCCTGGCAGGTGGCTTGCCCTATGATTGCAAACTATAACAGGAAGCCACCCTGGCAGGTGGCTTGCCCTATGATTGCAAACTATAACAGGAAGCCACCAGGCGGCCCAAAGTTGGCCCATGCCTAAATACTGCAATGTGTGAATGCTCCTTCCCAAACCCTGTTGGGTTCCCAAAGGGCTGATGCAATGCACAGAAGTGTCACCTCTACCGGCACCTGCAAAACCAATACATTTAAAGGGGCGGTGACACTTTTTAGGAAGCAGGAAGGTGCCTCTCTTTCCGGCTTCCCTATCCAATGAAAGGCAGCTGCATAAGCCAGGAGGGCGGCGCGAGCCTCGACGACGCACGCGCAGTCGGCTCCTTGCAGCAGCAGCAGCAGCAATTCCCGGGGAAGCGTCGCTTTGCGGCAGAGAGGCGCGCGCGCGGCTGATGCAACTGGCTTGCAAAGGAGGGAGCAGCAGCAGCATCACCCTCGGAGGCCGGGACCCTTTGGAGCCATGTCTGCCGTGATCATCGAGAAGGCGGCCGGGCTGGGCCTGAGTGAGTCTGCAAAGAGCCCGTCTGGCTTTTTCCTTCCTGGGTGGGATGGGTTTTTGGGGGCGAGGAGCATCCACTCCCATTCATTGGAAGACCTTTGAGGGAATCAGCTTGTAAGGCCATTCCCTTCCCCAACCTTCAGATATTTGTTTATGTGGAATGTCATTGGAGGTTATACTAAGGCCCTGTAATGGAAAACAAAGAAGAATATAAATACATGCCTACACCATGTGTTCCCCACTCACAGTATTCATTCTCTATTGGAAAAAGGGAGGGGGATATAAATACATGCATGTATCATGTGTTCCCCACTCACAGTATTCATTCTCTATTGGAAAAAGGGGGAAATATAAATACATGCATGCACCATGTGTTCCCCACCACAGTATTCATTCTCTATTGAAAAGGGGGAGAATATATAAATAAATACATGCATGTATCATGTGTTTCCCACCCACAGTATTCATTCTCTATTGGAAAAGGGCGGGGGAATATAAATACATGCATGTATCATGTGTTCCTCACCCACAGTATTCATTGGAAAAGGGGGGGGATATCAATACATGCATGTATCATATGTTCCCCACTCACAGTATTCATTCTCTCTATTGGAAAAAAGGGGGAATATAAATACATGCATGTATCATGTGTTTCCCACCCACAGTATTCATTCTCTCTATTGGAAAAAGGGGGGAATATAAATACATGAATGCACCATGTTTTCCCCACCCACAGTATTCATTCTCTCTATTGGAAAAAAGGGGAAATATAAATACATGCATGTATCATGTGTTCCCCACCCACAGTAAACATTCTCAATTGGAAAGGGGGGGGTATAAATACATGCATACACCATGTGTTCCCCACCCACAGTGTTCATTCTCTATTGGAAAAAGAGGCAGGGGAATATAAATACATGCATGCACCATGTTTTCCCACCAGAGTATTCATTCTCTCTATTGGAAAAGGGGGGATATAAATACATGCATGTATCATGTGTTCCCCGCCCACAGTATTCATTCTCTCTATTGGAAAAAGGGGGGAATATAAATACATGCATGTATCATATGTTCCCCACTCACAGTATTCATTCTCTCTATTAGAAAAAAAGGGGGGAATATAAATACATGCATGTATCATGCATGTAGTTATCTTCCCACCCACAGCCGCTCCCCGGATTCGAACCCGCGACCTTTCAGTCAACAAGTTTAGCAGCTCAGTGGTTTAACCCACTGCGCCACTGGGGGTTCCTTACTACATAATGTTACTGTGTATTGAACGCCTTTTTCTGTCGATTTGTTGTAAAAATGATGTTTTGGTGTTTAATTTGTAAGATCATAATGCAATTTGACGTTTAATAAACTTTTCCTTAATCCCTCTTTATTATCCAACATTTTCACATGCCCAACGTTCTGCTGGCCTGTTTATGTTGGATAAGCGAGACTCTACTTGTACATGCATGCATCATGTGTTCCCCACCCACAGTATTCCTCCTCTCTATTGGAAAAAAGGGGGAATATAAATACATGAATGCATCATGTGTTCCCCACCCATAGTATTCACTCCCTGCATTGGGGGAAAGGCAGAATATGCATACACATACATAATATGCCTTTCCTTCACTCCACAGGAGTAGTTTCCACATGCAGAGCCCCCCTGTGGTGCAGTGGGTTAAATCCTTGTGTCGACAGGGCTGCTGACCACTAGGTCAGCAGTTCGAATGCGGGGAGAGCAGGTTGAGCTCCCTCTGTCAGCTCCAGCTACTCATGCGGGACATAAGAGAAGCCTCCCACAAGGATGGTAACACATCAAAACATCAGTGTGTCCCATGGGCAACATCCTTGCAGAGGGCCAACTTTCTCACACCTGAAGCAACTTGCAGTTTCTCAAGTTCCTCCTGACATGAAAAAAGATCAGCTTCCAAATAATCACCATAGTTACTACTAGCTATAAAAAGTGTATACATTATTGAAACATCCTGTATGTGCAGATCTCTCCTTCTTTTTGCTAGTGTACTGATAGATGGTAAAGATTTGTTTCTAATGTGTATAACTAAGAATATAATGGTATGCCATCCATATCTTCTTCTGCCCTGGACGTGAAAGCTCTCCAGAAAAAAAAATCTCCTTAGAAAAAGGTTCTTGGATGCTGTAGGATTGCTCACAGGGAAGCCATGCAATGGGTGTTTTCCCTGCCGGTTCAGATTTCACAATAGTTTCCGTTTCTCTTTCAATTCGGGGAATTCCAATTAGTGCATGTTTGCTGGGTGACTAGTTTGTTTCAGTGGATGTTACAAAAGTCACTAACTTGGTGTCTTTTATGCTATGTAGTCCACTATACAGGTGCTCCTGTGGATTGGGAGTTTCAAGCTTCTTGTCTTCTGTTGAGAATCATAGGGAGTCTGCAAAGACTATCCAGTCCAAGCATGGGCAAACTTGGGCCCTCCAATTCCCACAATTCCTAACAGGCTCTGGCTCTTTTCTTTCTCCCCTCAGCTGCTTAAGCTGAGTAGAAGTCAAAAACACCTGGAAGGCCTAAGTTTGCCCATGCCTGATCTAGTCCAACCTCCTACATTAGTGCTATAGGGTAAGATAGCCATCCATCCAGCCCTTGAACCAAGCTTAACGAGATGGTGTTCCTTGTCATAAGGGATGTCTCTTGTATGAGAGCCAGAAAGCCCTTTATAGGGCTGGCAGGTGCCCCTTAAGATTGGAAGGCTTTTGCTTTTATGCAAATTGAATAAAATACCCCCTATCTCCAATTATGGAGATACCCCCATAAAGATAGAAAGGTGTCCGTTATAGAATCATAGAATTAAAGAGTTGGAAGAGACCTCATGGGCCATCCAGTCCAACCCCCTGACAAGAAGCAGGAATATTGCATTCAAATCACCCCTGACAGATGGCCATCCAGCCCCTGTTTAAAAGCTTCCAAAGAAGGAGCCTCCACCACACTCCGGGGCAGAGAGTTCCACTGCTGAACGGCTCTCACAGTCAGGAAGTTCTTCCTCATGTTCAGATGGAATCTCCTCTCTTGTAGTTTGAAGAGAGGAGATTCCATCTGAACATGAGGAATTTATGCACCATAAATTATAAATATTGACACTGTGTTAATTTTACAGAGAAAATCTATGGCTAAGTTAACTGAAATCAGTGCTTTCACTTGATATTTAGGTAGAACATACACTTAAGTAATGGCTTTCCTCTTCAAATGACATTTAGCTAATCATAGCAGACATTTTTCACCTAGTGATGTTCCTTGTTTTTGTCCCACTGCAAATTAGTCAGAGATTTATTTATTATTTATTTACAGTATTTATATTCTGCCCTTCTCACCCCGCAGGGGAATCAGGGCGGATTACAATGTACATATACATGACAAACATTCAATGCCATAGACACATAACATATATAGACAGGCACTCAGAGGCTATTAACATTCCAGCTTCTGGCCACCAGGGGAGCTGTTGCCTCCTCATTCTTTGCATATTTCCTGGAGATTTTTATGGCCTCGTAAATCAATTAAATTAGGTAGTACCTAATTTTCCTACTTGACAGATGCAACTGTCTTTCGGGCTGCAAAGAGTGACAACAAGCTACACAATTTTGGTCAGGAGCTCACTCCAACCCGGGCGGGCTTCGAACTCATGACCTTTCGGTCAGTAGTGATCTTAATGCAGCTGACTCCCAGCCAGCTGTGCCACAATCCCGGTGCAATACATACAGAACTATGTTCAACCATCTTTGATTTAAATTAAAACTTTTCTCTTTGTGTTTGTTTGATTGTGGATGTGAGCTATAGAACTAAGGAATGCCAATTATGTACATGTGCTTTTTTAAAGGTGAGGTCTATGTCTCTGATCGGGAAGGAAATGATGCTGCAGGAGATGGAACGCAGGAAAAACCTTTCAAAACTGCTTTGCGGGTACTTTTTTAAAAATCAATTTGTGTTATTTGTGCTCACGTGAATATCTAACTGTATGATATATTAAAGTCTATACATGATCAACTTATGTTTTTTGTTTGCTCCCATTTTCCAGACAAATAATAATAATAAACTTTATTTATACCCCGCCACCATCTCCCCATCGGGGGCTCGGGGCGGTTTACATGAGGTCAAGCCCAAAGAACAAATTACAGTAAAATAAAAACCAAAACACAAGCAGTAGCACAATAAAATACAAAAAACATATGAATACAATAAGCAATATACAAATGCAATATCCACAAACACAAGAATAGTGAGCATGTGCACGTCAAAATACTAAAACTCAGGAAGAGCTAAAAGAGGAGCAAATTTGCAAGGGAGAGCTCAAAAAAAAAACAAAACACCAGGGTTATAAAAACAGGCCTTCATATAAGGAGGGAGTGTACTCCATCAATTTAAATAAATAAAATTTATTTTTCATGGGCAGGTACCACAGATTGAATGGCAATGTGTTGTCAGCCCATTCCTCATTTTTACATCTTAAAGAGACAGAGGAAAAATGGAAATGAAAAAGTAGCGAGAGGGGAGAGATCAGTTTGACTAGTTAGACCAAACAGGTTTGGGAATGTTGGTTTTTTTTGGACAACATCTCCCAGAATCCTCAGCCACCATGGATAATGGCTATGACAGATTTTGAAAAAATTGTAGGGATTTCCTTGGGGATGATAGGCAGTTGATGTTAGGGAAAACTACCCTAAAATATACAGCAGAGCATCCAAAAACAAACAGGAGACAAAAGTCGAGCATCAGCTCATTAGCGAGAAAAGCGTGAAGTGCCGTGTGATGTGACTAAAGAATTTAGAGCTTAGGCAGGTAAAGATGCAGAGTCCAATCTTAAAAATCACAAAAGATTTATTTATAATAATAAACCATAACTGCATTTCTTAATAGTAAAGAACTGGGTCTGAACTACTCTTAACACCCATCTCTTGTAAGGTTTCAAAGTGAGGGAAAAAACACCAATCACTACATCTCTCCTGACACACAAGCAGAGAGAGATCTCAAAGCACACAGCACAAACGCAGATGTAAGAAATAGAAGTCAGATTTAAAAAAGGCTTACAGTAGAAAAGCATCCATTTTAAAAGTATCCCCACATTAGAGATTTTCAAGAGGGATCTCAAAACCTGGTTTTTCCGATGCGCTTTTAGAGAGTAGCCATATTATCATACATAGTTGCTCCCCCTCAATGGTTTTTGTCCCAGAGTATATTTTCCCACCTGTATGAAGGTCTATATTTATGATCCAGTTCCTTTATGAGTTTCTCCCCCACAAACAATCTGCTCCATCCCTATTTCATCCTTATTTTAGTATTTTTAGTATCCTAGTTTTTATCTTTCACATGCGGACCGCTCATTGTTATGTTATGTTGTTATTGTGTATGACTTTGCTTTATCGTTTTTGTACTCATATGTTGTATGTATTTTACTGTGTTGTTATTGTGTTTTGGTTTTACTTTATTGTAATATGCTGTTGGGCTTGGCCTCATGTAAGCCGCCCTGAGTCCCCATTGGGGAGATGGTGGCAGGGTATTAAATAAAGTTTTTTATTAATATTATTATTTAAACAATCTGAATGAGAGCTGAAATAGAGGGAAGAAAGTAGATATATTCCAACTGTCTTGCAGGAGACATGGGGGGAAGGGGACTCCTTCAGCCTATACTAAAATAATAATAATAATAATAATAATAATAATAATAATAATAATAATAATAATAATCTTTATTTATAACCTGCCACCATCTCCCCAAAGGGAATTCAGGGCAGCTAACATGAGGCCAAGCCCAAAATAATACAACATAATGAAGCACAAAATAACAAGGAAATACATCATAACAAAATATATAAAATAACAAAATAAATAATATAAAATGACATAATAAAATTGAACACAAATGGTGGGCCAGGTGTATGAGATAACATGTTGAAAAGTTAAAACCCTGGGTGAGATAGGAATAAAAAGTGCATTTATAAAAGAGGAGCCCGAGAAGGAGGAGCAATGGGATTTGGCCTTTGTAAGGGACAGGGGAAAGTGCTTTATTCTGAGGTCCAATGTAGATGGAAACAACCAGATGGGTTGAGTGGTCACTCTCCGAAGGAACATCGGAAGAGCCAAGTTTTTAGATCTTATCTCTCCTCATTGAGGACTTGAGACTTAGGCAGTGTGGGGTTGAATTCCAACAGTTGACATGTTTGATTCATTTGCTATTGAACTTGGAAGTAGTCCTGCTACCTAGCTTCCCTTCTTCCTCTGTCCAGTGGCAGAAGGTTCCTTTATTTACTCATTGTTTGTGCTCCCTAAGTTTTTTATGGCAGCTAGAAAAACATGGGCGCAGGGACAGATAACAGCCATATAAACATTGTCCACTTTTACATCAAATGTTCATCTATTGAATTTGTCTCCATGTATGCACGTCAGAGTTGTCATGCCTCTTTGTCATGTCAAAATAAGGATAATTTAAGTGCAGTGTCAGTGATTTGGGGAACTTTTTTTAAGCAACCAGTATTATCCCTTTAAGAGCAATGGTATAAGACCTAACTTTTATCATTTTTTTTTCTTTCTAAGGCTTTGCTATCTGTAGGAAAGGAACCCTTTCCTACCATCTACGTGGACTCACAGAAAGATGACCAGGTTGTGTAACATTTATATTTCTTATTCACAATGTAAGAATGTTGAGAGGTCCCTTTCTCTTCCATCTTTCTTTTGATTGGCATATTAAACTGCTCCTCTTGTTTTGTGAGGCGGGAATCTATCCTTGTTCGCTGCATATTATCTTTGCTCCTAATATAAGATTTTATGTTAAATACGTTTTCTTTATTTCGTGTCACAAGCATTGCATAAATAAATTAGTATAAAACTGATAAAATAAAGGGATCACAAGCGGCTAAATAGCTTTTGACCAAAAACGGGCAATAGTGACTGCATTGTCTGTAGCTTTAAACAGTTCTTCCTCTGTGCATGAGGCAGAGCATTGTGGGCAAGCATGCAGGTGCAGAGTTGTTTATTTATTTATTTATGTATTTATTTATAGTATTTCTATTTCGCTCTTCTCACCCCGCAGGGGACTCGGGGCGGATTACAATGTACACATATATGGCAAACATTCAATGCCAAAGACACACGACATAGACAGTCAGAGGCTATTTAACTTTTCTGGCAGCCAGGGGAGCTGTCGCTTTCATTGTCCATCTGCAACACTGATGAAGTACGTCCGCATTCCCTGCATGCTTTTTGCTGGAGTCTTTTTATGGCCTCGTAAATTACTTAAATTAGCCTCCCCACACAAAGGTGGTACCTAATTTTCCTACTTGACAGATTCAACTGTCTTTCGGGTTGCAAAGGTCGACAACTAGCTACACAATTGGTCGGACGCTCACTCTGACCCGGGCTGGCTTCGAACTCATGACCTTTTGGTCAGAAGTGATCTTAATGCAGCTGACACTCAGCCAGCTGCGCCACAATCCCGGTGCTACACCACAATCCCTTGTGTGCTCCACAGTGACACAAAGTGGAGGATTCTTCTTGATCGTGCCATTTTGCCAGGTTGTCTTTTGATCTGCCAACCCACCTCTGAATCTGTTCAGCGGTTTCCAAGTTGCCCATTTTGGTTTGTCCCTGGAGGAAGGCCCCACATGAGAGGAGGGACATCCAGTTGGAATTGCCTGTTTTTGCTGCCCATGGGGATATTCTTGCTGTTGCTGGAGGAACATTTAGAGGAGTGGTGGTTCTCATATAAATTTTCCTTGTTTTAAGTCTACTGGGAGGAGGCTGATAACCATACAATGGGTGGCTTTCACATTGGGTTTGTATACAGTATGTATGTTCCCCCCAAAAAGCCTCCAAGATATAATTAATTTTCTCAATACCTTCTAAAATATTTTTCTTTCCTCTCTTGTTAGTGAGCAATGCTGAACTGGCAATTTCTGAATTGTAAAATATCAAAACTTTGTAACAAACCTTTCCCATATTTATGCTGAAGCCCTGGCTAGCTTGGGATATCTTATATCACAGGCATGGGCATACTTGGGCCCTCCCAGTGTTTTGGACTTTAACTCCCACAATTCCTAACAGCCTCGGGCCCTTTCCTTTTCCAGCTTAAGCAGCTGAGGAGGAAAAGGAAAGGGCTCAAGGCTGTTAGGAATTGTGGAAGTTAAAGTCCAAAACACCCGGAGGGCCCAAGTATGCCCATGCCTGAGATATATGATTTACAAAAGCAATGAATGGCTGCCATATCTGGATAAGCAAGTTTACCCTAGTTTCCCCTTTTAGGACTTTACGTTTCACTGCTAATGTTTCACAGAGAACAGTGAAGTTTAAACATTTCATAGGGATTTTTGGTGTTTATTTTAGTTGCAAAGGTTGTCTCTGTCAACATTGTTTTGTGACAAAGCAAATGAATATCCCTTCTTTTCTTTCAATATGCCAAGAGATGGGAAACTATTTCCAAGACACAGTTCAAGAATGTCAAAAAATTGTGGCAGAGAGAAAAACAGAAAAACGAAGCCAGAGAAAAGAAAGAGGTAAGCTATTGAATATTTTGGCACCCTTCTTCTGTGATGTATAATGCTGAAGACAAGTTGGATGCAATGTAAATGAGTGTCGGTGTGCTATCTCTTTGGTTATGTGTAAGGTGGCATAATTGGATTAGTTTTATTTTTGTCTAGCATAGGAAGGAATAGCTACAATTTAGGAAAAATGCCTCCAGGTAATCCGTTGAGTTTGGGTGTCTTTGTGCCTTGACTGTTTTGAATTCCATCTTTGGACAAAGTCACCTTGAATCCTATTCAGCAGGATAGTCAGTCAATAAACCCCATAATCTGAGTGCTGTGCACTTTCCACTGAAAATTAATGTTGGGAATGCACTTGGTTTGAATGATTCTAGGACTGGATCTACACTGCCATGTAATGCAGTTTTAGAATGCAGATTGACTGCATTGAAGTGATTATATGAGTCTACACTGCCATATAATCCAATTCAATGTACTTAATTAGCATTCTGAAACTGTGTTATATGGCAGTGTAGATAGAGCCTCACTTTCAGTCCACATGCTTTTTTTCCGAGTCTGCACTGAACAAAAGGCCCTGTTTAAACCTACGTTTTACGTGATCAATAACCAACAGGCAGAAGACCTATTGCGACGTGAGAAGAACTTGGAGGAGGCAAAGAAGATCACCATCAAGGAAGATCCCAGCCTTCCAGAACCCAAATGTGTGAGTAAAATACTTGAGAAAACATGCTAAACTTATACTACAAAAGACATTCCAAATTTCAGCCTGATGTTTTTACAGATTTTATAGAGAAATGGGTTTGGTGCACACATATAGTATGAAAACCTCCAGATGTTTTTGAACTGTAGCTTCCATCAACATTAGCTAGCATAGACAATAACAAGCCCTATGAGGAGTGGCTTAAAAAGCTGGACATGTTTCGCCGGCAGAAGAAAAGATTGAGAGGAGACATGATAGCCATGTATACATATGTGAGGGGAAGTCACAGGGAGGAGGGAAAAAGCTTGTTTTCTGCTGCTCTGGAGACTAGGACATGAAGCAATGGCTTCAAAATACAGGAAAGGAAATTCCACCTGGACATTAGGAAGAACTTCCTGACTGTGAGAGCTGTTCTGGTGTGTGGTGGAGGCTCCTTTTGTGGAGACTTTTAAATAGAGGCTGGATGGCCATCTATTAAGAGTGCTTTGAACGCGATCGTTCTGCTTCTTGGCAGGGTGTCGGACTGGATGGCCCACAAGTTCTCTTCCAACTCTATTATTCTATGATCAAGGCTCAATGTTGTCTTGGGGAGGGGAGGGGTGGAAATCCACACTTTCCCTGCTCCTATTATAGAATGTGTACGCTGTAGCCTTGAAAACAAAGTTGGCACTACAAAGAGTGAAATTGAATATCTGAATACTTAGGGTGACTTTCAAACACTGTTGCTCATTTTGTGTAGTGGTTTGGCTGTTGGGCTCGAACTCTGAGAATCCAGGGTTCAAATTGCCACTCAGCCATAGAAATGCACTTGGTGACCTTGCAAAGTTGCATTCTCCCAGCCTCAGAAGAAAGTACCTGAACAATAAGTTTCTAGCACTTGAAATGTAAAGTAAAATGCAAGGTAATAATTGGAATTTTGAAGTATCTTCCACGTTTTTCTAATTACTATGTAGGTTGAGCATGCTGCCTGATGTAGAAAGTGAATGCACAGTTTCTACACCTGATGTCTTGGTCCGTTTGCCATTCACTTCTGTATTTGTGTAATACAAATGAAGTAAAATGCAGCATGCACAGATTTAGAGTTTTGACCTTTGTAAACCAAACCAAGCAAAATACCTGGCTTTGGCTATTGTAAACAATAGTTTACATGCAAAAGGTAATTTCTTTGATATTAGTGATGGGCATTCTATGTTCATGTACTGGTATGTTATTAAAGAAAATAAATAGCATTCCTTTTCCTTCTTACAGGTGAAAATCCGTGCCCTAGAGGCCTACAGAGGGGAGAGAGTAAAGGTTTTTGGCTGGGTCCATAGATTACGCAGACAAGGTAAGAACTACCAAATGTACTCGAGTATAAGCCGACCCAAATATAAGCCGAGAGTGGGAAATGCAGCAGCTACTAGTACATTTCAAAAATAAAAATAGATACCAATAAAATTACATTAATTGAGGCATAAGTAAGCTAAATGTTTTTGAAAATTTACATAAAACCATAATTTAAGATAAGACTGTCCAACCACTCTCCAAAACTGTTACAAATCAGTTTAAGGTCATCTTCAGATTCAGCTTGGTTATCTGGGGTTCTGATTCAGATAATTGCATTGGATAGACCACATCATCTCTAGTTTCTGATATAGAACATATGCCAACTAGTTGTCACCATCTGATCGCCCACAGAAAACCATATTTAATACTCTAGAGCTGATTTGGTAGTAGTAATCTTTTGTGGGTAGTACCCTTCCGACATCCCCGTTGCCTTGGCACTATAAGAGGATTTTGTGAGACAGTCACACTTGTTGCCACATGGTTTTGAGGCAACGGTGTAGTAATGGTGAGGCCGTGGACCATCATTTCGTTCTTGGGGACCACTGGTGGTCCACAGACCGCAGGTTGGGAACCACTGCTTTAAAGATTATACCCTTTTAAATTCTGTCTTTCACATTCTTCTTCCCCCCAAAACATATTTGGGTTTTCTCTTCTATAAATTTGGGAAATTAACAAAAATATGACAGATCTTTTTGTGTCATTTTCAGTTTACAATTTTGGGTTTCCTCAGTTCGTGGGCATCACAACATTGATAGAAAGGTTTTTAATGCAAATATGGTTTTAGGAGTCTTCCCTTTCCATTTTTCTTCTTCTGACAATTCCACAAGGCCCTTATGAAAGAGATGAACTTTGCTGGATGAACAAATACGTAGCCTTTAAAATGCTGCGGGACAGAAAATATTTATCCACAGTTGTGGGAAGAGGATTGAAGAGGTGGAAATGAAGGAAAGGGAATTAAATGTTTTGAAGCCCTAACTTTCTGCTTTTGATTCTCAAGGGAAAAACTTGATGTTCATTGTGTTAAGGGATGGCACCGGCTATCTACAGTGTGTCTTGTCTGATGAACTGGTAAGCCGCTTTCTCTGTCCTGTATCAAACCTGCCTCTCCATGCACTTCGATTTCTCTCTTTCTTTTCTCAATTAAACCCCCTCTTTTTCTTTGACTTCTCTTCTGCTTTTAAGAGGCCTGGGATCACTTTTGCACAAAGGAAAAATAGGGAAGGATAGTTGAGGGGATATTCCTTCAATGTTCACTTTGCCATGCTGACATAGGATGGGTTACTGGAATCTGAAATCACCCTTCTGACACATGATTTCAGAACCAAAGGCCCACCTGAATAATTAAAAGGTATATTTGTGTGCTGGTGAAAAGAGCAACTGAGTCTCTTCTGAATTTCTTCTAAATTTCCCACAAAGTCTACAGTTCTATAGGTTGCAGCCAAAGCACTAAATTTAGCGTCAAAGTGCTATAATTGTGTATTTTAAAATACATCAGAAATATTAAAAATTAAATAGGTATTTTTAGTTATAAAAATGTGACCCAAGCACTGAAACGATTAAATGGATGCAACGACTCAGCAAAAACTGCAGTTCTATATAAGCAGGTGTGTCTGTAGCTTAGTAGCAGTCAGTCAGAGGTAAACCTCAGTGGGAGAAAAGTCTCAGTCTGTGAGAAGGCATCACAGTGTGAGGTAGCCCTTAGTCTGTGAGAGAAAGTCTCAGTGTGAGGTAGGCCTTAGTCTATGTCAAGGTCGAGTGTAAGTAGGCCTGCTGTGAAAAGCTTTGGTGAAAGAAGCAGCCCCAGGTTGAAGGTCGAATGTGTAAAGCTACGATGTAAATCTCCTGTGTAATTCTGTTGTGAGAGGAGGCTCTTTATAAGAAAGAAGCCCAGCATGGAAGCAGTGAAGGAAGTAGTGAAGGAAGAACTTTATTTGTGTTATGGAAATTATTCTTGTAATTTTTTAAAAAAATTTTTTTTGTTGTGTCAGGAGCAACCACTCCTGTTGTGAGAGAATTGGCCGTCTGCAAGGACGTTGCCCAGGGGATGCCTGGATGATTTTTGATGTTTTATCATCCTTGTGGGAGGCTTCTCTCATGTCCCCGCATGAGGAGCTGGAGCTAATAGAGGGAGCTCATCCGCCTCTCCCCGGATTCGAACCTGCGACCTGTCGGTCTTCAGTCCTGCCGGCACAGTGCTTTAACCCACTGCGCCACCGGGGGGTTCCTTTAATAATAGGACTTATTTATTTATTTATTTATTTATTTACAGTATTTATATTCCTCCCTTCTCACCCCGCAGGGGACTCAGGGCGGATTACAATGTACATATACATGGCAAACATTCAATGCCATAGACACACAACATATATAGACAGACACAGAGGCAATTTAACATTCCAGCTTTTCTTGAGGGTATTCTGGCCACCAGGGGAGCTGTCCCTTCACCGACCATTTGTGAAACTGATGAAGTACTTCCTCATTCTTTGCATGCTTGCTGGAGATTTTTATGGCCTCGTAAATTAGTTAAATTAGCCTCCCCGCATAAGTGTTACCTACATTTCCTACTTGACAGATGTAACTGTCTTTCTGGCTGCAAAGGTCGACAGCAAGCTACACAAATTTGGTCGGAAGCTCACTCCAACCCAGGCTTACTTCGAACTCATGACCTTTCAGTCAGTAGTCATCTTAATGTGGTAGTGATCTTAATCCAGCCAGTTGTGCTACAGTTCCAGTGCAATTTTGCTATTATTTTGCTATAAAGAAAAGCCTCCTAGGGAAGAGATAACATTGGTTTGTGCGTTTTCGTTCTTTTGATCACTTTAGGCTACTGGTGCTGGGTCATGCTGCTGCTAATAAGTTACTCTGTTTAACATTTATGGGGAGGGTCTTTTGTTAATAAGCCCACTCTCCCAACAAAAGGACCCCAGGAGAAGGGTCTGGAAGGCAAACTCTATGAAGACCAGCTTAGGAAGATGGGTATGTTTAGCTTAGAGAAGAGAAGGTTGAGATGGGCATGATAGTCATTTGAGAGGATGTTACAGTGAGGAAGGGGCAAACTTGTTTGCTGCTGCTACTGTAGAGATTAGGACACAGAACAGTGGGTTCAAGCTACAGGAAAAGATATTCCACATAAACATTAGGAAGAATACTCTGACAGAACTATTCAGCAGTGGAATATCCTGCCTTGGAGTGTGGCGGAGTCTCCTCTGGAGGTTTTTAAGCAGAGACTGGATGGCCATCTGTCAGTAGTGCTTTGATTGCCTTTTCCTACATGACAGCTGATTGAACTGGATGGTCTTTGAAGTCTCCTCCATCTCTGATTCTGTGACCAATGTTGGGAAAGGATGTCTATTATGTATTGTCGAAGGCTTTCATGGCTGGAATCACTAGGTTCTTGTAGGTTTTTTCGGGCTATAGGGCCATGTTCTAGAGGCATTTCTCCTGACTTTCGCCTGCATCTATGGCAAGCATCCTCACTACCTCTGAGGATGCTTGCCATAGATGCAGGCGAAACGTCAGGAGAAATGCCTCTAGAACATGGCCCTATAGCCCGAAAAAACCTACAAGAACCTAGTGATGTCTATTATGTCTTCTCAATGCTAGGAACTGGGAGAAGGAGAGGGGATGTAAACTAACCCACACATTGGGTTCTATCTGACTACATTATTTTCTCAGGTCGAAATAGGAATAATCAGTAAAGGCTCAGGTTGATTTCTCTCTTTTCCCATTAGTGCCAGTGTTACAACGGAGTCATTCTCTCAACAGAGAGCACTGTTGCCGTCTATGGAACCCTTAACCTAGTCCCGGAAGGTAAACAGGTGAGTACTGGGCCCTCATAGCTCTTGTTTAAAGTCAGTAGCAGAATGCTGGTTTTCTATGTCAGTGACGTAATAAATCCATTTTTACTATGAATCTATTCCGGGCTTTACTTTGAATCCATTCCGGGCTTTACTTTGAACTTTAAAGTTGTGGATGAGGTGCAACACTTGAAATAGCTCCTTTAAAGTTCAGGTGAAAACCTGGTGTGGATTGGCACTTTTCTGGCATGGAAGGTGCCAACTGTCATTATGCACACTACATTTCTGTCTGTTTTTAAAATCTTGTTTGGACGCTGTCATCCTAAAATAAGACAAGATTTTGACTGTTTTCTTTCTTGGACTGCCCTATCCCAAAATTGAACTTCATGCAGAGAAAGGTAGAACGTCTCTTTCCATTCCTTTTGTACAGCATTTCATAAATAGGGAGGAGTGATTTCTCAAATCTACAGTTTGATCTAGTGCAATCAGAAAATACTCTGCCAAAGCTTGGAAGAGTCACTTTTCCAAACTCCTGTGCTTAGCGACCCTGAGGTCATCATGGGAGTTATAGTCCAAAAATATTTTTTTCCAAATGTTAGTTTATTTTTTACTTTGACAGGGGTCTTTTGCCCCTAACTCCAGGAAATGTGGAAGATTGAATGTAATGATCTGATTTCAAATTAATGTATTTTTAAAATGTAAACCAGTAGGGGGTGCCCAAGGAACAAATATGGAAGCAATACTATCAAGTTGAGAAATAGTCTCACTTCCTCAGTATGATTTATACTATCTTAACTGATGTTAATGAGGAACCCTGACAGAATGGATTCTTTTTCCTGGTACACATTCTAAAGCCCTTGTTTTCTGGGTTGCTGGCTATGTTGGTAAAAACTCATAATATATATTTAGCTAGAACTAGTTCCCTGCAAAACTAGTTCCCTGAAAGCAGTGTGCTAGCTTTTGAGTTTCACAGGATTGCTTTCATATGTTCTCCAGTAGCCAATGTATACTTCCTTTAAGGTGTATATCAGTGATTTCTAGTTGCCCCTAAACATTGGCTATAGGTTTGTACATCTGAGACACATTTTTATAAACTGCTCCCTAGTATTGGTTGAGGTTCCTTTTTACTCACATACATACCCTCTATTTATTTATTTATTTGTTTGTTTGTTTATTTATTATTTATTTGGCAGTTTTGTATACCGGTCTTCTCACCTCCATTCGAGGGACTCAGGCCGGTTTCCAACATCAATATTACAGACAGTCATTAAAACATCATATTCTAAATCACACTAAAACATTAAAATAGCAAAATACAATCATATAATTACAGTGGTCAGTCGTCATCAAAAATCATTATTCGTCGTCATCCATCCATATCACAGGATCATGGCTCATTCGTCGAATGCCAATCCCCAAAGCCAAGTTTTCACCTGTTTCCTGAACGTTAAGATCGAAGGGGCAGTTCTGATCTCCAGTGGAAGGGAGTTCCAGAGTCGAGGGGCCACCACCGAGAAGGCCCTGTCTCTCGTCCCCACCAGCCGCGCTTGTGAGGCCAAATTGGAAAAACACAATAAAACCCTCTAGGTTTTATTGTGGGGAGAAAGAGCAGTCATGTTTTTGAAAATGAAATAAAAGCAGAATAAAATACTTTTGAGGATTTTTTTCCTATCATATCACCTTTTAATAGCTAGTAGTAACTATGGTGATTATTTGGAAGCTAATTTATGAGCAACTTAAAATAGGGGCAACTTGAGAAACTGCAAGTCGCTTCTGGTGTGAGAAAAATTGGCTGCCTGAGGAGTCATTGCCCAGGGGGACACCCAGATGTGTTACCATCTTGTGGAAGGCTTCTCTCATGTCCACACAAGGGAAGTTGGAGCTGACAGACGGGAACTCACCCCGTCCTGTGGATTTGGAGCACTGACCTTCAGGTCAACAGTTCAGCCGACACAAGGGTTATTTATTTTATTTTATTTATTTAAAACTTTTATATTCTGATCTTCTCACCTCCGTAGAGGGACTCAGACCGGCTTACAGCAAGGATTCAATGCTACTAATACAAGTTAAAACATCATACAACAATACAAGATTAAAATACATATAGATGAAATACATATATACCAAACTGCCAAGGTAAAATCATGTTCAACTCAGTCCGCATATGTGGTCACTCACTTTGGTCTGTAACCAGTTTCAGCCATTATTCTGGGAATGCTTCGTTCCATAACCAGGATTTCACTAGCCTCCTGAAGGACAAAATGGAGGGGGCAGATCTAATCTCACTCGGGAGAGAGTTCTATAGCTGAGGGGCCACCACAGAGAAGGCCCTGTCTCTCGTTCCCACCAAACTCGCTTGCGAAGGTGGTGGGACCAAGAGCAGGGCCTCTCCGGAAGATCTTAATATCCTTGATGGTTCATAGGGGAGAATATGTTCAGACAGGTAAACTGGGCCGGAACCATATAGGGATTTATATGTTAAAACCAGCACTTAACTCATTGTGCCACCACAGCTCCTCTTTTGGGGATAAAACTTCATTTGTCAAGTTATTAGTCCTGGCTGATGATGATCTCTTTTGTTATGAGACTATGATTTTATGCTGATGATTTTTGCCTTTTGCTGTATGCCCTGCCATGTTTGTAATATCTCTCCTTAGCCATATCTCCCGCCCCTTTTCAAAATAACTTTCCAAGTGTTGATCTGGTTCCCTGAGTGGCTGTGTCTTGTTCATAGTGAGCTCTAGTTGGTGATGAAAGGCTCCCTGTTTCTGCTGCCATCTCTTTTAAGTGTCATCTCTTTTCAAAACACAAATGTGGTTGGATTCCCGCAGGCTCCGGGAGGCCATGAGCTGAGCTGTGACTTCTGGGAACTCATTGGCCTGGCTCCAGCTGGAGGCGCTGATAACCTGGTCAATGAGGAGTCAGACGTTGATGTGCAGCTGAACAACCGTCACATGATGATTCGGGGGGAGACCCTGAGCCGGATCTTCAAGGTGCGCTCTACAGTCATCCAGAGCTTCAGGGATCACTTCTTTGACCGAGGCTACTATGAGGTAAATTTGTCTCCTGCTCTGTTGATTGTAAACGATACTCCAGCACTAACTGAGATTTTGCCTGATACAATCCCTTCCGGAATCAGTTTGCAAGTCTGACAGAAAAGCTGTCTTAAAACATTCGGCAGGTGAGATGGGTTTGCCCAGAGTCTGAGTGTAGGGCAATGGAAAGGAGCTTTGAGATCCTGTGTAAAGGCTGATTGGCAATGAGCCTACTGCTAGAATGGGAAAAAATGAGGCTGAATTTCAGTTTGTGCTCAAGGAGGCTATTTTTTGATGCAACAGGCTAAAATTTTGTTTTTACAAACTGGATGCAAAATGGGTTGCTATGAGTTTTCCGAGCAGTATGGCTATATTCCAGAAGAATTACCTCCTGACATTTTGCCCACATCTATGGCAGGCATCCTCAGAGGTTGTGAGGTCTGTTGGAAAGTAGGCAAAGGTTTATATATCCGTGGAGTGTCCAAGATGGGAGAAAGAACTCTTGCTTGTTTGAGGTAGGTGTGAATGTTGCAGTTGACCACCTTGATTAGCATTGAAAAGCCTTGCAGCTTCAAGGGTTGGCTGCTTCCTGCCTGTGGGAATCCTTTGTTGGGAGGTGATTAGCTGGCTCTGATTATTTTTTGTCTGGAATTCCCCTGTTTTTTTTGTTTTTTTTTTAGTGTTGCTCTTTATTTACTGTTGTGATTTTAGAGTTTTTTTAAATACCGATAGCCAGATTTTGTTCATTTTCATAATTTCCTCCTTTTTGTTTAAATTGTCCACATGCTTGTGGATTTCAATGGCTTCTTTGTGTAGTCTGACATGGTGGTTGTGAGAGTGGTCCAGCATTTCTGTGTTCTCAAATAACATGATCTTTCCGAGTTGGTTCATCAGGTGCTCTGCTATGGTTGACCTCTCAGGTTGAAATAGTCTGCAGTGCGTTTCATGTTCCTTGATTCATGTTTGGGCAGTGCTGCGTTTGGTGGTCCCTATGTAGACTTGTCCACAGTTGCATGGTATATGGTACTACAGGTGAGAAACGCTTGCCTAGTTTCCAACAGACCTCACAATCTCTGAGAATGCTTGCCATAGATGTGGGTGAAACAACAGGTGAAAATGCTTCTGGAACATGGCCATACAGCCCGCAAAACTCACAGCAACCCAGTGATTCTGGCCATGACAGCCTTCCACAACATATAGAGTGCAAAATATCTGTCTTTGAAATTTGATCGAGGTTTCCGAGGAGCCAGAAACTGATGAAGATAGCAGTACATGGTAATATAATGTAGTCTGCTTTCTCCATTCACAGGCTTAACATTTGTTGACTTGGTTTTTCATATATTGCATTAATATGCTCTCTCCAGGTCTTCTAGCACAACTCTATACCATCTTTTCCCTGAAGGTGATTATAACATCACACTGGAGGACTGTCTATGCTCCACTTCTAGCAGAAGTTAGAGGTCAGCGTAGTGTAGTGGTTTAAGTGTTGCACCAGATCTCTTTCAGAGACCAGTGTTTGAATTTCCACTGGGCTACAGAAAAGCACTGACTGAGTTTGGGCTAGTCAGCCTCAGAGGAAAGTAATGTTAAATGGTACGCTCTTTCTGAATGGATTTTGCCAAGAAAGCTCCATGATATGTTCATTTAAGGTCTTCATGTTAAATATGACTTGAAGGCCCACAAGACTTTGATTATATGTTACTGCAGAGCAGGGAGTTGTCTCCAACGACACTTGTGGTCTTCCAACTATAAGATTCTATGATTCTGAGAACTATAGTATACAGCAGCCCCTCTAAATCCATGATATCTAGCAACCATGGATTGGCATGCCCCATATTAGTAAATGGTGTTAATATGAATGTGGACACACTGAAATATGTAAATTCACATCACCAGAAGAAGAAGGAGGAGGAGGAGAAGGAGAAGAAGAACTTTATTTTTCTACCCCGCCTCCATCTCCCCGAAGGGACTAGAGGCAGCTTACAAGGGGCCCAAGCCCAAGGCAGAATACAATTAAAAACAAAGCAATAACAATTAAGACAGCATAAAACAGCGCAAAACAACATAACAATAATAGTTAGCAACAACAATAACAGCAGACTAATTTTGGAGGGGGGAGGAAAACCACTACGTGAACTGGTTAAGGATAAGGTGGTTTAGTAAGGTGGATAACAATGTATAACGGCATAGGAAATATCATGGAAGCAGAGCAAATTAACAGGATCAGTTAATATAATATGCTTTAAATAGTATCTGGTGTGATCATTCACATTTTTCATACCCTTGCAGATACAATAAGCCTGATCTCCTGATTTAGGGAACTAACTAGGATGAAACTTGGTCATTTGTTGAGAAATTACTGTAGAAACCTCGCATTCTTCAGGTCGGTTAGAATCTTGTCTGAAACCTTGCAAATTTTGCTGCTATTCAGAGTTAATACTGAGCCAAATGGGCAAGGGGGCTGTTTCAGTAAAAAGCATTTTCCTGTGCTCTTACTATGATCTCTCTGTTTCTCTTTTCTAGATCACTCCACCAACACTGGTTCAAACACAGGTAGAAGGGGGCTCTACTCTCTTCAAAATGGATTACTTTGGCGAAGAAGCCTATTTGACGCAGTCATCGCAGCTGTATCTAGAGACCTGCATCCCAGCCCTGGGAGACACGTTTTGCATTGCGCAGTCCTACAGAGCTGAACAGTCTCGGACACGCAGGCATCTAGCTGAGTAAGAGACCATTTACAGAACAATCTGTCATGCATTATTTCATAGTACGTGGATTGAGATCTTCTAAGTAATTAGAAATGACAATGTCAAGCGCTTTGTTGCCGCTGTACCGTATGAACACTTTGGCACACCAGGTACTTCTGCACTCAAAAAATAATGCAGTTTGACACCACTTTAACTACTATGGCTCAGTGTTATAAATCCTGAGAGTTGTAGTTTGGTAAGGAACCAGCACTCCTTGTTAAAGGAGGATAAAGACCTGTGATGTTTACAAATTCTCACATAATGGCTTCCTTTAAATTATCTGAAGTCATTTTGAGCATGTCCTTTGGCACATGAAGTATACAAGTGGTGCAGCGAGCTATGAATCTGGGTGTGATTCCTTTCTAGGCTATGGAAATCCACATTGAGCGAGCCACACTCTCTCAGCCCCAGAAAATCCTGTGATAGGACCACCATAAATCAGAAACAACTTGAAGGCACACAGCAACAGCAAATCTTTATACAAGTTAATATGCAAGACTAAATTAAATAAAAAGTTTCAAATTTAGCTCTTTAATTTGTGTAGCAAAAGGGGCTTTTCCTGTGGTGTGCTCAGAGTCTTTAATTGCCTTTTAAATTATTTTAACTTTCTGCTTGTAGCAAAATATCTTCCATTATTGTACAGTATAATAAGATTTTCACTGTACTTTGTTTAAGTGCATTGTATATAGAGGGGCAGAGAGAGTAAATAAATTGATCTTCTGAGGCAAGTTCTCCATCTATTTTGTATTCAGGATATTCCCTTTTTGTTGACTTGATTTGAAACCCACCTTTTCTGCAAAACTGGCAGTCAGGCAAGATTTTAAAAATTATAAACAAAAAGAAAAGTTATAATACTAAATCACCATATTGAAAGAGAGTTAGTTGAATTCAAAACAAACCAAAGGTATGTCGGTTTACAAGTGTTTAGTGCTTGCTCTTGAAATTTCTCTTTTATCAAAAGTATACCTGAATAAAAAGGTCTTCGTCTGACTCCTTCCCATTCAGATACACCCACATTGAAGCGGAATGCCCTTTCATGAGCTTTGAAGACTTGCTGAACCGCTTGGAGGATCTAGTTTGTGATGTTGTCGACCGAGTCTTGAAATCTCCTGTGTCTGAGTTATTGTATGCCCTCAATCCAGTAAGTGGATATGACGCACCACCACCGCCCCAAAGGAAAAAAAAATGTTTTCTTTATTGACTTCAGTATGTCATTCTAATTTTGGCTTTTCTTTATATAGCACCTCTGGTTCATCCGTTATGAATAACTTTTCTATAACTTTAAAGCATAGATTCTTTTTATTGCAATTTCCAGTGTGAGAGGGTATATCAACTTTTACAGAACTTTTACATAAATAATGACATTAGATATACAGATTCTGTGTAACTATATTGGATTCAAAATTACATTGGCTAACAAACAAAAGGGAAGTTAGATTTTCAATCCGCATTCACACACATGTACATGCATTCATCCTCATGCATCCAAACATTACCATTTCCTTTTCTCCCTCCTTGGAGAAGCACCTGTTAGGTCAGACTCTGCTTTCCTGCAGTCTGCCGATGCATAGTTCCAAAACTTCCATAACTCCAAAAAGTCGAAACTCCAAAACTTCTCTTTCCCTAAGAACAATGCCAAGGATCAGGTCTATGTTTTCCCTACAGTAGAACCTGACTCCCTCCAACACGTATCATGACTCCAAAACCCACTCTTTTCTCTTCCCTTGAGAAAAGGAAAGTGCTTTCCCATAGCAGATCTGATACTTTCCATACATACGTTATCTCTCTCCTTCCCAATGGATCAGATAATAGCGGGTGAACAGTGTCTCTGTCTGTCACAATTTTAGAATTATTAGATTGGGTCTTTTATAGGAATATTCTGCTGATATATTCCCAAAGTTGTAAATTAATGATAGACGTCATCCATCCTGGCTCTATCTCAGTTTCCTGGCCAGATGTTGACTCTTCTTGATTGATGTTGGTCTTGTTAACATTGTAAACATTTCTCTTATCACTGTCACGGTTCTTATCACAGTTTACTTTTTAGTTCTCATTAGCAACTTTTAATTACGGTCCAGCAAACAGGTAGTAAGTCATTGCAGGCCTTAATATTTTAGAATGGTGTCTCCAAAATTATTAACTCTCATTCATTCATTCTTTCATATAATTCCATTCTTATTCACACACATCAAATCAAACCCACATTTATCAAATCTGCATATTATAGTTCTTGTGACACATCTTCCACAAAACTCCCATTGCAAAGCATTTGAGAAGATGTTCTCAAGTGCTATTTTGTTTATCTGTACATTATTACTCTTGCACCATGTCTGTGGGTCTCTTCTACAAACCTCCTATACTAATTATATGTTATATAATTGTGATCGCTTACTATATTGTATATATATAATTTAGTATACAGTTGTCCCTTAACTCATATTGTTTGAGGTTGTGGGAGAGACTGCAGACCATGTGACCAGATTTAGGACTATTCAGACTTAGACTCCATTTTAGTTTTCAATTTGCATTGGAAGCAGTAATGTTTAGAAGTCAGTAGTGTCAGTATGCTGCAGTGTGAAGTCAGTCTTTATTGAGTCAATGTTCAGTAATATATTAGATTGAAGAGAGTGTTAATCTGTATGCAACAAAGAAGAGACTGAAACAGAATGCTTTAAGGAACTTACTGTTTAAATTCTCAACCAATAAGAAATGTACCTGTATGCTGAATACATGATGTTTGTAAGTAAATCAACTATGTTACTTTTAACAAAGAATACTTATTTTTGGTCTCTTGAGAGCATGATTTAAAAGCATTATATTTTATGGGAGAGTAGATTTTTTTGGACAACTGTAATAACACTTTTGAAGATCTGCTACATATTTTGTGCATTGTCATATCTCTGTTCCTAACAGTTCATAGAGATAACCAGGTATGTCAGTCTAACAACCGAGAAACCTAATTTGCCTTCCATGAATACTAGTGGATATTTACCACTAAAGAGAAGATTCACTCAAATGACTTTTTAACTCTTCTTAGGAAGATCATACTTTACAAAAAGGTTATGATTATTCCAAATAGTGTGAATGCCAATTAATCTCCAAATGGGTCATGCTTATAAAAGGTTATGGAAAAGTCTGGTTTACCAAAAGGTTATGATCTTTAAAAGATCATACATTTCCAAAACTCCATGCAGTTCTATTGTATGCTTCCATGACAGGTTATCATAGAGTCACTCAGGAAGACCTAGCAAATTCATAAGTCCACCAGGTGACCCTATAGTAATGTCTGGCAGATGTCATGCATTTCTATAGAGTTCGCTATTATCCACAATATAACACTTCCACAATGAGTTCAGGAATGTATTCCCTGCAGAAATACGTCAATAGAAGCAGTCGGGCTTTATAAAGTAACAACAACAGATTACTGTATGATTTGATTTGCATATTGTCATAACCTGTCGCCAGAAGCTTCGGGACATTATATCTTTGGCCTAGACCTCCCTTAATTTCCAACATAAATACTGAAGGGTTCTGGGAATTGTAGTCCAAGGGAGTAATGTATACAAGCTCTGCTTATAATTTGAAACAAGAAAATGTAGATTTAATCAACAAATCTGGAAATTTACTTTTAGAACTCAGGAGTGCCTTTCTTTTGTCCCACAGAACTTTGAGCCCCCGAAACGTCCCTTCAGGCGCATGAATTACACAGACGCCCTTGTGTGGCTCAAGGAGCATGATGTGAAGAAGGAAGATGGCACTTACTATGAATTTGGAGACGTAAGATTTACAGTTTTGCTTTGCTCTTTAAAATGTAGTTGTTAGACTTCCATGATGCATTCTTTAAAAGTACTGCATTTCAAACCTGTTTGGAAACAGGTTCAGAATGCTCTTGGATGGGGTCAGGTTGGAGGAAGGTGTGACTCCTAAGTAATAACTAAAGTAGCTACCAGGATTTTTTTTCCTGGGCATTATTCAAAGTGTTGGTTTGTTGCAGCATGCCTTCCAAGTAGTTTGCAATCTATGGCGATCCTATTGCGTAGTGAGTGGGGAATGGATTCCTTGTCTGCAGAGTCATAGCTCAAACCACAGCACCGCACTGACTCCCAAATAAAGTGCTTGTAATGCCCTCTGAAGCCCTAAATTGCTTCAGTGTTTTCCAATTGTGTGTGACTGGGTGAATTATCTTTATGCCTTGACAGCATCTATGTGGCAGGAATTGGAAATAGGGCCTTCTTAGTGGCTGCACCCAATTTTTTTGTTTCTAAGATTCACTGCTCATTGAATTAGTTTACAATGGGTATCATGAGACTGCGATTCTGTCTTAGCTTGCAGACACTATCTTCACCCAATGAAAAGTATGGTTTTCCTTGAAATATTTGATTACATTTAGCTATAAATCAATTCCCGTATATACTCAAGTATAATCCAACCCAAATATAAACTGAGGCACCAAATTTTACCACAAAAAACTGGAAAAAAGTATTGACTCGAGTATAAGCAGAGGGTGGAAAATGCAGCAGCTACTGGTAAATTTCAAAATAAAAGTAGATACCAATACAATTACATTGAGGTATCAGTAGGTTAAATGTTTTTGAATATTTACATAAAACTGTAATTTAAGATAAGACTGTCCAACTCAGATTAAACCATTTTTCTAACCTTCTTCAATGTAATGTGCTTACGTATCCTTCCAATAATAATGGGAGTAAAATAATAAATGTAATAATAATAGAGTACAATAATAAATGTAATAATAATAATAATAATAAAGTAAAATAGTATCAATGTAATAATAATAATGATAATGATAAATAGAGTAAAATAATAAATGTAATAAAAATCATAATAATAGCCCAGTAAAATAATAAATAACTTTGACTCAAATATAAGCCGAGAGGGGCTTTTTCAGCCTAAAAAAGGACTAAAAAACTTGGCTTATACTTGAGCATATACAGTAATAAACCATCCAGACTTTATGTACGGACCATTCTGACTACATGAAAGTCAACAGCTGTGGAGTGCAACACCAGAGGCACTCCAAGTGGCCAGCTACTGGTCAAAGGTCATTTAATCAACTACCAAGCTTGCAAACTTTGTGTTTTGTTTGTCTGTTTGTTTGTTAAAAAATGCAATGCAATGTTTGGTCTGCCCCTGACAGGATAAATAAATAAAAACAGCTGTGGCTTCCATGTCAGGAGGGTGGTGAGCTATGTGTGATGCTAGACCTATTCTGGGCATAGTTTGGCTCTTTGGCAAGGTCATTTAAAGTTTGGACTAAAACTCAGAGCAGATTCACTATGCCCCATAGGCTTATTTATTACAGTATTTCTCACCCCGAAGGGAACTCAGGGCGGATCACAGAACACATATATGGCGAACATTCAATGTCGATTATACATTGACAAGACACAACAGATGGAGGTATATATATATATAGGCTTTCCCATTTTTCGGTGTCTTTGGAGGCTGTGCTCAGTTTCGGCCACAGGGGGATGCTGTTGTTCCATCTCCTTGCCAAAGTGCTTTTCTTCGTTCATAAGACTTCTTTTTTCTGATTGAAATGCAGTGCCTAAAATACCTCCCCGCTTTAATGCGGTTCCTATTTATCTACTCACATTTGTTTTCGAAGTTCTAGGTTGGCAGAAGCTGGGCAGACCCAGGTTTCGCACTATCAACTTTCCATTTAGCAAGAATTATTGCAGCTTGTTGATTAACCTGCTGTGCTAGAGCCTGGCCCAGTAATAATGGGGACTTGGAAGTTGCCAGTAATAATGAATATACTGAAGTTTAATTAGTCAAAACGCAGCTGTATAGTCATGCCTTTGCTAAAGGGGCGAGTTTTGGGAAGGAAAGGGGCTTAGAGGATGACAGTGAAACAGCGGTGTTCTAGACGGAAGGAAGTTGGATGTGCATGAACTAATAAGTTTTGCTCTTAACCGCAGGATATTCCAGAGGCTCCCGAGAGACAAATGACGGATGCCATTAATGAACCGATCTTGCTGTGTCGATTTCCCGCTGAGATAAAGTCCTTCTACATGCAGCGCTGCCCTGAGGATTCCCGCCTTACCGAATCTGTCAGTTTATGTTCTCTGCACGCGTTGCATGCAAGATGGGGCAGGGGAGCAGTTAGACTTCTTAATGGGGTCCCCCCTCCCAATCTCCTTCCCTATTCAAGTGGCTCTCCATTTCTGTTAACAGAGGAACAGACGTGAGGGTTGTCAGCCGGTTAGCGAGGTCTTGAAACCAATTAACCAGTGGGATTTTATAGAAAGTCACAACACTTCTCTCTCAGGAAGCCATTCTTTGAGGCTATTTAAAATGGTTTTGTAGGTACATCAGGGAGGCTTAAAAGATTATGGGACTCTCCTTTGATGGTCATTTCACACATGTGTATGGAAGTCACTTCATTTCTGGCACTTGTTGAATGGCCTGTAGTCACATTTATCTTTAGGAGGAGAAGATTCAGACTGTTATATCAGTGCAGGTAGCTGATAATATGAGATATTTTCCACCTGGCTTTTAATCTACATAAAGCATGGCTGGAAATCAACCAGCCTTCCATATGTTGTTGTTTTTTTTATCTTCCTTTTCCTCTTCTCCTGCCTCTTCCTCTTCATTTTCCTCTTCTCCTTCTCCTTCTCCTTATTATTATTATTATTATTATTATTATTATTATTATTATTAGATATACAACAAGATTAGTACACAGCTAACAAGATCACAATGCTGGCTTTTATATTCAATCACACATCGGACACTTCCCAAGTGTCTATGTAATAATAATAATAATAATAATAATAATAATAATAACACTTTATTTGTACCCCGCTACCATCTCTCCAAGAGACTCGGTGCGGCTTACATAAGGCCGAGCCCAAACACAACAATACAAACAATAATAACAACAATACAAGTAATTAAAAACACATAGACAATAAAAAACAACATTATCAATAAGACAACACATAATTAAAAACAGTGGGAAGGCCAAATGTTAGGTTAAAATTGGAAATAATGCTGGGACATGAACGGAAGGTGATGCTGGTGTTTATGGAAGGGCATACGAGCAGACCTAAAGAAATGTAAAGTGCTTTGGAGAACAAAGTGCTATGGGTCATTATTCCGGGAAGGCACACTGGGACAGCCACGTCTCCAAGTTCCTCCTGAAGACTGCCAAAGTTGGAGCCTGTCTGATGTATTGGTGAATAATGTGTGCAGGTCTTTTGCAGCTGACAGATGGTAATTTTGTCAGTGTCTATTGTGTTTAAGTGCAGGCCAAGGTCTTTAGGCACTGCACCCAGTGTGCCGATCACCACTGGTACCACCTTTACTGGCTTGTGCCAGAGTCTTTGCAGTTCTATTTTTAAATCCTCATATCATGTAAGCTTTTCCAGTTGCGTCTCATCAATTCTGCTGTTGCCTGGGATTGCAACATTGACAATTTGTACTTTGTTTTTTCCCACGACTGTGAGGTCAGGAGTATTGCGCTCCAAAACTCTGCCAGTCTGGATTCAAAAGTCCCAGAGCAGTTTGACGTGTTCATTTTCTATAACTTTTTCTGGCTTGTGATCCCATCAGTTTTTATCATCATCATCATTCCTACCCTGCCTTTCTCCCCATGGGGACTCATGACACAACCCAAAACATTGAAAAACATGCCAAATAAAAAACAAAACAAAAACCAAATATTTGCATCGTAGATACAAATCAAAATACAGCTGAGATACAATAAAAGTATCTGTACAATTAAACTTATATTTAAAACTAAATATCCTCTTTAGTTCCTTAGCTGTGGAGGCTATTGTTGAGACTTGAAATTCAACATCTGCAGACCTAAATCCCTCCAATTTGTCCAGGGGTGGTTGGTTAGACTAGAAGAATAACAGACTCAAACTTCCATCAGCCTCGACCCAACATGGTCAGGGATTGTGGGAATTGCAGTCAAGGGTATGTACAAAGGTGGGGGAGGCAGTTGGTCATCTACCCACCTACAAAAGATTTGGCAAGAGCCTGGGGCAAAACAAACACAATGTTTATTGGGTTGTTGTAGGTTTTTTCGGGCTATATGGCCATGTTCTGACATTTCGCCTGCATCTATGGCAAGCATCCTCACAGATTGTGAGGTCTGTTGGAACTAGGAAAAAATGGTTTATATATCTGTGGAATCACCAGATATATAAACCCAATTTTCCTAGTTCCAACAGACCTCACAACTTCTGAGGATGCTTGCCATAGATGCAGGCGAAACGTCAGGAGAGAATGCCTCTAGAACATGGCCATATAGCCTGAAAAATACTACAACAACCCAGTGATTCCTGCCATGAAGGCCTTCGACAATGCAATGTTTATTTTTAAGAGCAATTGGATTAGGGAAGCAGATTTAAGTCGAGGTGGTCCGCCAGCAAGGTCCAGACTCTCAGGTTTTCCTGAATGAAACATGGTGTTGTGTTGGTGAGTTTGCTTAGAAGTGGATCGCATCAATTTGCGGCCCGGTCTCTGTGCTGTTGCAGGGCAGATGGGTTGACCTTGTAGATGGGGAAGAAGAGCCCTCCGTCAAATCTTGTCTGCTGCTGCTTCATTGCACTTGTCTATGCCATGATGGGGCTGTAACTTAAGAAGAAAAATAGGCTGAGGCAGGGAAGGCGAATGTCTGTGTTTTGGTGTTTGGCTTTTAAAATACCTTTTATCTTTGGGGAGAAGGCAATAGCTCAAGGGTGACCTATTATCTGCCCTGAAAGCCAATGTCGTTGTTGGTCTTCCATAGCCATGGATTCAATTTTAAAATATTACTTAAAAATTTCAAAAAGCTTCATTTTGCCATTTTGCATAAGGAGCAGCATTTTACTACACCTTGGTACATAATGGGACTTGAGCATCGACAGCTTTTGGTATCTATGGAGATCCTAAGACCAAACCCCAAGGGATGTAGGATCTGTGGATACAGAAGGCCAATTGTACCATCTAGCACAGGCACGGGGATACTTGGGCCCTCCTCCAGGTGTTTTGGACTTCAACTCCCACAATTCCAAACAGCCTACCGGCTGTTAGGAATTGTGGGAGTTGAAGTCCAAAACACCTGGAGAAGGGCCCAAGTATCCCCGTGCCTGGTCTAGCAGCATCTGGAGAGTTTTACAAAGCATAACACTGCTTTAGAGAAGTCAAACAGTCTGGGATTTCTGTTAAGGTTTAACATGGAAAGCATCAAGCCAGACACAATGAACAGAACTAGAGGCATTTAGCATTTCATATATGCCAAAGGCCTCCAGATCATGAGTATCTGGGAAGCTGTCAGTGACCTAAACGGTAGATAACTTTAGCTCAGCCTAGATGTTTGACTGCAAATCCCATTATCCCCCACCACTGGCTGACTGGACTTCTAATCCAACACATTTGTTTATCCCTGCAACCCTCTCTTCATTGAAATGAAATGGGTTCCTACTTTTATGGCAACTGGAGAGCCATCTACTTGCCCATATTATTTATTTATTTACTGTATTTATTTATTTATTTACTGTATTTATTTATTTTATTGCTTATTTTTTGTTATGAGTTTTATTTTATTGTTTGTATTACTGTTGTTATTCTTTTTATTACTGATGTATTGTGGGCTCGGCATCATGTAAGCCGCACCGAGTCCCTTGGGAGATGGTAGCGGGGTATAAATAAATTATTATTATTATTATTATTATTATTATTATTATTATTATTATTATTATTTGTATACCGCCCTTCTCAGTCCTCAGGTGACATACAGTTTCCTAACCATTTTCCCTAATTGCTACTTCTGTCTTTTGCCCTGATTTTAAACGTATGGTTTTTATTGCTTTTGATCAGAATATTCAGAAATCATGGATAAACATGTATACTGTACATATGTTTGTGTTCACATGTATACATACATATATATGTGTTTGTATACATATATATGTGTGTGTATACACATACATATATGCCTTAAGGCAGTATTTCTCAACCTGGGGGTTGGGACCCCTCGGGGAATTGTAAGGGCGTGTCAGACGGGTTGCCATAGACCATCAGAAAACAGTATTTTCCATTGGTCGTTGAGATTCTGTGTGAGAAGTTTGGCCCAATTCTATCGTTGATGGGGTTCACAATGTTCTTTAATAGGCGAACTATAAATCCCAGCAACTGCAACTCTCAAATGTCAAGGTCTGTTTTTCCTAAACTCCACCAGTGTTCACATTTGGGCATATTGAGTATTTGTGCTAAGTTTGGTCCAGATCCATCATTGTTTGAGTCCACAGTGCACTCTGGGTGTAGGTAAACTACAACTCCAAAACTCAAGTGCCTACCAAATCCTTCCAGTATTTTCAGTTGGTCGTGGGTGTTCTGTGTGCCAAGATTGGTTCAGTTCCATCATTGGTGGGGTTCAGAATCCTCTTTGATTGTAGGTGAACTATAAATCCCAGCAACTACAACTCCCAAATGACCAACCCCACCAGTATTTAAATTTGGTTGTATTGGGCATTTGTGCCAAATTGGGTCCAGTGAATAAAAATGCATCCTGCATATCAGATATTTACATGACGATTCCAAACAGTAGCAAAATTACAGTTATGAAGTAGCAAAAAAATAATTGTGTAGTTTGGGGTCACCACAATATGAGGAACTGTATGAAGGGGTTGTGGCATTAGAAGGTTGAGAAGAGCTGCCTTGAGCTAAGTTTATTTGCTTTCACTCCCTGTGAGCCCTTATTGTATCATTATTGTTTTGTAAAAACAAACACTTATTTTCTCTAGGTTGATGTGCTGATGCCCAACGTTGGAGAGATTGTGGGAGGCTCAATGCGTATTTGGGACAGTGAAGAGCTGCTGGAAGGCTACAAGAGGGAAGGCATTGACCCCACACCTTATTACTGGTACACAGACCAGGTAGGTAGTATTGTGCGCAATTTTTCTTGTTGGGTTCTTTGTCAATAACTGTGAGCCCTAAATTGTTCCAAGGCAAAGCCATAGCTGGCAGCTTTTCAGTAAAATGTGTAAATCTTTTGCAGTGTACTTTTCCCCTCTCTGTCCTGCTAAGGTTGTCCAAGCAAAACAGATCCAGATGCCGTTTGGCAGCTAAGGGGATGAACCCATTGTTCTAAAGGACAATAAAGCGCAAGGGTTTGGGGGTGGGGTGGGGACAAGGCCGGCTGCTGACCTCCTTGCCCTTGGGGTTATCAGATGGCTTTTTGCACCTGCTCCTCATGGTGATGGCCAGCGGCCCGTCTGGAGGCCAAGCTAGATGAGACACCGTTTGTGCTGTGACCAGCCGTGTGAAATGGAGTTTCAAGTGTACTGTATCACCCCATATCCACAGAATATGCAGCTTTACTGATTCACAGTTTCATTTATATATTTAGGGTTTCTTTATAAGCTGCAGTCTGTTTTTAGCACCACTGTCATTCATTCCACTGAAAATAATAGGGTACCCATATGAAGTTTGGGGACATATCCCCCATTGATATGGCAAGTTTGCAGGGTGGGTGTGAGTGAAGTGGAAGCTTTTAAACAGGGGCTGGATGGCCATCTGTCAGGGGTGATTTGAATGCAATATTCCTGCTTCTTGGCAGGGGGTTGGACTGGATGGCCCATGAGGTCTCTTCCAATTCTTTGATTCTATGATTCTAAGTAATGGGAAGAAATTCATATATTTACTAGCTGGCCCCTGCCATGCGTTGCTGTGGCCCAGTCTGTTGATCTGGAAAATAAAGTAATGAGGAAATGTTGGTTTCTAATATATGTAATTCCTTTATGCTTGTGGGTAAACAGTATTCCTTGTTGTTTCTGTGTCAGTATTGATGTGGAGATTGTCTGGTTTGCCTACTCTAGAACATGCAACATATAATTGTCCTTCCTTAGGGGTCCCTTTCAAATCTATGATACTATATCTCTGTGTGTGTGAATCATATCTATCTATATCTATCTATCTATGGCTGGGGAGCCCCTGGTGGCGCAGTGGGTTAAAGCACTGAGCTGCTGAGCTTGTTGATCGAAAAGGTCGCAGGTTCGATTCCGGGGAGCGGCGTGAGCTTCCACTGTCAGCCCTAGCTTCTGCCAACCTAGCAGTTCGAAAACATGCAAATGTGAGTAGATCAATAGGTACCGCTCCGGCGGGAAGGTAACGGCGCTCCATGCAGTCATGCCAGCCACATGACCTTGGAGATGTCTACGGATAACGCAGGCTCTTCGGCTTAGAAATGGAGATGAGCACCACACCCCAGAGTCAGACATGACTGGACTTAATGTCAGGGGACTACCTTTACCTTTACTATCTATAGCTGGATGGCTCTTTGTCTGGAGGACTTTGATTACGTTTTCTTGCCCTGATGAAGGGAGTTGGATTGGATGGCCTTAAGTATTTTCTGTTGGTCATGGGGGTGCTGTGTGGGAAGTTTGCTCTGATTCTGTCGTTGGTGGGGTTCAGAATGCTCTTTGTAGGTGAACTGTGAATCCCAGTGACTACAACTCCCAAAGGTCAAGGTCTATTTCCCCCAAACTCCATATGTGTTTATATTTGGGCATATGGAGGATTCGTGCCAAGTTTGTCCAGATCCATCATTGTTTGAGTCCACCATGCTCTCTGGATGTAGGTGAACTACAACTCCAAAACCAAAGGACACTGCCCACCAAACCCTTCCAGTATTGTCTGTTGGTCATGGGAGTCCTGTGTGCCAAGTTTGGTTCAATTCCATCGTTGGTGGAGTTCAGAATGCTCTTTGATTGTAGGTGAACTATAAATCCCAGCAACTACAACTCCCAAATGATAAAATCAAATTTTTTTTTGAGTGAAGGATATACATTGGGTTGTTAGGTGTCTTGTGTCCAAATTTGGTGTCATTTCCCCCAGTGGTTTTTGAGTTCTGTTAATCCCACAAATGAACATTACATTTTTATTTATATAGATTGCTGTGCCCCTGTCCTAACCCAGTTCAGGAGGCTGTGCCTGCTCATTCCTTGTAAATGACTTCACACCAATGTGACTCGAACACAGCATTACATAGTGGTTTGACCTTTGGACTTTAAGAGACCAGGTTTGAATTCACTCTGAAGCATGGAAATGTCACTGGGTGAACTTGGGCAAGTCACATTCTCTCAGCCATAGAGGAAAGCAATGGCAAGCCTCCACTGAATAAGTCTTGCCAAGACAACTCTTAGATAAATTACAATATATAAAAAAATGGAAAAAATTCTGTTCCTGATTTGAAAGTGTTATTTCCTGTTTAGCTCTGTGGTACTTGCTTTGAAAGTAGTTGTTATCCTCCAGAAACTTCATTTTTGTGTCTGTCACAAACTATGTTGAATTGGTTAAGATGGTCATTGAAAAACTATAGCAAAATGTGCTGCAGGGTGTCCCGTAAAAACTGGGAATTCAACCCCACACTGCCCAAGTCTCAAGTGCTCAACTCGGCCATGGGGAGGTGCTGTTGTTTCATTTTCCACACCGAGGAGCCTGTCATCTGTGGTCTCCTTTCCTGGTTGGTTTTTGCCGGCATATTTTTTCAGGGTGCCTTTTACCTCCCCGCCAAAGTGGTACCTATTTATCTACTTACATTGTTGTTTTCAAACTGAAGCAGAGTGTTCGAGGACCGGGACATTCATAGTGATAGCAAAGTGCTTGTTTATAAAGCCATTGTCCTCCCAACCCTGCTGTATGCCTGCGAAGTGTCTACAGATGTCATACGCAAGTCGTGGAATGATTCCATCAGCGTTGCTTCTGAGAAATCCTTCAAAACTCTTGGGAAGACAGGTGGACAAATGTCAGTGCACTGGAAGAAGCAAAGGCCACAAACATTGAAGCGATGCTCCTCCGCCATCAACTCTGCTGGACTGGCCACGTTGTCCAAATGCCCCATCACTGTCTCCCAAAGCAGCTCCGAACTCAGGAACGGAAAACGTAATGTTGGTGGGCAGGAAAAGAGATTTAAAGATGGTCTAAAAGCCAATCTTAAAAACTGTAGCATAGACACAGAGAACTAGGAAGCACTCTAACTGGAAGTCAGCTGTGACCAGCAGTGCTGCAGAATTTGAAGAGGCACGAATGGAGGGTGAAAGGGAGAAATGTGCCAAGAGGAATGCAGGTCAAGCCAACCCTGACCGGGACTGCCTTTCACCTGGTAGCCGATGTGCTCACTACAGGAGAACATGCAGATCAAGAATAAGGCTCCACAGCTACCTACAGACTCACTGCCAAGACACCACATCTGGAAGACAATCATCCTCGAACTACGAGGGATCACCTTAAAAAGAAAAGGTGAGCAGAAACTAGGCTGATGGCAGGAGCTCACCCCAACCCAAGATTGAACTGCCAAACCTTCCGGTCAGCAGGATCTTCTATAGCAGGCGGCTTAAACCACTGTCTAACCCAGCCCTGACAAGCTTGCAGCTATATCACTTGACCATAATTTTGGACTGTTTTTACTCCAGTTTTTGCAGCTTACCTGATGAGAAGCGTTCTGTAGAACTGAAAGGCTTGCATACTTTTTTAGGGGGTGGGGTGGATTTATCCCAATACATTCTGTTCCCAAACTCGAGATGTTGTTTTGAATTACTCTGAGCTTTGGGGCTTGGGTCTCATCTGGCAGCAGAAATCTGAAACTGTCATTTGGCTCAGGGAGTCTCTCCTCCAGCCCTCGGGCGACCCAAATGCTCATGCTTGACACATTGTTTGTTGCACTTGGCTGGTTTCTGCGGCAGGGGAGAAGACCCATCGCTCTGCGCACTGACGGAGTGATTGCTCCAATATGTCCAGTTTCCCGCTGCCTTTCTTTTGCATGGAGATTGCAGCGTGGCCTCGGTGGCAGCGTTTAAAACCTCGGGGAGCTGCTGCCTTCCTTTCTGCTCTGCTTGTTTTTATCAATTTGCAGAGCAGAAAGTGGCTCTTGAAAGGTATTCTGTCTAAAAGGCCAGGGTTGGGTCGGCTTCATCTTTAACAAGCCCGTGCCCCAAGGCAGCCGCTCACAGGAGCTGACAGAAGGGGAGGGTTAATCTATTGTTGCCAAGGCCGCTTGTTCCTCTATCAGCAGCTCCTTTTGATGCAGTTGCAGTTCTCTTTCCGGATCCATGTCTTGGAAGGGATGCCCTGCATTGTGGGCATGCTGGTAAGGGTCAGGAAAGGGCCAGATCTTCTCTTACCTCTTTGCTTCAGCAGCCTTCTCTGGTGGCATATGCCAGCGTAACCACAGTTACTATAGCACAGGGGTGAAGACAGAAAGGGTGCATCTACACCGTAGAAAGAGTGCAGCTTGACACCACTTGCTGCTATGGCTCATTGTTATAGAATCCTGGGATTTGTAGTTTGGCGAGACACCAGCCCACTTACGAGGGTTGAATGAAAAGCAATGCCTCCACTTTCATTACTTGGAATATTTTAATAAATCAAACACAGAAATAATCCTTAGAATGTGCTCTTTAACTACCACTATTCAATGTATTGTCTTACCTTATACAAATAATAATAATAATAATAATAATAATAATAATAATAATAATAATAATAATGTATTGTCGAAGGCTTTCATGGCCGGAATCACTGGGTTGTTGTAGGTTTTTTCAGGCTATATAGCCATGTTCTAGAGGCATTCTCTCCTGACGTTTCGCCTGCAACTATGGCAAGCATCCTCAGAGGTTGTGAGGTCTGTTTGAACTAGGAAAAAGGGTTTATATATCTGTGGAATGCCCAGGGTGGGACAAAGAACTCTTGTCTGTGTATGAATGTTTCAACTGACCACCTTGATTAGCATTTCATAGCCTAGCAGTGCCTGGGGCAATCCTTTGTTGAGAGATGATTAGATGTCCTTGTTTGTCTCCTCTCTGTTGTTTTGCTGTTCTCTGACTTCTCTGGTTGAAGCCAGCCATAGCAGAGCACCTGATGAACCAACCTGGATACAGCATATTATTTGAGAACACAGAAATGCTGGACCACTCTAATAACTACCATGACAGACTACACAGAGAAGCCATTGAAATCCACAAGCATGTGGACAATTTCAACAGAAAGGAGGAAACCATGAAAATGAACAAAATCTGGCTACCAGTATTAAAAACCTCTAAAATTACAACATCAGAACCCTACAGTTTACCCCAATCGCCTCCAGATAGGCAGTTCTCAGCTGCGTTGCATTATGAAGGAAAAGGGCTGTTTGGTGTGTTAAAACATCATACAGCAATACAAGATTAAAATACATATAGATAAAATACATATATACCAAATCGCCAAGGTAAAATCATATTCAACTCAGTCCGCATATGTGATCACTCACTTTGGTCTGTAACCAGTCTCAGCCATTATTCTGGGAATGCTTCGTTCCATAACCAGGATTTCAGTAGCCTCCTGAGGGGGCAGATTTAATCTCGCTCAAGAGAGAGTTCCATAGCCGAGGGACCACCACAGAGAAGGCCCTGTCTCTCGTTCCCACCAAATGCGCTTGCAAATGTGGTGGGACCAAGAGCAGGGCCTCTCCAGAAGATCTTAATGTCCTTGATGGTTCATAGGGGAGAATACATTCGGACAGGTAAACTGGCCCTACTGACTGTTAGGAATTGTGGGAGTTGGAGTCCAAAACACCTGGGGGGCCAAAGTTTGCCCATGCCTACTGTAGAATCACTTTGAGGATTTAGCAAATTTCATCTTTCCCCAAGGCACAGATAAGTGAAACCACAGATATGGGTTATGTGGTCACAGGGGTCTTACAGTATATCCCATTATTTGAATAATAGTATTAATAGGAGTATAAATAACTAAAAATAATTCTGTATCTTGGTGATCTGGCTGCAAGTTGTCCGAAGGCAGCATGTTTGTAAATTCTCAGTTGACAGAGATCCTACTGTTTGTAAAAGCAACAGTTTGATGATGTTTATCTCTTAGATCCGTCATTATGGTCCACACGATGATGTTTATCTCTTGTTTGTCTTCACAGCGTAAATACGGCACTTGCCCTCATGGCGGCTATGGCTTAGGCTTGGAAAGATTCCTCACCTGGATCCTGAACAGGCACCACATTCGAGATGTGTGTCTTTACCCACGCTTTGTCCAGCGCTGCAAACCCTAATGGAAACCAGTCTGATGTTCGCCAGAGCCCTCCGAAGATTCTGTTTTGTCATCCTGTGAAAATGAATATTCTGCATTCTATTTTGTGAAATGAAAATATAATCACTTTTAATTTAAATGGAAGTCAGTTGATTTTAGGATATCCTTTCTTTCCATCATCCATTCTGTCGGTATATTTGAATGTCCCGATTGCTAGTTGTTCTTATTCTTTTTAAGCAGCATGCATTACTTAGGTGTCACATATTTTGCAAAATATAGTTCTTACAGGCTTTTGAGAAAATCCCATAAAATTATTTTTTATTATTTTCAGATGGCACTAGACTTCTGATCAAAAGTCAACCACTACTTTAAAAGAATTGCAGTTTTCCAAAATGTAAAATTGTGTCTTATATGCCAGATGCAATGCATTAGAAGACTACTAATGGGGGAAATTGTCTGTTCGAACCTCTTTTTTGTAAAAACTGTTCCATTTGGGTACTTAAGGGAAAAAGGGAAATTGTTGTTTTACTATCAACTCTTCCTGGAAAATGTCTACAGAATGTTGTCCTAAAATTATTACAGCTCCCAAAATATGGCAGCCTAGCCATTAGTTAATTGCAGCTTACTACTTTGTCTCACACATGATAAGGTGTCTTGTGTAAAAGAGTATCCTGGCTGAGGCAATGTTGACAATAAACCAGAAGGAACAAGACTTGAGGACATTTCTTTCTGTGTTTACATTTATTCATCATTTGGTTTGCCAGATGAGGATGGTTCCTTTTGTTTTGGAAACAAATGACATTCATAACTTTTTCGAAAAGGAAAAATGACGTCATATCTTTTTGGCAAATGTGAATCTCCATGAACATTTGGAGACCACCTTTTGAGACTCACTAGTCAAGGAAAGGCATGACCTTGTTACAAGTCCACCCTTTGTACAAGTGATATTCACAAGCATTCATGTAATGGCACACAGGTAACTCAGCTGTTAGACTGACAAACCATGTCTTTGAACTGCCAGGGACAAAGACATGCCACTGCACAAAAAAACACATATTTGGCTAGCAGAGTTTTGAAAATGTTTCTTTGAAGTTGAAATTGCCCCCCAAAAATATACTCTCTATTAAAACTTCTTAGTTTAAAATATGCGCTCAGAGACCAAAAACAAAGTCTTATTTGAAAAGTAATGTATCTTGTTTACTCACAAGCATCTTGTATTAATTCACCATACAGGCACATTTCTTCCTCTTGGAACATTTCTCCCTCTTGACCTCCATTTGTGCTTCTTGGAATTCTGCAGCACTGCTGGTCACAGCTGACCTCCAGTTAGAGCACTCAAGGGCCAGGGCTTCCCAGTTCTCTGTGTCAATGCCACAGTTTTTAAGGTTGCCTGTAAGCCTGTCTTTAAGTCCACCAACATTACGTTTCCCATTCTTAAGTTCGGAGTATAGTAACTGCTTTGCGAGACGGTGATTGGGCATGTGGACAATGTGGCCGGCCCAGCAGAGTTGATGGCATAGGAGCATCACTTCAATGCTGGTGGTCTTTGCTTCTTCCAGCACACTGACATTTGTTCGCCTGTCTTCCAAAGAGATTTGCAGGATTTTTCGGAGGCAATGCTGATGGAATTTTTTCCAGGAATTGAGTGCGATGTCTATAGACAGTCCATGTTGCACAGGCTTATATCAGAGTTGGGAGGACAATAGCTTTATAAACAAGCACCTTGGTTTCCCTATGGATGTCCTGGTCCTCAAACACTCTCTGCTTCATTCTGAAAAACGCTGCACTCACAGAGCTCAGACGGTGTTGAATTTCACTATCAATGTTGACTTTTGTGGAGAGGTGGCTCCCAAGGTAGCGGAAATGGTCAACATTTTCTAATTTTGACCATTTCACATATAGTAATCGTGACAAGGACAGTAGGCTTATTCCTCAATAAATTTGGCAAACCTACACCATTGATAGAAGTGTGTCAGCGACCAAAAGTGGCCCAATTCACTTGAGCAAAGCGGCACAGGAGCTTAAATTCTGCCTAAGAGCAGCAGTGGCCTGTTTTCAGCCCTTGACATAAAACACTGCCTCGGGCCATGGCTGAGCCTGGATGGGGTGTTTTGTTGCTAAATGCAGCTGCATTATTTCTAAACTCCCCCTTTATGAAGATAAACAAGAAGAGTGAACTGAGCTGAATCGAGCTGCTTTATGGACTTCAGCCTAGTTGGAGTGCCATCGGTTTGTTTATAAAATCTGTGTCATTGGCCGAAGATCTAATGGTGCACTTTAGTCTTGTTTGCTCTCCTTTCTGATTTATCATGTGGCTTTTGAAAAGGTACCAAACCATACAATACAGGGTTTGATTCTGAAAAACTTTGAGAGATGTGATCTAACTGGTTAACCAGACAGCTTCTAAGGTGTGATGATTCTTGAAAATAAAATATTACTTACATTTAGTAATTCTTTGTCATGCCCTGGGCATTCTGCAGCTCTTGTCAAACCCCGTACAGCAGAGATAGGGGACTCTGCCCTCCAGATATTTTGTGCCGTAACTTTAATCATTGAGCATTCACCATGTTGGCTGTAACTGATAACGTAGTCCCAAAACATTGGGCAGCGCCAGCTCACCTATCTCTTGCAACAAAGTCTGCTGTTGATCACAATTAATTAAAGCTTGTTCTCCTAAGTGATTGAGTAAGTTGAGTGCTGGACTCTGGTCCCAGGAGAGGGAAGTTCCAATCTGTTCAGGTATGAAAGTTCACTAGATGGCCTTGGACAAGCCACACTCTCTCAGCCTCAGAGGAAGGCAATGGCAAACCCACTCTGAACAAATCCTGTCAAGGAAACCCACTTGATAGGAGCACCATAATTTGTAAACAATTTGAAGACACACACTAACATTTTAAGTGTAGGGAAGCTGGCCAAAATTATCAGAAAGGTGTGTGTCTGTTCAAGTTACCTATCAATGTATGGTGACCCCATTAATTTCAAAGGGTTTTCTTGGGCAAGGAATATTCACAGTCAGGAAGAACTTCTGTGAGAGCTGTTCAGCAGTGGAACTCTCTGCCCCAGACTGTGGTGAAGGCTCCTTCTTTGGAAGAGTTTAAACAGAGGCTGGATGGCCATCTGTCGGGGGTACTCTGAATGCAATTTTCCTGCTTTTTGGCAGAGGGTTGGACTGGATGGCCCATGAGGTCTCTCCCAACTCTATGATTCTGTGATTCTATGAAGTGGTTTTGCCAGGTTCTTCCTCTGAAATACAGCCTAAAACACGTTATTTGTTAGTGGCCTTCCACCCCAATACTGTGGTTGATCTTCCTCAGTTTCCAAGAACAGATGGGTTCCAGTGCCTTTAGGGCGCACCCAAGATAAACAAATGTTTTGCTGTTACTTATCGCAACTGTATGAATGAGAGACCTCCAAGTCATCCCTATCTTCAACAGCCTTGTTCAGGTCTCAGGGCTGTGCTTCCTTGATTTAGTTTATCCATCTGTTATGCCGTCTTCCTCTTTTCCTACTGCCTTTACATTATCAAACATGATTGACTTTTCTAGTGTTATGTCTTCTTATGATGTGTCCAATGTGCAACAGAATCGGTTTAGTCATCTAGATGTCTTAAATTGGTGGAGTCCTTCCTCCAGGTCTCATGCCTCCTTAGGTAAAGGTAAAAGTTTTCCCCTGACATTAAGTCTAGTCGTGTCCGACTCTGGGGGTTGATGCTCATCTCCGTTTCTAAGGCGAAGAGCCGGCGTTGTCCATAGCCACCTCCAAGGTCATGTGGTTGGCATGACTGCATGGAGTGCCATTACCTTCTCTCCAGAGCGGTATCTACTGATCTACTCACATTTGCATGTTTTTGAACTGCTCCAGAGGGGTATCTACTGATCTACTCACATTTGCATGTTTTTGAACTGCTAGGTTGGCAGAAGCTGGGACTAACAGTGGGAGCTCACGTCGCTCCCCAGTTTCCAACCTGCAACCTCCTTACTCTGAATCCTGCTTTAAGTACCATCAGTATACAAGGCTGTCCTGAGTCCGCATGGGGAAAGCAGGCCAGGATACAAATAAAGTGTTGATTGATTGAAATGCAGCATTGTCTGACCTTCTTGCCAATTGCAATCTATTCCTCTTCTCTGTATTCTCTGCCCCAAATCGGTGCCAATGTGAAGCTGGGCAGACCTAATGAAAGGTCCCCCTAGATCTGCTCTCAGATTGACAGATGATGGGTCAACCAGAGCAATATGCTGTAGCTATTTTTAAAGCAGCCTGCCTTATATGAAAGTCAGTAGCAGACATTAGTGAGGAAAAAATATTGATGAATCCTAACCTTATTGATTTCCAAAACACTCCTTCACAGGCTTCATAGATAGGTGTGTACGGCTCTAAAGTGCAGCTAACTGTCCACAGTATGGGTTCAGAAGACACCCTGCGCTTTCGTAATTGAGTTTAACTGCAGCTTCTCCTGACTGCATAAAGGAAATAACCTTTTAACACTTGCAAACTGAAAAGCTGCTGCCTTCCATATCAATAGTCAAGCATCAGGGCAGATGGGGGCATGGCTTCTCGACTCAGCCACAAAGAGTACTTCTTACACCAAGTCATCTCATGAGGCTGAAAGTAAAATACATTCTATGTATGATAGAAAGCAGGGTGGGAAATCAAAATAAGTAACTCAGATAAATTTTTAAAATACACAGCAGTTTGATACTTTTGTTTAGGAATTACAGATCTCAGACGCTAGACGCTCTGCTCCAGTTCTTAGACTGAAAGATAGGAATCAGCAGAAGAGTGCTGCCTTGAAACATATACAGACAGTCCCCAAGTTACAAACATCTGACTTACAAATTACACACAATTAAAAACAGGGGCGAGAAAACAGGAAGTGAGAGAAATATATCCCTAAAAGGGAAATTCACTCCTGGAAGAGTTTTCATATAGAAAAGGGGTCTCCACTGAAGTTTTCTCAACAATCCTTGTTTCCAGAACAAGCCATTTCCCCCCGCCCCCAAAATCCAATCCTCATAGGGGCAGAAAGTAAGATGGAATCTTCTGAACATGGACACAGACAGCAAAACAAACATCACAAGGGTGTTAACCCTTCCCTATGTTATCCTATTGGTGGGGACGAGAGACAGGGCCTTCTCGATGGTGGCTCCCCGGCTTTGGAACTCCCTCCCACAGGAGATTAGAACTGCTCCCTCCCTCCTGACGCTCAGGAAGCTAACAAAGACTTGGCTATGGAATGCGGCCTTTGATAACTGAATCAACCTTGGTCCACATGGAAGGAGAATGAATAACTGTGAATTATGACCAGGAATGTTTTGACGACGTGGCTATGTAAGTGTGATGATGACAATGTTGTATTGTAATATGTTTTTAATTGTGTAATGATGATGCATTGTGTGGTTTGTATTTCTGTATATGAACACGTGTTGTGAACCGGATCTGAGTCCCTCTTGTAGGTGTGAAGATCGGTATAGAAAACTTTTAAATAAATAAAATATAAAGTAAAGGTAAAGGTTTCCCCTGACATGAAGTCTAGTTCTACATAGTTGTGTTAGACTCTGGGAGGTTGGTGCTCATCTCCATTTCTAAGCTGAAGAGCTGGCATTGTCCAGGTCTCATGCCTCCTTAGGTAAAGGTAAAAGTTTTCCCCTGATATTAAGTCTAGTCGTGTCCGACTCTGGGGGTTGGTGCTCATCTCCATTTCTAAGCTGAAGAGCTGG